TTAGGGTCTTCCCAGATGAATGCCAAGATGACTTTGAAATCTGATCAGGTAAAATTCAAGTTAAAAAACGGTAAGATGAATCAGAGGTTCACTCTCAGTGGCCTGATCACTCCCTTCTCTTAGTAACTTGCAAAGCACCAAAATGCCCAAACTAGACCTGCCATTTGTAACAGGATTTGGGTGTGATCAACTTGTACCTTCCCAGACTGCAGCACAATACAACCCTCCCATAGGCTTCACCCACGCGTTTGCCTAAGGCCCCTCAAACTCCAACACCCCCCACAGTTAAATCATCACGCTAGGAATTCCTCCAACCAATGCGCAGGCAGGCAGGTGGGTAGGTGAGAGAGGGTCCCTGGGCTCCATCTGCAAGCTCCATCTACAAGGCATCACTCCGAGTTGAGGCATCAACATTCTACAACTTAAGAATCTTCTCGAAGCAAGGTTCGTAGCAGAGAAATAGCACCACAGGAGGCTCAATTTGGAAGATGCAGCATCTGAAAACCTCCACCCAAAATAGGAGTGCCTGCTGGCATTCACGTGCCCAGGAAGCTGGTGCTCCAAGATCAAAACTGAAATAAACGCAGCTGCCGATGGCCCGGATGCATCTGATCTGGACTTTTTAAGACTGCCCCCTCAGAAGCTCATCTGAAAACCTTAAAGGATGGCCTCCAGAATACAGGGGCTTCCTCAGCAGGGCCTGGAACCATGACACTGGAGAACTTCCTCCTCCCAAGCCTCTGGAAATTCAATCTGCAGGCATCAATTTAGGCGGGTTCTCTCCTTCAGGGTCTCCCCTCCTGCACTGCTACGACTCACACTGGTCAGGGGGCTCCATGTCTCCTGGTGCCATCTGGTCGCCATGATGAACACTATAGTAACAAACCATGGCCCATGAGGCGCTTTTGTAACTTTCAGCTGATACCGCCACAGCTGCGGGCCCACCCAAGGGTGCACGTTCAGTCCCCACCCTCTTCACGGGCCAGCAACACCAACCCGCCCCACCCAGAGTCTCGGCAGGGAGAGCATCTCCTCCTTGAAGATTACCAACAATACCGACTCCGACAGGACTCCAACTTTCCCAGGCTTACCAGATCACCAGAAGCAATGTTTTAGGTAAATGAAGAGAATTAAAGGGAGGAGAAGGGGCAGAGCGAGTTCACAGGAGATGTTAACACCAAACCTAGAGGAAAACTCCAAAGGGGTAACACTGCCACCTGGAAAATAAAGCGTGGGTCAATTTCATCCAGACGTACAAACGCCCTGCCTCAGCAGCCCCGCCTGTCGGACACACGAGGCGCCACAGCCGTGACCTTTCAGAGTGGCGCCCTACCTCCTGAATCACTCCTCGAACCACCCTTGCCGCCGACCTGGGTTCCACCAAACTGGGCCTGGCCTGGCCCTTCTCCCAGGCCAAACCAAAGTTACATACCACCCTGGGCCAGAGCCGTCAGCCCAGCGAAGCTAAGTGCAATTTCCACAAGACCAGGCCTCATCCCCAAGCGGGTTCACAACCCTTTGTCTGGAAAAAAAGGGGGACTGCTGGTATCGACAAGTTCAAGTTCCGCCCTCCCAGCCCACCTGCGAGCCTACCCCACGGCCTGCCTTCCTCCTAGATCACTTTCAGGGCATCATCTGCCAATTCCACCTGGAACTGCAGGTGTGGCGAGACCCTCAGTCTCAGTCCCCCACCTCCTCCTGTCTCTGCCTTCCTCCTTCCACGCAGACCAAGGCATGGGGGGGCGTTCTCAGGCCAGGTAAGGCTGGCACCCTCCCAGGAGTCAAGTGCCCCTTCTCGGACGGGCAGCAGCGACAGCCTGGACTGGAACGTTGCCGTCCACCCCCTCGGTTACTGTCGGCCCTTTCCCCACTGCTTTCTGCGGCAGAGTTTCCCCAAGATCTAGGCCTCCCCCTAACCTTCCTTCTCCTTGTACCCCCACCTCCCCAGCCTCTCTTAACTCTGCCATTGCCCTCATCTATCCCCTGAGTCCCTGAACTGGCCACTTCCTCCCACACAACTAGCCCAAAGAGTGCAGCCCTTCCTGTCGCTAACTCCTGCTGGACGGGCCACTACTTATTTTTTGCTTTTATAGCCCTTGGCCGCATCACCCAGGGCATTTCTCAACGGGACGATTCTTCCACTGCCACCGGAAAAAAAGTCCGGCCCTGCCCTGCCCGAGAAAACCGCAGGGGCGGTGCTCTGTCTCTCGTGACACCCCCCCCTCACCCCCCCCCGCCCCCGGGCAGTGCTTCATGACCACAAAAGTCAAGGTCACATTTGGGAGGGTTCCCTGGAAGGGGGTGTAGTCCCCTTTTCGTTCGGTGACGGCAGCGCAGGTGCCCACCATTCCCTGAGAGAGGAACTGAGTAGGGAAGGCCGCTTCGGGCCGCTCTCCCGAGGGGGCGACACAAACTCCTGGGGCCGCTTCAGGTCACCCGCCCACCCGCCAAAAGAAGGGCCAGCAAAGCGTCTGGAAAATTCCAGGAGGCCGCGGAGGGATCTCTGCAGAGGGCGCATCACTATCGCGGCAGCAGCGCCTGACTCAGCGGGCGGTGGCTCGACCGCGTGAGCTCCGGTGACGTCAGCGCCCAGGCGGGTGGGGGCGGGGCGGCTGCCTCCCTAGAGAAGCTGGGGGTGTTGGCTGCGAGGCCCCCACCTTAGAGAACCGTGCACATCGCTGTGCTTACAGCCGTGCCCCGTAAAGAAACAGTGGTGTGATTTTGTTATTTTTCAAAATGGTTAGGCCAATTTTTTAAATATTTTTAAATGAAAAAGTTAAAAAAAGATTGGAGCAAGTTGCTTAAAAAGTTTAGCCCCAAACTGCCACGGTAGCTTGAGGGGTGTGCGTCATGGATTTGGTATGCTGTTACCAGGGGGCCTGGCAGTTTGAAGTAATCCACAAGAAAAGCTGTCCCTGCCTGGATACCACACAATACTTAGTGATTGTTCATGATGTACTACTTACTAAGTGGGAAAAGCCAGTTGCAAAGTAACAAAAAGATCTTGTCTGCAACTGCGTGGCAACCAGACAAAAGGGTATATTCAATCACTTTCATTTCTGAATTGGGAAATGGGAGAAGAGGAAGTTTCTTTGAAACACTAATTTGTCCAGGGTAGTTTATGCCTGTGGTGGGCCTCAGGGAGCCCGTTTGTTTTTGTGTTTTGTGTTTTTTGTCTTGTTTTCGGGAGCCCCTTTGGTGCCTACTGTGGGCAGCACCCACTGGCAGCCCATATGCGCGGGGTGGGGGGCAGCCTTGGAGTCCTAAAGTTGAGGCACACGCGAAGGGCTGAACTCTTGTCTCCACCCCCCACCCCCCAGGCCAGGCTGCTCCTGAGCGCTTGGTATTTTGAAAAGAATAGTTAGCACCTCTTGTACTAATGTGGGGTCCAAATGAGGGGGAGGCGGAACCCTAGCCTGGGAGCCCCATGCACACAGCTCTGGCCCCTGAAGTACAGGGTGGGAAAAGGGCAGCGGTTGGAGTAACCAGAACTGAGAGTGGCCACTGGGCCAACTCCCTGCCGGAAAGTCTCCTCCCAGAGTAACCACCCAGGCCCCAAACAAAACCATCTGGTGACAACAGGCCCCCTTGGCAACCAGGAGGAGCCAGGGGTGGGTTTTTCCCTTTGTCTCTTGGAGATGGCATCTGCAGTCAGGGCTGGGCCCAGCTGTCTCCCCTCCCTGTGGTTCTCGGAAAGCTGATGACTCTCATGTGACCCTGGGCACAGGAGTTTGCGTGTCCAGCAAGCCCAGGCCTGTTCTCCCTGGCCACTTAGCTGAGCACTTCTGCCAGGGAAGATTCTGACAGCTCACCCTTCTCCAAGATCTTGTCCCGGCAGCGTTTTCACGGGTGGGTTGGGGAGACTGGGCTTGAGAGAACAGTGGGGAAGAAGGGAATTGCCTGTCAGAATGTTCCAGAAAGCAGAGAGGTCTGTGTAACATGAAGCAAGTGCCTTCCTGCTGTGTCATCCCCAGGCCGTGGGGTCAGCCCTTTATTTATCCACAAGGCGCCTGAGCGGCAGCAGGCACAGGCTGGGGCTGCCTCCTGGGCCTCACTTATGTCTCAGCCTGCTACTCTCCTGCATACCCTAAGTCCCAGAAACAAACTACCTTGGGTTTTATTTTTCCAAAGAGTAGGAGTAGGTGGAGCTAGCAACACATAAAGCATTCTACAGAGTTTAGGACCTTTGTGACTTGTGTCTGGAGCACCCTGGCCACCATAGGACAAACTGGCTCAGTGGCAGAGGATCCTTGCAGAGAAGCTTTCCTGGCCTTGGATTGCACAGTGGTTGTCTTTGGGGGAAGGGATGTGTTTGGGGGGGAGAGGAAATGAGGATAGATAACCACCCAGGGACGCCTCTGTCCTGCCTTGGGGGTGGGGGCCAAGGCAGTGCTCACAGTGCAGCGGGCAAACATCCCACAGACATCCCACAGACATCTGCCTCTTTCTCTACAAATAAGGCTAAAAATCCCTCCTCCCTGACCTGGGGCAGTGGGGGTGGGGGGAAGGAGAGCAGGGCTGCAGTGTGTCAGCAGATTTCTCCAGTTCAAAACAAGTTGTTCCAGGAAACAGCAGTAAACAGGACTTGGGCTCCTGGGTGGGGTCGGGTGGAGACGCCCTCCCCAGCCCGGACTGGGGCCTGGGCCCAAGGCAGCCCACTCAGGTGCTTGGGGTGGGAGGGGAAAGAGGAGCAGGAGAGGGCCCCTTGGGCAACATCCGGATTTCAGGGCAGGGCCCGGGCTCCAAGTCCTTTCTCACGGTCATGGCTCTTTCCCCATCTTGTTCTGAAGTTAGCTCAGCTCTGCTGTTTCCAAACACACACCAGCCCAGGAAAGGACCCAGGTTTTCTCAGGAGCCCCTCGAGAAGAGAGAGAAGAGGGTAGAAAGGGGTGGCATTTTAGGTTCACACCTAGGGCAGGACAAGGGCAGTATTGCTGCCGCTTGAGACTATGCCAGAACTCCACCCCATCCCCCATGGGTCCAGTTCCAGAGCTGTGGCCTAGGTCACCTTGGGCTCTCTGCTTACAAGAGTCCCCCAGCTGGGGCTGTCTCCTCTGAACTGTGAGGACCCTGTGAACAGTGAGTCCCCTCCCTAGTCTCAGCCCTTTCTGGGAAAGGAAACTGCAGAGTCACTGGGCGCTGGCAGGGAGCCCTTCCTGCTTGCTGGCGTCACAGCAGCCTGGACCCCACCCCCAGCCGCCAGTCCCCACAGGAAGCTGGGCCTCAGTCTGGGCTCCAGCCAGTGCACCCCACCTCACAGCAGCCTGACCCTGGGCACGCCCTTAACCCCTGGAAGCCCAGCTTTCCTTCCTCCTTCCCACTTCCTAATTCTGAGTATTGTTCTGCTGGAGGTGCGTCACTCAGTGGCCCCCAGCCCAGCCCTCCCTCCGCCCCTTCAGGCATTGCCCAGAGGTCACCTTCTCAGGGAGCTGCCCACCCCACCGGGACTTGAGCTCCTGCAGGAAGGGGTTTTCATCTGTTTTGCCCTCCATGGGATCTTTGCACCTGGCCGTCCCTGGTGTGTTCCTGGCACCAAGTGAGCCTCAGTAAATGTGTTGACCAGCCTGTTTTGTAAAGGTCACCCTGTCCACAGGGAGGCTCTCAGTAACCATTTGTGATATTCATGGACTGACTGAAGCATCAGCCCCACGAACTCGAAGATGGTCCCAGACCTGGGGGCCTGTCCAGCCATGAGCTTCCAGGTCAGCAGACAAGGGGACAGTGGGGGGCTGCTCTCTGCGGGCAGGCCCAGCAGGTCACAGGAAATGCCCGGAATGGGGAGGGGAGCAAAAGCTGGCAGAAGGCATTTGTGGGAGAGGGTGTGGGTGGTGGACACTCCCCATTCCCTGGTTTATTAACACAGGAGGAGGTGGGCCAACCCACCTGCATTTTAAGTTTCCACTTGTTTGTCTCATATGAGCCAGAAAGAGGTGCAGGAAGCTGGGAGGAAATCCTAAGTTGAGGAGAGGACTTCTCACATTTGATCCGTGTCTCCCCTGGGGGTTGCAGGGCCTTTGGGGTCTGAATCCCTGATGCCCTTTCTTGGCCATTGCCAGGGCAGATCAGCTTGGGGTCCTCCCCCATGCCAGGGCCAGGCCTCCAGGAGATAAATCTGATGGTGTCAGTCCCCTGCATCCAGATCTCCCAGACTCCCTGCCACCTGTACCCCCTAACTCCTGGACACCGGGCCCTTGGAGCCCCAGCCCTACGACCCCTCCCACCTTCCCTCGGCCCTGCCCAAGCTGGCCTTCTGTCTGCAGCCTGCTCTGCCCTTCTCCTGCCAACTCCTCACTGGCTCCCTATGTCCTGAAGCCCCTGCTCCTAAGTGCTCACCAGACCCACGTGTTCCCTCCCCATGCCAAGCAGCTGTGTTCTTGCTCCCCAGCCTCCAGCAGCGGGAAGGCCTGTGGAATGACGAACCCGCTCCCCCAAGGCTTACCTCCCTCAACCACTGACCTCCTAGGCCCCCTTGTTGCCAACTCAGCCAGTCCCAGCTTTCAGAGACCCCCACCCTTTGGCCTGTGCCCTGCCAGCCGCTCCCCCAGCCCCACCCACCAGGAATCCCAGTGAGTGCTCCTCTGGGCGGATAGCCACACCCACCACCTTCCACCCCTAGGTTTGCACAGCCCCTAAGCAACCCTCTGCCTTCCCCAGGGCCTGCCTGCAGCCCCCACGGCCAGAGCCTCCCACTTCTGCTTGGGGCCCTGTCCGTGGTCAGTCGTCAGGCCTGAGCCTTGTTGGCCCCACAGTGGGACCCCAGAGCCCTGGTGACTCAGACTGTCCTTGAGCCTCTGAAGGTGGCTTTCTGTTCTCACCCTCCTTGGCCCGCCTGAGTTACATTTGCAAGCAAAGTGTGCAAGGAGCCAGGGCTTCTACTGGGAAAGCAGAAACCCTCTGAATGGTTCCCTTTGCCCTTGGAGGCCTGCTGACCTTGATGTTCTGAGGGAGGCCTGTGCTCTCACTGGCCCAGAATGTCAACAGTCACCACCACCCCCTCCACCAAATGCCAAGGTCAAATGGGCAGGAGACACAGAAGTCCTAGGGAAGAGCTGGGACTATTATTATTCCCCCTCCTGCAAATTATAGTTATGACAAGTAGTTTAAAGAAGCTGCAGGGCTCAGTACGGGTGGAGGTGGGGGAGAGAGGTGCCGAGAGAGGGAACAGGACAGCTGGGAAGGGGGAGGGAGCTGGGACAGTCAGCTCCTGTGGGCGCAGGGCGCAGCAGGAGGGAGAAGCAGGAGGGAGATGAGTAGTCCCAGGGTGTGTCCACCCACCTCCTGGATTCCCCCCAATAACCCTGGTTTTAAACATTTTGACTCAGTTGTCATTTCACAGGAAAATTTTTAAAAAGTTCCAAAGCAGAATCTGTTTTCAGGATCTAGATCATGATTTTTGGAGAACATGGGTCCATCACCAAAAGAGGAACCTGGGGGGAACCCCTGCATCTGGTACTCGTGGAGATCCAGAGACCCTCCAACAGGGCCCAGAGGAAGGCGGTGGCGGTCAGGAGCCAGAACACCGGCTCAGCGAGGGTGGGGGCGCGCAGCGCCGGGCCTAGCCCTGGAATTTTCCAGCTGCACAGATCCGGGTGGGTGGTGCTGGTTTGCGGCCTGTGCCAAGAACTGGAGGAGGAAGGGGTGGACTCAGCTGCCCCCTGCTGGCCAAAGCCTGAGCAACAACCAGCGGGCCTGGACCTCGGCAGACTTCTCACCTGCTCTTCTCCCCTGTTCTGCAGCCAAGTCGGAGCATGAAAAGCAGCTGAATTTGGGGCGCCAGACTTGCTGCTCCAAACTGAAGTCCTGGCCAGGGAGTGCCCTGCCACTCACTCCGGATGAGGTTGGATAATCTGCCTCCCTTCTCTTAAATGTGGGGCTGAGCTGAACAGGGCCAAAGTGCCAGGATGCTCCCAGATGCTGCAAGCGGTGGAGAACTGACCCAGAAATGCCCAGCCTCCTTCCAGACAGTGAGATTACCTGTGTTGATTGTTCAGTGGGCTCTGTTACCTGACTAGTTAGGGGGTGTGTGGGAGCCCCAAAGATCCTGTCCCACCGCACTGGCTCCTATGGGTAGGCCAGGGTCCTCTCCTCAGGGTCTCCTCGGTTCTGGGGGCCTGCAGAGCTGGGGTGCTGGTGAGCTAGGCCAGGCCATGCGTGCCAGGCTGGTAGGGGGAACCACTCCTGCTTCTCCCTGCAACCCAAGGGCAGCTGGTATTTTAGAACATCCTTGATATATCTAAAAAGCCCTAAGGAAGACCAAGACAGTAAACTATGAGGGTGGTACTATGGGTTGACTTGTTTAATTCTGTCCCCCCAATGAAGGTGTGTTGAAGCCGTGACCCTCAGTACCTTAGAATCTGATCTTAGCGAAAACTGGGATCATCGCAGGTATAGTTAGTTAGGAGGAAGTGGGGTAGGGTGGGCCCCCAACCCAGTATGACTGGGGTCTTTGTGAGAGGATGGCCACGTAAGGACAGACGCACAGGGAGAAGCCATGTGACGACGAAGGCGGCGATTGGGCGTGTGCAGCTGCAAACCAAGGGGCACCACGGACTGCCAGCAAAACACAAGAAGCTGGGAGAGGCAGGACGACCCCCTACAGCTGCAGAGAGAGCTTGGCGCCGGCCATACCTTGGGGGTAGACTTCCGGCCTCTGGGACTATGAGACCATGCATTTCTGTTGTTTTAAGCACTGACTCCTATGTACCAATTTGGGGGTCCCCTCCCCATCGGCTTACACAGGAACAGACGCAGGGGGCCATCAAAGCAGGAAGACAAAGAAACATGTCCAAAGATGAGAGACCAGAACAAAACTCCAGAGAAAGAACTAAACAAAATGGAGACAAGCAATGTACTAGATGCAGAGGTTAAAAGACTGGTTGTAAAGATGCTCAATGGACTTAGTAAGAACCTCAACAGCATAAAAAAGGAACTGAAATGAAGAACGGCAGGTGGAGAGGGGAGTATAAGGGGACTAAATGGTAATGGAAAGAAATAGAATAAACATAAATTTCCAAAAAAGAGTAATTTACAGGGAATCAACAGTAGAGTAGATGAAGCCAAGAATTAAATCGTCAATTTGGGCCCTGGCTAGTGTGGCTCAATGGGTTGAGCACCGGCCTACAAACTGAAAGGTGACGGGTTCAATTCTCAGTCAGGGCACATACCTGGGTTGTGGGCCAGGTCCCCAGTTGGGAGCATGCGAAAGGCAACTGTTTCTCTCTCACACAATAATGCTTCTCTCCCTCTCTCTCCTTCCCTCCCCCTCTTTCTAAATAAATAAAATCTCGGAATATAAGGACACAAGAAACACCCAATCAGAACAGAAAAAAGAAAAAGATGATAGTGGAAGGAGTCTCTGGGGCGACTTCAAGAGTACCGAGATGTGCATCACGGGGGTTAGAGGTGCTGGAAGGAGAAGAGAGAGACTGAGAAACTGAAAATCTATTTTAAAAAATAATGACAGAAAACTTCCCCAACCTGGTGAAGGAAATAGACAAAAATAGACATACAAGTGCAGGAAGCACAGAGTCCCAGACAGGTTGGACACAAAGAGGACCACACCAAGGCACATCATAATTAAAATGCCAAAGGTTAAAGATAAAGAGAATCTTGAAAGCAGCCTGAGAAAAGCAGAGAGTCACCTACAGAGGAGTGCCCACAAGACTGTCAGTGATTTCTCCACAGAACCCTGGCAGGCAAGAAGGGACTGGCAAAACACATTCAAAGTGATAAAAAGCAAGAACGTACAACCAAGGTTACTGTATCCAGCAAAACTATCATCTAGAATCAAAGAATATATAAAGAGCTTCCCAGACGAGAAAAGGAAAGCTAAAGGAGTTCATCAGCACCAAACCATTATTACATGAAATGTTAAAGGGTCTTCCTTCAGAAGAAGAAAAAATAATTTAAAAAATATATGAACAATAGCCTTGGTTGGTGTGGCTCAGGGGATTGAGCGCCAACCTGCGAACCAAGGGGTCGCCAGTGCGATTCCCAGTCAGGGCACAGGCCTGGGTTGCAGGCCAGGTCCCCAGTAGGGGGCTTGCGAGAGGCAACCACACACTGATGCTTCTGTCCCTCTCTTTCTCCCTCCCTTCCCCTGCCTAAAAATAAATAAATAAAATCTTTAAAAAATATGAACAATAAAATGTCAATAAATATATATCAACAATTGAATCTAAAAAACTAAACAAACAGGCAGAACGGAAACAGACTCACAGAGACCATTTTGATGGCTGCTGTATGGGAAGAGGGTTGGGGACTGGGCACAAAAGGCTATGGATGAAAAGGGTCCCCTTACAAAACCTGACAAGCTCAGGGGAGGCCTTGGAGGCGGCCTTAGAAACTCACAAGTGGTCTGAAATGTAGACTTACTCACTAAAAGCAATTTATGGCAGGCAATCTTGTTCTAGGCCAAAATCTTCCCTGACAAAAAGTCTCTACCTGAAGCCTGTCTGTCTTTCTGCATCTGCATAACATACCTTTAGAATGTCAAAGTAATTTCCTTTTTTTGGACCACTCGAAGGACCAGCACTTCCCACAACCCCCTCATTGTTAGTATCAGGTTAATTGCTGTTAGCCCTCCTGTACCCACCTGTGTAAAAGAAGTGTGTGTCTGTCATTTTACTTTTCATCCAATCCCAGCAGATCCCCCCTTTGCTTTCTCCCGCCTCCCTCATCTGTCGCCAGTGGATTTTGTGTGATCGCCATATATAAAATAAGGTGCAAAATGGCCACATTCCAGAGCGTCTCCTCAATCTGTCGAGGTTTTCTTCCCAGCAACTGTCATCAGTTTGGCTCAAATAAACTCCCAGAAATTCTCTGCAGGTTTGAATGTTTTTCATGTTGATAAAGGGATGGGATCAAGAAGTACAAACCGGCGGGAACAGAGCAGCGGGGGCTGTAAAGCGCAGCGTAGGGAACACAGTCAGTGACACTCTAACAACTGCATGGTGTCGGATGGGCGTGCGAATTATCAGCTGCTCCCTCAGTAGGTTATATAATGTCTAATCACAGGCGTGTACACCTGAAACTAGTACATTGCATGTCAACTGTAACTGAAAAATAAAAAATGATTAAAAAATAAAGTAGCCCCTCCGCTGACTCTAGGAAGAGTACCCGGATCATCCCCCTCAGCCCAGTGTGACAGCCACCAGGGTCCTTAAACATGGAAGAGAAAGGCAGAGGAGCACCCGGGAGAGATGTGAGGAGGGGAAGTCACAGTTTGTGCTGTGAGGACCCCCCCCAACTTTGCTGGCTTTGGCTTTGAAGATGGAGGAAGGGGCCACAAGCCAAGGATCGCCGGTGGCCTCTAGAAGCTGGAAAAGTGAACCAATTCTCCCCTAGGTCGAGCCCTTGCCCCATGCTTGACCTTGGGCCAGTGAGGCACGGCTCAGACCCCTGACCCCCAGAAACTCTGAGATAGCCAGTGTGTGCTCCACAACTAAGGTTGTGGCCATGTTACCGCGGCCACAGGAAACCGACACAGGTGGCAAGGGCGGAGGGGCCTGGGCACAGGGTAGGTTCCAGGCCTGCCAGGCCCAGGCTGTTGGTGCTCCCCTGCCCATTGGGGGCGGGGCTCTGTGCCACCTGCGGGCCCCGGCCGCTGGGGTGAGTCCCATAATCCTGTTCTCCACTCCAGCTTTCTGGACACAGGGCGTCCCCAACCCCCAAGTGGGGCTCACCCCTCAGGAACACAGCCCATGGTTCTCACTGCTGTGCAGCTTCTGGTGGGGCTCACAGGGCTGCCAAGGGTCCGCCTGACGTTGGCCCTGCCCCACAGGACCTGTGGGAAACCAACTGCCCCTGGCCTGGCCCAGGGCAGGAGAGCCCTCGGGGAGGGCTCCGGAGTCACTCAGTCCTCCTGGGCTCTCTGGCCTTGCCCCTGAGGCACTGTGCCCTGGATCCCAACCGTGTGAGGAGGAACCTGGTGGCAAGTGGCTCAGGTTCACAGGACAGCGGCAAAGGCCAGTTCCCTCTCGGGTCTTCTTTCCCCACCAGCCCCCAATGTTGGAAAACTTCACTCTGGCTCCGCCGAGTGTTGGGAGCTTGCCAGCAACTGTCCCTTGACACGGTCGGGACAGTTGGGATGCATCTGCAAGGCAGAGGCAACTGTGGCTGGATTTCCTGTCTCTCCTTACATGTTTGTTTTGGTGATCAAAAGGTGGTGGGACTGTTAGACACCTGTATTTCAGGTTCATTGATTCACATAATTCCAATGAAGTTGTACAAAACAATTTCTTGACCAGAGAACAAAGTTCCCTCTAATGAAATAGCCCCTGAATGTCTAAAAGTTGTTGGAGTAACAGCCCCTCCTTTACCTTGAACAGGAATATACATTAATTAGAACTTAGCAGGCAAAGAAACAGGAGAAGCTTTTTAGCTACTATAAACTAAGCACGTAGATACAATTACCAAGGAGTTAGAGTCCATAGTACATAGAGAAACATTTGGGAAGAAAGATGGATAGCTAAGTTAGACATCAAAAAGGCTTATAATGAATTTCCTAACCTCTTCTCAGTCTAGCGTACCTTTTGCCCCATGTCAAATTCTAAGACCTTTAATAAACAATAAGACATTCAAACTTTGTACATACAGCTATTTCAAATTGTCTGATTAATGGCTCTCCTGGTCAAAACAACCTTTGTTTAACATAGCTGAAACTATGGAAATTCTTGTACTTTTCCTGGTTACCTCTGTATTGGTTTTTCTGCTTAACTGATCACACCATGCACCTGTTCCTTTAATGTTATGCAACAATCTCTATAAAAATAAAGCCTAAATCAAACTGAGTTCGGTCAGTCCCACAGAGGCCGGCTGTTCTCCGGCATCCAGTCGGGCGTCTGACTCTTCATACGCCTGCGCCCTCCGTCCTTCGGGGACCCTGAACCCTGCCAAGGCTGGACCGCGGCAGCCGAGTGTTTGGGAGCCCTGAACGCTGCATCCCTTGACCAAAGGCCAACCTGTAGCTGTGACCAACTCCCTCTCCCATGAGCAGGCAGCTCATTGGTTAGAGTGTTGTCCCCGATACACCAAGGTTGTGGGTTCGATCTCCCATCAGGGCACATATAAGAACCAACCAATGAATGCATAAATATAACAAAAAAAATGATGTTTCTCTCTCTCTCAAATCAACAATAAAAAAAAACTACACTCTTATTTCATATCATAAACTACACCAACATTGCTGGAAACTGATTTTATTATTAAGTCACATGGTACAAAAGAAAGAATATTCAAAGGACATTCAGTAAAATGCTGTTTTGTCCCAAAGGACAGGCAGAAAAGGTTAAGGCACAATGGAGGCTTACAAAAGATGAGAAAGACAAGGGTAAAAACAAGTAATGTGTGTACACACACACCCGCCACACCCCACAGGCCCCGTGAGCCCATCAGATAAGAATTCACTTGGCATCAAAACAGTGAGTGGGCAGAGAGGACAGTGGGCTGGGAGCCAGAGAGGTGAGTCACTCCGAAGGAGAGACGAGATGTCCTTTGGCTGGGACATTCCAAAGGCTGGGAAACTTATTTATCATGACGGAGTGCTCCAAAGCCGGGAGAGGCAGAAGGCGGGCTCCGGCGGGCGTCGGAGGGGATGCGGCAAGCCCTGCTCTGTGCCAGGGCTGCCTTTCCCACCAGGGCGCCGCCACAGAGGAGCCGCGCCCAGCGCCACATTCAGGCCGTCACTGGTTTCTCAGAGAGGAGACTAGACGGGCTGGCGGCCCGCAGGGCCGGGTCAGGCGGAAAGCGCAGCGCCAGCCCACGGGGAGCCAGGAGGGCAAAGGCCGTGGGGTTCCCATGAGTGCCCCGGAGCTCACGGCTCGGTGGAACCAAAGCAGCTGAGAAGAAGTCGAAACCGAAACTGGAAGCCCACAGGGAGCTTTTCTCAGTGTGGAGGGAGGGTCCGGTGGCCTGTTGGTCCCCAGAACAGCCACCTTAAAGCGCAGTGACACCACCGAAAGCTAGAAAAAAGGCACTTTCCTTCTGGTCAGTGTCTCCTGCCTGCAAGAGAGGCCTGAGTGAGGGGCCCAGGTGCCCGCTGAGCTGGACCTCCAGCCCCAGCCAGCCAGGGAGGGCACCGGCAGGGCCTCTCCTCCTCTTCCTGCCAAGGACCCGCCCTGGGAGGCCCTGTCCCATCCTTGCAGTGATGGCCTGCCTGGCAGTGTGGCTCCGATGCAGGCTGAAGGAATGCAGGGATGTAGTCACTAAAATCCAGGGAATACACCAGGGACACACACTGGGCAAGTCCCAAGCCCTATTCCTCAGTCACCCGCCGTGGGGGCCGCCAATGTGGGCTACAGAACAGGGGAGGGGACACTGTCCATCCTGAGGGGCACAGAGGCAAGTCCCTGGGTGAAAGGGGCAGGCCGGGGCCTGATCAGATGGTCCTGAGACTGCAGAGGGGCCAAAGTGCAGGGAAAGGCAGGCGGGCTGGAAAGGGACCCTATGGGATCCCTGAGCAGTGCTGCACAGCCCCGGCCCTGGCCCCGCCCCATCCGGCAAGAGAAGGCGCTCCTCCAGCTCCGAGGCAGCCCTCCTCCCCAGCTCAACAGCCTGACCAGCCCCTCCGTGTGCCCTCCTCCAGTTTGCAGCCTCAGCTCTGCTCCGGGCCCTCGGCCGGCTGCACCACAGTGTAGCTCCCATGACCCATGGAGAGCTGCCGGCTGAAGAAGGACGTTGTGCGCTTCGGTTTCACCCGCTTGATCTGCTCGCCTGCGGGGAGGAAGAGGAGCGCCCTGAGGAAGGGGCTTCCGGCGAGGGGCCCCGGCCCCAGGAAGCCTTGGTTTGGGCTGAGCTGCCCCTTCACACCTGCCACCTTTCTGGCCTCATTCCCCCCACCCATCCATCCTTCTGCCAGCGACAGGATGGGTGGGTCGGGTGTGTCGCCAGCCTCCCAAATCAGAGGCAAGCCCAGGTTTGTGTGACGCTGGGCCAGCTCTGGTGCTTGAGGAGGTTTTGCTAAAACCTGTTCCAGAACAGACTAAAGGGGAAAAAAAAAAGAGGAGACTAAAGACACAAAGTACCTACAACAGACACGGACTGGCTCAAGGTGAGCCTTGCCAAGATGAAAAGAATTCTTACAGGTTAAACATTTCATGCCAGGCGATCAAGGTCAACATCCACAGTCACGAACCATGCAGATAACGCGCTCTTGATGTGACATGATAGAAATGGCACTCCACCTCTGTGACCCTCTGCCCGAACAGCCATAAGCCCAGTCACCTCCAGGAAAGGGAGATCCTGCAATAAATACCCTTGACCAGTCTCCCTCACAACTGCCAAGGTCACAAGAGGAAAGTCAGAAACCGTCGCAGCCAAGAGGAGCCTAAGGAGGGGGGACAACTGAATGCAGTGTGGTGTCCTGGATGGGATCCTGGGACTCAGGAAGAATGGCAGGTCAAAACTGAGGTCTTGCCCTGGCTGGTGTAGCTCAGTGGATTGAGCGCGGGCCTGTGAACCAGACGATCCCGGTTCAATTCCCAGTCAGGGCACATGCCTGGGTTGCAGGCCGGTTCCCTGCAGGCCAGTTCCCGGCAGGGGATCCACGATACGCAACCATACACTGATATTTCTCTCCCTCTCTCCTTTCCTTCCCCTCTAAAGATAAATAAATAAAATCTTAAAAAAACAAAAACAAAAACACCCCTGAGGTCTTTAGTTAATAAAGCCATACCAATGTGGTTCATTAATTATAAATAAATACACCATATCAACATGTTAATTTTTTTTAATCAAGAAAAAAAAAGCCCTGGCTGGTGTGGCTCAGTGGACTGAGTGCAGGCCTGTGAACCAACAAGTGGCTGGTTCGATTCCCAGTCAGGGCACATGCCTGAGTTGCAGGCCAGGTCAGGTCCCCAGTAGGGCACACCCAACAGGTAACCACACACTGATCTTTCTCTTCCTCTCTATCTCCCTCCATTCAAAACACTGGTGATCAGGATGCTCACAGAACTGGTTGAATATAGTCACAAATTAGAGAAACATATGAAGGCTAAACTAATTGAAATGAATGGAAATGCACAGGAAACCAATAGTAATGGAAAGGAAACTGGGACTCAAATCAAAGGAGTGGACCAGAAAGAGGAAAATGACCAAACAGAGAAGGATGCAGAAACAAGAATTCAAAAAAATGAGGAGAGGCTTAGGAACCTTCAGGACATCTTTAAACATTCCAACATCCGAATTATAGGGGTACCAGAAGGGGAAGAGGAACAGCCACGAGTGGAACACTTATTTGAACAAATAATAAAGGAGAATTTCCCCAATCTGGCAAAGGAAATAGACTTCCAGGAAATCCAGGAAGCTCAGAGAGTCCCAAAGAAGTTGGACCCAAGAAGGAACACACCAAGGCACATCATAATTACATTACCCAAGATTAAAATGAAAGAGAGAATTCTAGAAGCAGCAAGAGCTAAGGGGACAGTCACCTACAAAGGAGTTCCCATTAGACTATCAGCTGATTTCTCAAAAGAGACCTTACAGGCAAGAAGGGGCTGGAAAGAAGTATTCCAAGTCATGAAATCCAAAGACCTACAACCAAGATTGCTCTATCCAGCAAAGTTTTCATTTAGAATGGAAGGACAGATAAAGTGCTTCTCAGATAAGATCAAATTCAAGGAGTTCATCATCACCAAGCCCTTATTATATGAAATGTTAAAGGGACTTATCCAAGAAAAAGAAGTTAAAGAAACATGAACAGTGAAAGGACAACAAACTCACAGTTATTAACAACCACACCTAAAACAAAAGCAAACTAAGAGGACAGCTAGATCAGGAGTGGAAACATAGAAATGAAGATCTCAAGGAGGGTTAGCAACAGGGGAGTGGGAGGAGGAGAAGAGGGGAGAAGGTATAGAAAATAAGTAGCATAGACAGTAGATAGAAAATAGAAGGGGGGGCAAGAATAGCATGGGAAATATAGAATCTAAAGGACTTGAGACACATGGTCATAAACTAAAGGGGGGGGGTAATGGTGGGGATGGGGAGGTAGGGTGGAGGGGAATGAAAGGGGGAACAGAACAACTGTAACAGCATAATCAATAAAAAAATTAAAAAAAAAAGAGGACAGCTAGATCAGGAGTGAACCATAGAAATGAAGATCACATGAAGGGTTAGCAACAGGGGAGTGGGAGAAGGAGAAGGGGGGAGAAGGTATAGAAAATAAGTAGTACAGACAGTAGATAGAAAATAGATGGGGGGAGGGTAAGAACAGTAGGAGAAATATAGAATCTGAAGGACTTGAGACACATGTTCATGAACTAAAGGGGGGGAATGGTGGGGGAGGGGTGTGCAGGGTGGAGGGGAACGGAGGAGGGGAAATAGAACAAATGTAATGGCATAATCAATTTTTAAAAAGTTTAAAAAAATAAATAAAAATTATTTTTCTTTTCCTGGTTATAAAAATGACATGCTTGTAGAAAACTTCAATGCTACAAAGACGCACGAAGAAGACAGTAAGAGTTGCAGCAACCGACCGCCTTAGTGGGCCTCCCCGCCCGCACACGGACGCCACCTGCTTTTCTCTGCTCAGTGTCACTTTCTAAACATCTTGCCTTTTAAATGTAGGTCTGTGTTACTGCATTAAAAAGCCCTTTTTATTGCAGATTAATTCTAGACTCATAGAGATGTTGCAAAGGCGGTACTACCCTCGTCCAGCCCCTCCTGATGCCAGCACCTTGCCAAAGCCGAGAAGTGAACATCAGTACAGCACTGAGTGCAGGGACTCCTGGGTTTCACCAGCTGCTCCACACACTCGGCGTCCTGTCTGCTCCAGGACCCGATCCCAGACATCACACTGCGTTTGGGGCATCGCGTTTTTACCAGCTGTGCTGATGCGCAGTACCACGTCCCACCGTTTCCGGGCCCGCCCGTGTCACAGCAGACCTGGGGGGTTCCTAGTCTTTCAGGTCTGGACAGTCCTCATGAACACGTCTGTGGATGCAGTGGCCAGAAGGGAGAGAACAGGACTCCTACCCCCAGGGCCCCAGAGGCCTCCCGTTCCCAATCACAGAGCTCAGTTGTGACACTACACCCAGCCCTCTGGCACCTCCAGAGCTCCCCATAACGTGTGTGTACACGTGTGCGCGTGCAGGAGTGTGCGTGCGGGTGCATGTACCATGAAGGGATCACTCACCCTCCTCCACGTAGTCAATGGTGGAGAGGTGCTGGATCCGGCTGCACACCACGCTGCCCTGCCTCTGTAGCTGGGGGCGCTGGCCGGGAGGGGGTGAGGAGCCAGGGGCGGAGGAGGGGCCAGTCCCGCCGTCCTGGGGGGCGTCGGGCTCTGAGGCCTGGTTTAGCTCAATGCAGTACTCGATGAGGCCACTCATCAGTTCAGCCTGGGGAGGGGCGAGAGGCCCACGTGAGGACTAGGGGGTGAGCCAGGGCCCAGGCTCGGGCTCTCCTGCCCTGCAGGGCAAGGACCCAGAGGACTGTCCCCTGCCCGCTCTCTGATGGGAGAGGCAAATGAGGAAACAAATGCCATTCATACAGCCCTGCCAGGTAGCTCAGCTGGCTAGAGTACTGTCCCCATAAGGCAAGGCTGCGGGTTCGATTCCCAGTCAAGGCACATACAAGAATCAACTGAGCCCTGGCTGGTGTAGCTCAGTGGATTGAGCGTGGGACTGCAAACCAGAGTATCGCGGTTTGATTCCCAGTCAGGGCACATGCCTGGGTTGCAGGCCGGTTCCCAGCAGGGGCCAGTTCCCAGCAGGGGATGCACAAAAGGCAACCATACATTGATGTTTCTCTCCTCTCCTTCCCTTCCCTTCTAAAGATAAATAAATTAAATTAAAAAAAAGAATCAACTGAGCGCATAAATAAGTGGAAAAACAACTCAAAAACTGATGTTTGTCTCTCTCCCCTTCCTATCCTTAAAAATATTTATCTCTTAAAATAAATAAATTGAAACAAACAAACAACCCTGCCCCTTAAAAAAAAATTCGCACAAGAAAGGAAGTAGGGGCAGATAATCTGTAGGCCAGGGGGCAGGGAGGCGTCCCGTCTGGGGTGACGTTACACGCCAGTCCTGGAGGATGAGCAGGGGTCCCAGCGTCCCAGCCTGGAAGGCAGGTGCGGGGAGCCTTCCAGTTCGAAGGCTCAGGACTGGAAGGCAGCAGTGCGCAGGCGGGGGCCAGAGAAGCCAGCGGCTACTGGGAGGACGAGGGGGAGGACAGGCCTGGCGGGGCTTTCGGGCCTGAGGCAGCTGCGTGCATGTCGGCTGAGAGCAACACCTGCAGGCCGGTGAAGAGAGGAAGGCAGCAGGGAGGGCCTGGGCGTGGGGTGGGCGGCTCCTTCTGGGCACATTCTTTAAAAGCCTCTCAACACGTTGGAAACATAATACATGTTGATACAGAAAGTGAAGTGACCAGAAGTCAGTGACCATGGTCTGGACACCACAGGTCGGGCCATGTCAGGGGACCGACAGGGCCACAGGCAGAAAGCTGTCAGTGGGTGGTGCTCCCTGGCCAGGCAACACACATTTATCGGGCGCCGCCAGGCAAGCCGTGTGCCTGGCGCGGCGGTAGGCAGCGAGACACAGCAGGGACCGGGACAGGTGGAATGCCTGCCTGCTGCTCCCAAGAAGAGAACCCATGGGGGGAGGGGAGTCAGAGGGGGTGGCCCCGCAGTGACAGGTGTGGCCCCAAGGGGTGAGGATCAGGGAGGGAGGCGGAGAGAGCAGAGAGCAGCGGGGTTCTGCAGGGTCTAGAGGCCCCAGGAGGGGCAGGAGGAGTGTGGGGTGACCACTTTCAGAGACGGGAGTCCCTGGGGCGGCATCTGCCTGCAGAGGCGCTGAGATGACAGGCGAGAGGAACGCAGTCCTGACTGGGCCCTGGGGAGTGGGGGACACCTCTCCCGGAGGGGAAGACGGCCAGTGGAGGCGGCCCTGACCCGCCCATGCCCGCTCCTCGCCCGAGCAGCCAGCTCGAGGAGGACGGGGGAGCTGGTGTGGGCCGGCAGCACCGCACTGGGAAGCCCTCAGCCAACAGCCACGGCCTGACGTGGGCAACGCCCCAGACCAGGCCCAGTGAGCTCCCCGGGCGGCTCCAGGCCAGGAGGAGCCAGCTCCCCAGGTGCCCAGGCCCCCAGCAGCCATGTCACCCCCTTGCCAGCCAGTATGGAGCCTCCAACAGGCTGGAGCCCCCTGAGCCCAGCCTCCCCCATCCCACCCACACCAGTGCAAGCGACACCCACTACCTGCTTGGAGTAGACCTTGAGGAGCTTGTTCACTGGTGTGCCTTCATTGTTCCCATCAAATTCCAGCCACAGGACAGACTCCTCCTCCTCGGGGGACGTGTGGTCCCAGGACAGCTCCTGGAAACGCAGGCCCAGCAGGACGTGCTGGCCAGCGGGAGAGGCAGAGCTTGGCTTGGGTGCCGCCAGGAGGCGACTCCTGGCTATTTCACTCCAAGGCTGGGTCTGAATATGTGCACGAGTTTCTCTGAGGGAAGCAGTCCCTTGTGAGGGGCGGGGCCAGGGAGGCTGAGGCGCCCTGGCCACAGCACTTCTCACCCATAGGTGGAGGCCCGACAGCCAGGACACCTGCGTGGGGGGGAAGGCAGGTGGGCAGGGGGGCCCTTCCCATGAGGTCAGCTGGGTAGCTCCTCAGCACAGACGCCCAGGAAGGGCTGGGATCCCTCTCTGGGGACAACCAGAAGTTGTCCTGCTGGCCGAGGAGGGACTCCTGAGCAGGAGCAGAGAAGCAGCCCAGAGGGGCAGTTGCCGCCGCCGCCGCCTTCGCCACAGGCAGCCAGGACAGCGAGCACCCCATGTGGAGAGGAAGCACCCAGACAGCCCAGGAGGGCTCCTGATGGTGGGCACTTCTGGGAACCCAGGAGCTGACGTTTAGCCACTGGCTGGGCAGCACGGCCGGGCCCTGCCAGACCCCCTGCAGGCGCAGGTGTTCGTCCCAGGGGCAGCCTCCCTGCCCGGCCGCTCCCTGCCCAGCCGCCCCCTGCCTAGCACACGGGACAGAAAAGTTGATCCACAGCAGACCTGGGAAAGACCCCAGGATGACAGTAAAAGCCCCAGAGACACCCAAGGGAGGCAGGGGCCCTCCCGGACAGGCCACCCACCCTGTCCAAGGCCAGTCACAAGCCCAGGGGAACCGGGAAGGCCTGGGTAAGGACCCCACTCCCTTCCTCTCCACGAAGACCCCCGAGGGTCTCACCCAGGAGGGGCTGGAGGTACCTTCTCCCTGTTGTCGATAACATGCACACCCTCCAGGCTGATGGCTACGGTCACTGGCTTTCGCCCACCCCGGTGCAGAAAGCCCTGGGCTGGCTTGTCCACCTCGCCGTGGAAGAAGGCACACCTGGGGAGGGAAGCTGGCATCAGCCTGTCCCCTCCGGCACTGGGACCAGAAGGCCCAGGGTCTTGAGCAGCTTAGCTGTTCCAGTGACTGCAGGTTAAATGGAAGCCTGCCCTGGGGCAGGGGGGAACTTGGGGTGGGGTGAAAGGGAGGCTTCTTGGAGGTGGTGGCATCTGAGCTGGTCGTGCAGGACAGGAGGGTCTGAACAGGCAGGAGGTGGAACTAAGTGTCACAGAGAAGAAGGGCACCACAGGCAGAGGGAAGAGTGTGGACCCAGGTGTGGACAGAACAAGTGATGTTCAAGGAGCCGCCAGGACCCCGAGGACTCGGGGGCTGAGGCGGCTGGGGGGCAGGCCAGGCCACACCAGGGCTGGGAGAGCCCCGTCTCCCCCTTGGGCAGCAGAGAGGGGTCCAGGCCACACCTGCTTGGGGTGCACAAGGGGGTTGGCGTTAGGGTTAGGAAAGTGGCTGCAGGGCTTGATGCTGAGAAGCAAAAAAGGGTGAAGTGCCTTTGGGACGTCGACCCACTGAGCTGCCACCCTCCCCCTCCTGCCCGGCCATGTCCTCTGCCACTCCTGTGGCTGCCCTGGTCCCTCACCCCCCTGCCCTTGGCGAAGCCAGCGCCCCCGTCAGTCCCGCTCTCTGTGACCACCTGCGCTGGCGCAGGGGGACTGAAGACAAGCACCCACTGCCTCCCCTTACTGAGAGCGGCCTCGATTGCCACCCGGCAACCCACGCAGGTCCCACGCCAGTCCCACACTTGTTCCAGACTTCTACAGGCCTGGCTGAAGGCGGGGAAACTGAAGGTAGCAGAGGGGGGGCTGCTCACCCACCCTCAGCTCAGGCTTTCACTCTGCTGAGCCGTACCCGTCAGCACGCACACCTCGCCTGTCACCGAGTTAACTCCTGTTCCCACGCGCCTAAACCACTGCTCCGCCTCCACACCCCACTGCACAGCGCACGGAAACAGCTGGTCACGCTCACTGTCCCGGGCTTCGTCTCATTCTCCTAGACCATCGTCTTCTCCACGATGCTGGAGCCAGGGACAACTGTCTGCCCACACACGAGACTTGTTGAACTTGACCTTGAAGCAGCAGCATGGGATGCTCAGTCACTCCCTCCTTGACACCTCCCTTCGCTTGGCTTGTACAGAACCTCCCGCCTTGCTGGCCCGACCCTCCTGCCAGGAGACGGGCTGTCTCTCTGGGCCCCGGTTTCACACACCATCCACGAGCTGCCGCCTCACCTGTCACCACCCGACTCGAAAACCCACACGCCTCCTCGGAGCTGCCGCCTGCGTGTCTAGCGAGCGTCTCAAAATCAGCACGTGCCAAGGCCCCCAGCCTTCCCCAGCCTGTCCCCTGCTTGGTCCCATTTCAGCTGGCGACAATGTCATCCTCCTCTGCTTGAGCCAGAGGCCTGGAGTCCTCCCCCCCCCCTTCACCTCTTCCACTGCACCTCTAGCCAGAAAGTTCTGACGAGTTCGTCCTCCACCTCCGGAGCCCGGCCACATCACGCACGTGGAGAAATGTCACACGGTCCCCAGGTGGGCTGCCTGCAGCCCCTGCCCACCTGTCGTCTGTTCTTTACTTCTACTCAGTGTCTCCACTAGACCGACAGCGTCACCAGGCAGGGATCAGGGTCCCTGCTCACGGAGGCGTGGCCTGTGCCGAGTGCCACCACGGCAGGCAGAGGAGCGCTGCCAGGGGAGGCTGACCGCGTGAACGGCAGCCCTGGCCGATGGGCAGGTCAGCAGGTCCACTGACCAAGTGACTGGGGCCGGAGGGAGGAGAGGACCTGCCCAGGCTGTCCTGGTCTGTGAGAGGAGGAAGGGAAGGACAAGCGTCCAGCTCCGGACCCATGGGGCTGGAGGTGCTGGCATCAAGGCGCACCTCACGTGAGGACCGAGTTCAGGTGCAGTGGAGACGGGCTCGCTGGCACACCCCGCCAGCTAAGGCCAGGGCTGTCACGGGACACAGGGGCCCCAGGGCTTCGGCTGCTATGATGACACTCACCCGTAATAGGGCAGCTCGTGGCATTTGCAGAGGTAGGCGTGGTAGTGGGTCCTCAGGGAAGCCTCACGCTCACTGTCCTCGCTGGCCACTTCCTGCACCTTGCGGTAGGCGTTGAGCAGGCCCTGCTCGCTGACCCCAGCCTTGGCCCCACGGCCACGGAGGGCGGCAAAGAGCCCGTGGCCCCGCCTACACAGGTGGGCAGGGAGGAAGGAGTCCAGCTGCTCCCTGCGGAGAGAGGAAGACGATGCTGGACATGAGGAGGGGCTCCGTGGCCGGGGACTGGCCACAACTGCCGAGGTCCTCTGGGCAGGCACGCTCACGGGGGTGGGGGGCCCCGGACACGGGCCGCCAGGAGTCCTACTGCTGCTGTCCCAGCAGTACGCCTGACGGGCGAGGGCCCCGAAGGGAAAGTCAGGAGAAGAGAGGACACCAGGCCAAGGCCAGAGGGCTCCATGGCAACGTCCAGGTCACAAGGAGGGGAAATCTGACAACCGAAAAACGATGCAAGTGACCCAGAACTGTCAACGATGTGTCCTGCCCAGGGGGATGTGAAAAGCACCGGCCTCCCACCCAGCAACACAGGTTCGTGGGAGAAGGGGGGAGGAGAGAGCCTGTCTCAGCAGTCTGTGGCTGCGTGGGCCTCGTGCTGGCCATTCTGCCTCCACTGCAGCTGGAGCCTCGGTCTCCGAGCGCTGGGAGCCCAGCCCTACTGTGGCTTCTGGGACACCGGGCACCTGGGCCTTGGGGCCCGGTGGCTGGGCCAGAAGGAGGGCTGGGGGACTTGTGGGGGCCGGGAGAGGCCCAACTGCAGGCTGGCAAGAGGAGGGGTCTCCAGGGGGCTGCCCACCTTTCTCAGGGCTGCCGTGGGTGTTTTCATCATTTGTCCCCTGCACAGTCCCTGACCATGACTACAAATAAACAGGCCACCTCCTTCCTGACCTCAGAAGGAGGCCGACCACCATTCTCACGCACATCTAGGGCTCCACAGGCAGGCAGCTCCTCTCACAGACGTCACTTCACCCAAGTCCCCTGCCCCGGGCCCTCAGCCCTAGGCAGATGAGGAAAAGGAAGCTCAGAGAGGTGGGCTGGCCCACCCAAGGTCCCACCGTATGAGGGCCAGCCCTGAGGCCGAGGCCCCCTGACTCGGGGACCTCGAAAGAACTAAGGCCACTGGTAAGTGGGATTCTGGGGCAACCCACCCGACCCAGCACCCCTGCCTCAGGCCACGCTGGTCTTCACCTCAGGGTGCAGGCCATGGGCTGGCCAGGCCGGAAGGGCCCAAGCTGCACGCGGCACACCAGCGCGCCCAGGGCCTCGCAGTCCTCCAGGTCGCATGGGTACCGAGCCGCCAGCACGTTGCCCTTGGCCTCCTCGTAGAGCAGCCGCAGGACCTCCTCATCGTGGATCTGCGTGGCAGGGAGGGGCTGCTCAGCTCGGCCAGGGCACCAGTGGCCAGGGGTCTGGGGACACGTGGAGGCTAAGCACAGGGCACCAGACCTGCCTGGGGTTGGCTGCCTCACCTGGAGCTCCCGCCGCTTTGGGAAAAACACGTTCCTTCGGAACTGCAGGGAAGGCTCATCTGGGGAAGAGGCCGGGGTCACTGCTCAGCCCTGCCCAGCCCTCTCCCGACAGGCTGGTCCCCAGTCCTCGGGCTCCCCCGACCGCAGCTGACAAAGCCTGACGGCTGTCCAGACAGCGAGGTGTGCAGCTCATCTCAACATGCACACTGACCTCCTGGCCCACGCTCTGCTGGGCTCCCTGTGGACCCCGGGCTCCCCTGCTAGGAGAGGCTGATGGGGCCTGGGGAAGATGCTGGCCCTGCCCCTTGGCCAGGGCAGCCCCCGCTGCCACCAGAAGTCTGGCTGGGCCGGCAGTTGGCACTCCAGACCCAGGTGGGCCCTGAGAGGAGCGGCAGGAGCACACTGACCTGTGGCCACGTCATCGTCCGGTGCGTCGGTGAAGCGCAGCAGCAGCTCTGGCCACTGGCGGCCCAGCTTGTAGGGCTGGTGCTTGGGCTTCAGCTGTACCTCTGCAGGACGAGAGGGAGCGATGCTGCAGCCTCTACCCGCACCGGCAGGAGGAAGAGCAAGGGCACAGGCCCCCGAGGCACATGCAAGTGCGACTGCTGCCCACCCGGCAGCGACACGACAGCGGTCGTGGCCAGCACCACCCAAGCAGGCACTGAGCGCCCGAACCATCTTAGGGGTGCACTCTGCAATGCCCCATCCTCACTTCATCCAGAGAAAACGAGGCTGAGAGAGGTTAAGTGGCTTGTTCAAGGTCACACAACAGAGCCAGCCTTGGACTGTCCCCTACAGTGCCCAGGGTAGGCTGCAGGTGGAAGGTGCCGGGGGCGGCAGTACAGGTGGCCACCCAAGCTGGTGACGGAGAACTGAGGGGATGCCCTCCCCTGCCCCCTCACCAGCCCCCACCTTCAGCATCTCCCCTGGGCACTCCAGCTGCCCTCCCATCCTGCAAGCTCCTGGTCTCCATAGCCACAGACACCAGCCGTGCAGCTGCCCCACCTCCCCTCCTTCCCTTGCTCCCTCTCCCATCCGGCCTTCCTCATTCCCTCGACCGGTCCCAGCGTGTTTGTGCCTCTGGGCCTTTGCACTTGCTGTTCTTCCCGCTTCAGCCCTTCCCCCAGAGCCTCACAGGAACTGCTGGCTTGGGTCTCGGTTCAGTCGTCATCTTCCCTGGACCCTTAGCTAGGGCAGCCCCTCCCTGTCACCATCACACCAACAGTGCCCCACCAGGGCGACTTTGCAGTGATCGGCACTATCTGACACCATCTCACTGTCCATGCCCTCACCAGCCTGAGCATCACGAGGGCAGGACTGCCCCCTCGCAGTTCACTGCTGTGCCCTGGGCTCACCACAGGCTGGCCCTCACCGCAGATGTGCCCCAGGACTCAACGGCTCAGTCCAGGAGTGGCAGAGCAGTTTCACCTTGGACACTGTAGCCTTTGAGAAGTCTGAGGCCATTTCCAAGACCACCTGGTGATGAATGAAGATGGCTACTGGTGGGGGGCGGCATGGAGGAGGCATGGCGACGCCTACGCCATCAACTAGCTCCCCTGCCTTCTGACCTTTATCTCCTGCCTTCACCCCTCCCGCCAGAGCGCCGGGTACCTTGTCCTGTCAGCCTGAAGCCCAGGGTTCATCCCTGTCCTCCGGGCTTCCATCTGGACTCTGATCGTAACCCATAACAGCAGCCACAGCCTCCAAAGTGGCCTCCCTCCCTGCCTACAGCCTCCTCCACCCCACCTCTGCACTCAGCTTCCCCCCAGCCCTCTCTCCTCCTGTCATCTTTCCGATCCAGGTCACCTGCTGGCTCCACGGCCCTTTTCCAACCGAGACACTTGCTTACACCTTTGCAGAAGCACCCCTGCCAGATGACCCCCGGGAGGGGAACGTGCCATGTGCAGTAGCATCCTCTCCCCTCCAGAAAGGGCTCCCTCAGCAACCCCCCACCCACTCGGCAGGACCCTCCAAGCACACTCGATCTAGACTCACTGAAGCCCAAGGAGGGACAGTGCCTGCCCAAGGCCACCAGAGTTAGCAGCTCACACAGGACAGAGCTCTGCCCACTGAGTCTCCAGACCCGCACTTTAGGTGAGTTCCCTGAGGGCAGGGATGCCTCCGGGGTGCTCCCCAGCACCGGGGTGGGGCTCTGCACGTACTTGTCAAATGAATGGGGGAGTAATCTGGGCTAAGGGAGCCCTGCCTTTGCCTATGGCCCAGCCCTGGCCGGCCTTAAACCCCGAGCCCCGGCAGCTCAGAGGGCTTCTGTTGTCAGAACGGGACCACGCTGACCCCCTGGTCCGACACTTCCAAATAGGGCCATTCTGCCTGGAAGCTGTTACCCAAACAGACAGACTATCCCTGGAGCCCTATTCCAAGTAGAGTGGCATCGGGAATGGGAAGGCCGATCCCTCTCAAACACCCGGTTTGAAGGAAGGGCCCTTCCTGCCTCCCAGCCCCTGGCCGTCTGTCAGAGCTTCACCCACACTGGGGGCGGGGGGCGGCAGCGAAGGTCCTGTGGAGCCCTAGTCAAAGCTGAAGTCGCCTTTCAGCCTTCCTGAATGCAGTGAGGGAACAAAGTGGGCACTGACTTCCTGCTGGGGCCTCTAGCCCCCCTCCTAGACGAGGCAGTGCCCCAGGGAGACCAGGCCGGCAGGGCCACAGAGGCAGCCCATTCATGTTCTTGAGGGGGAGCAGGAATGCGATGAGGAGGAAGTGGGAGGGGAAAACAAGCCGTCCAGCTGCAGGGACAGGGAGCCTGAGGCAGCACCCACCACATGGAACGCCACTCCTAGCTTTTCAAAGACACAAGCCAAGGGGCCCACAGTCCTAACCAACAGCCTGGAGGTTCACGGAAGCACAGCTGCGCTGGGTGGGGAGCAGCAGGAAGACAGTGGGCGAGAGCAGCAGCTGGGAGGGAAGCTCCAACTGGCAGAAGGGAATAAGGGCCGGGGGGCAGGGGCACCCTCTCCCACCAAGCCAGCTGATACCCCCCCTCCAGGGAAGAGGTACGAACCACCACCACGGGGGGGCCGGTCACCCTCTTCTTGCCCCTGCTCCTCCACAAGAAAGGAAAAGGTTTAAGCTCAGAAAACATGCCTGGCCCTGGCACCAGCTGGGCATCTTCTCCCCTGACCCCCCTCCTGCAGAAGCCAAGAGGCTGGAGGCCCTATTCAGAGCCACAGCCCCCACCCACACCCCATCCCTGCAGGACACTGGTGGGCACAGGCCACAAGCCAGGCAGGGCTAGAGGCCCCCTGGCAGAGAAGTCGGTTCCGGCTCATCCTGCCTTCCTGACCCGCAGGCAAAGTCCCATCCTCAGAGATGGCTACTTCCTGTGCTGAGTACCACCCTCCTCCCTGCCCTCAGGAGCAGGTGCAGTTCAAAGAGGTCAGCTGGGGGCCATCGAGGCTTCCCTTCTGCTCTCAGTCCTACTCCGCCAAACCTCAGTTCCCTCAACTGCAAGGAGGGCCGGCCGTGAGGGTGAGGTGACATTCTGCTCACAAAATGCCAGCTAAGGATGGGGCACAGAGCATGTACCCCGTGCACGCAGACCCCTCCCCTCCCCGTCTTCCAGTCCACGCCTCCTCTGCCACTGGCAGAAAGAAAAAAGGCATCGTCTGAGGGCTCTGGGTCCTCAAGGGGTGGCCATCTCCAGAACACACGCAAGTCCCACCTTCCTCTCATGTGCGGTGGCCTCGGGTCTGGAAGCTGCCCCCTCCCGCACACCAGTCAGCACCCTTCTATCCCAGCCTCCCAGGCTTCTCACTGGCAAGCCTTACCCAGCAGAGGGGAGACAAGCCAAAGCGCAAAGATATCCATGGCGATGTCTGGGAGCTGCAGGACCTCACGGATGGCACGGTGCAGCTCGTGGGCACTGAGGGACGGCAGGTTCTCCACAGCCAGCGGCACCACTGAGTCATCCGCCAAATACACCAGCACGTCCGGTGCTGCAATGAAAGCCAGGCAGGGTTGGCTGGGCTGGTGCGCAGGCGCAGGCATGTCCATCAGGGACCCTCTACCCCCACTGGGGCTGCGGTCCCCACTCTACACTCCTGGGGACCCTGGAAAGAGACAGAGCGCCAGCACACCCAGGAAAGAGGAACCCCAGAAAGAGGGTCTTACTCACTCAAGACCCTCACAGCACCCAGAAACCCAGCACCTCTGCCCCAGTCACTGGCCTAGCCACATTTCAACCCCCAAAGGTTCAAATTAGGGCTAGCAATGCCCCCTGCACACTCCCCTCGAAGCCCCAGGGACTCTTCTGCGCTTCTTCCCTGAAGGAGCAAATCCCACTGGCGGGGACTGAGGAAGACAGGCTGAGTCCGTGGTGAGGTTAATACAGTTGGTATGTCAGGCTGGGAGTGGGGAGAACTGGGCCAGTTGCTGTCTCTCTCTGGCCCAGGCTAAGGTGGGAACTGAGGACTCAAGGAAGCCAGGGTGAAACAAGATCCAGCGCTGAGCTTCTTTAGGACTCTTCATACCTCCGAACTCAGTACCCTGGCCTTTCAAGATAGTCTCAGATAGGCTGGGAAGCACAAGTTGGGCATTCCCTCATGACAGCTCCTGGGATTCCTGTTTGCAGTGCAGAGCCAAGGGGAGACCTCTGGAAGAGCAGCCGATTAAAATCCCCATCCCTGGAACTGCAGCAAGCGGGAAGGAGCACTGAGCTGGGAGTTCAGTACACTTGGCTTTGCATCCCCGCCTGGCCCCTGGCTAGCTGGCTGACTCCAGCAAGTCAGTGAGTGCAGGCTGCCCCACCCGTAAAGCGGGGCTACTGCTCCCTCAAAGTGTGGCTGTAAATCAAATGAGGTGAAGCCTGTGAAAGGCAAGGGCATAGTTTATCATTAATATGAGGGAAAGTGTTTTTTGGATACCTAGTCTGTTCCCTAACAGCTACTTTCTTGAAAGATCATAAAAACAATCTCCAGGACCCTGAGATCCAGACCCACTTTTCACGTAGGGAAAACCAAGGCACTGAGGGCCCCAGTATCCTGTGGCTTAACCTCTCCAGGCGCCAATTTTCTTCCTAGAAAATGAAGATCATGATGCCTGCTTTCAAAAGGGTGTTTGTGAGAAAAAAGTCCAACAAAGAAAGTGAATGCGTCATTTTTCATTCATGAGATTTCTTTTGAATTTCACAGCTATGTGAGACACGCTCATTTTACAAATGAGGAAAAGGAGATTCAAGAAGAGCACCCAACTTGGCCAGTAGCCTAGTAACAGAACCCAGGTCCTCTGACCGACTTGGGTCACTTTTGCATACCTCAACATCTCTTATTTGTTAATTAACACCTAAGATTCTCTTTAATGGAAGAGATGAGAAGCCAGGGCCACATCCCTGGGGCTGGGGCCCCAAGAGGGTATGGAAGGCAGATGGAGACAGGGACCCACCTCGGGCTCCCACGGAGGACACGCTGCTTCGATGGGACCGTTCAGCAGGGCCCGAGTGCCCGGCACTGTCTTCCGTCCCGTCCATCTGCAGAAAGAAAAAGAGCTGTTACTGGGGGTCTGGGAATGGGGTGGCTGGGGAAGCTCTCACTGAGGAAGGGAAGGGTCCCGGGCTGATCTGCGAAACTGAGCAACGGGGCTGCAGGCACTGGTGTGCAGACTAGAGGAGTGGAGGTGAGGGTTCCTCAGCCAATTCCAGGTCAGGGCTGGTGGGAGGACCAGGCCGTGACGGCCCGGAGCACGGTGGAAGCTCGGCTCGCCGGCAAGCCCAGGTGGGGCACCCCGCAACCCCGTCGCAGCGGGGACCAGCGCGCGGCATTGCCGCGTCCTCACCTTGCAGGGACGCAGCGCTGACCGCCTCAGCCCAGGCCGCTGCCTTGACTCCGACCCCCAGCACCGGTTCGGGTTCTGCCGCCCACGGTGACTCTTGCTCCCCTTTCAGGACCCGACACCCGGGGCGCGACGCGGAAGCTGGAGCAGGGGAAGGGCGGAGCGCAGGGCCCCGCCCCCCGACCCGTGGAAGCCAATGGGAGCCTGGGGCCGCCACGCACGCGCCCTGCGGTGCTTGCGCGCTCAACGACCCCCCCCCCCCCCCCCCCGCCGCGGTCCTGAGTAAGCCGGGTACGACCTGGTTACATATCTCTTATGTTTGTCTGGTCACCCCTTGGGATGGCCGCACTAACAACCAGCCTTGCCACTTATCCGAGTGACTAAGGGCCCTCACACCGATGACCTGTAGTAAGGTGTGGAAGGTTCAAGGCTATTGGGACCCTGGGCGTGAGCTCTGGCACTTACTTGCCTGTCCCCTTCACCTGTAAAATGGAGACGCTAACCGGGTTGCGTCAGGGGTTCACACTGTGCTGGGCTTTGGGTGAAGGTGACCCAGGCAATGGCCGGTACTGCAGCACCCCCTGGCCATGAAGGGCAATGGGGTCTTTTCTGTGGTCAGAAGGCTGGGTCCCTTCCCCTCTAGGCCTGTTTCCTTCATATGCAAAATGAGGAGGACCTCCAAGGACCCTCTAATTATATGCCAGAAACGCAGGCGGGGCACACTTGTTTTTCCAGGGAGGGGTCACATGAGCCCTTGCTATCTTAGACACACAACCTCGGAGACCTTGAGGCCTTCCCAGGCTGGGAAAAGGAACAGGGCCTGGAAGAGCAGGTGTGAAACCACCTACCCCCAGGGTCACATCACCAACGTGTCCTGGCAACGCCAGCGTGTGTGTGCCTGATGTGTAGATCTCGGGGAGAAAAACAACTCCGTGTGGTGCCTTCCTAAGCCACAGGTACGAGAGCTTGCTCCAGGTGACAGCAATGAACTTGATGATCAGCAGAACCAGGAGAGGTTTGAGGGAGGGTGGGGGTGAGCTCACCGGGCCCTGCTTCCCTGGCACTGGAACGGGGCTCCAGCTCCTAGTCCAGGCCTAGCTTCCTCAGGATTTGAAATAGCCTCCCCGCCTGGACCCACACTGCCTGGTCACAACTTCTTCCTTCCCGGCATGAACTGAGGACTCTGAGAAGCGCAGATGTGAGCTGGAGAGAAGGGTAGCAGTGGGAACAGACATTTCCCTCCTGGTTCTCAGCTCTGTGACCCTCGGATCAGGACACAATGGCTCGGTGGCCTCCCTAAACCCACTGGAGCAAAGTGGGAATACAGTTCGCGGTTTTTGAGTGCTGCTGGGTTTGGGCCCTGGGCCAGGGCAGGGGATGGAGACCTGGGTGATACGTAGAAGCTATTATGGTTTAACTGGGGAGTGCAGGGAGAGAGGAGAGAGAGAAGCCCAGGAGGAACACATGTTTAAAACTACATAGATGAGCCCTGACCTGTGTGGCTCAGTTGATTGAGCTTTGCCCTGCAAAGCGAAAGGTCGCCAGTTTGATCCCCAATCAGGGGCACATGCCTGGGTTGTGGGTTCGGTCAGTGGTCAGGGCATGAACAGGAGGCAATCACTCAATGTTTCTCTCACATCAATGTTTCTCTCCCTTTCTCCCTCCCGTTCCCTCTCTCTAAAATAAAAATAATACGTTGTATTATTTATTTATTTATTTTTAGAGAGGAAGGGAGGGAGAGAGGAAGAGAAACATCAGTGAATAAGGGACACATCAATCAGTTGCCTCTTGCACAGCCCTAACCAGGGACCCAGTCTGCAACCCAGGCCTGTGCCCTGACAGGGAATCAAACCAGTGACCTTTCGGTTTGCAGATCAGTGCTCAGTCTTCTGAGCCACACCAGCCAGGGCCATTGGCTGATTCTTGCACGTGCCCCAACCAACCAGGGATTGGACTGCAGCCTCGGCGTATCAGGCCAGCGCTCTAACCAGCTGAGCTTCCTTGCCAGGGCTCGCTCATTCATCCCTTCAGTGAACATGGACTGGTGTCTGCTGTGTGCCACAAGACGTTCTAAGCCTTCACGACAACATCGGTGGGCCGAACAGCCAGAGCTCTCTGCCCAGCCAGACAAGTTAACTAACTACAAGATGCAACGGCAGGTGGTGAGTGCGACGGAGGGAACAACAGGTGGGCCCCTGGCTGGGCCGCTCAGTCAGTGTGTTAGGGCGCCGTCCTGCTATGCCAGGGCTGCGGGTCCAATGCCCAGTCAGGGCACATACAAGAATCAACCAGTGAACACATCAGTGAGTGGAATGACAAATCAATGTTCCTCTCTCCTTTCCTCTCTCTCTAAAAAAAAAGAAAAAAAATCAATAAATGAAAATTAAAGACAAACTAAAAAGTAGAGCCAGGATTCCGTGCCAGGAGTGCTGCCAGGCGGGGCTCGCGGCCTCGGAGCCCCAGGCAGAGGAGGCGGGGAAGAGGGAGCAGCCAGGGCGAGGCCTGGAGGCAGGAGCCTGTTTGAAGAAGAGGAGGAGGCTGGGGTGGCTGGAGCAAAGCAAGCAAGGGGGCGGCCAGAGATGTTGTCACAGAAGATGAGGAGGCACTGTGAGGGCTCCTGGAGCCTGGGAAAAGCATGTAGCTTCCGCCTTTCAGCAGGATGGGGCCGCTGCAGGGAGCCGAGCAGAAGAGAGACCTGGTCTAACTTAGACGTTAGCTGCACCGCTCCAGCCCCTCAGTGGAGAGTGGGCTGGAAGAAGGCAAGGGTGCAGGTGGGGGCCAGTCGGGGCAGGAATCCCTGTGGAGGGATGGTGGAGGTGATGGATTCACCTCTGTATTGAGGCAATATTTTAAAAAATATTTCATTTATCTATTTTTAGAGAAAGGGGAAGGGAGGGAGAAAAACATCAGTGTTCAAGAGATACATTCATTGGTTGTTTCTCAAGTGCCCCCCACTGGGAACCTGGCCAGCAACCCAGGCAGGTGCCCTGACTGGGAATTGAACTGGTGACCCTTTGGTTCGCAGGCCAGCACTCAGTCCACTGAGCCACACCAGCCAGGGCTCAAAGGCAATACTAATGCCATTTCCTCTTGGCATGGTGGTGAGGTGTGAGGGAAAGGGCTTAGGACCACCCTAAGCTTGGTGCCCACATTCAGGGCCTCACAGACGTCCGTGGGCAGTGGTCCCTGAGCCCATACCTCTGTGCCCTCTGTGCCCGATTCTCCAGCTCCCTGCCCTGTCAGTTTGGGTTGTAGTTGTCCAAAGAGAAATGGGCAAAGCCTGATCACCCCAAAGCGGAGAGGCACGCCACCCTTTATACGTCCAAACCTCCATCTGTCCCTGGGGAAGAGGCTCTGTGGAGAGGAGGCCAGAGGCGGCTGTTTCGCCTCTCGTGGGGGCGGGCAGTAAGCAACCTGGGGGAAGGCCTGCCTCCCACCCTGCCAGCTTCCTGGTTCCCCAGTGCCCAGGAAGACCTCCTGCTGGGCCTTCCCTAGTGGCCATGCTCCAGCTGCCCAGCCTCCTTACCTCCCTGGGGACCGGCAGGCCACCCGGTGCGTGGTGGTGCGGGCCGGGCAGGGCAGGCAGGGCCTTGGTCCCCGGCAGACTCCCTGAATCCTTGCTCACTGAGGCAGCTTGGGGGCACCCGGCCCGGGGCCTGGGCCTGGCTGCCAGTCCTGGTCCTGCTTCAAGGGCAGCATTGGCTAGAAGGGCTGGCAGGTCACTGTGGGCAGTCATCCCTGCCCCGTGAGATTTCACACTGCACAGCCCCTCTGGTCCATCAGGGCCGCCCAAGCTGGCTTGCTCCCATCTCCTGGTGCCCAAGGTCTGGGCACTGGGCCACTGCTCACCCTCCACCCAGGGTTAAACATTAGTGGGAAGTTATCAGTCCAGGTTTGGGGAGGGAGAGGGTAGAGTTACACTGTTACCAGCGGCTCCTCGGACACCGGACCCCACCGACTGAACAATGCCTGTGGAGGAGTTTGTGGCTGGCTGGATCTCTGGTGAGACATTTTTTTCCTTCTGTCACATTGTCCCCAGTGGTGGGTTACTTCCTGGGGAAGGTAGGGGACATAGGAGGAGCTGAGGCCAAAGTCCTGGTTCCCCTGGAGTGGCCAAAGCCAGCTGTCCCAGAGCATCCTGGGAGCTGTCTGAGGGGAGAGGACAGGAAGGCAGAGGTGGCAGAGTGTCATTGCTGCGCCGCAAGGCCCTGCTGCCTGCCACCTGCCAAGAGGGGGAGCCAAGGTGAGCGGTGCTCTCCCCGAGGCACCGCACCTGCACCCTAAACCCTGCTCTCCAAGCCTGCCCTGTGGGGCTCAGAAAGAAGTTCACCTGTGACCTCACCTGCCATCCTGCGGTCCTCTTTGGGCCTCTGCCCTCCCTGACAATGAACCGATACCCAGTCCCTGAGGCCTGCTATGCTCTGGGCCCAGCTCAGCTTCTGGGTGACATTTCTCTTAGGAGAAAGAGAGGGGCATTCTGACCCTGCCTCCTGGGGCTGCGACCTCTCCCCAAGTTCCAGGACCAGCCTCTGCCATAGAGGGCAAGACCAGGAAGTGGGGAGGTGGCTGGGGCTGAGCCCTCCTCTCCCGGTGCCAGCTGATGGGGGCAGAGTGCTGGGGGGGCGGGGGGAGGGCCTGGACTGGACAGAGGTTGTGAGTTGAAGGGAGGGAGGAAGGAAGGGAGGAAGAAATGGAGGAAGGGGGAAGGGGGAAAGAAGGAAGGGAGGGAGGGAGGGAGGGTAAAGCTGTCAGACAGGCAGGAGCTGTGGAGACTCCTCTCAGGTAGTGGCTAAGGAAGCCAGCTAGACCCTGGGGGTGGCGCATGGGGGCTCCCAGTGAGGAAGACTCGTGTCTGTGGGTGGCCTCTCCCATCTGCATGTGTGTCCTCCAGGCAAGATTGGGGCTCCCCCCTGTGTCCCCACACTTGACCAGCCCAGTGCCTGGCATGGAAGAGGGCCCAAGGGGGCCGGCGGAGTTTCTCTTGGCCTGGTAACAGGCCCTGCCCTCTCTCCTGCCTCAGCCCCTCTCCCCTTGGCCCAGACTGCCCCCTCAGACTGGCGTGAAAGGCCTCGCTCATAGCGCCTCCCTGTCACCGCAGGAGCTCTGGGCTTGGTCCTGGGACATCCCTTTGACACTGTAAAGGTGAGTTTTGAGGAGGCACCCAAGGAATGAAAGGTGTCCCCCAAACCAAATGTCAGGATGCCCCGAGAGCAAGGGCTTGGCTGCCAGAGGCCCTTCCTGCCTCCCCTGCCCTGCGGGGGGCCCCACTCAAAGGGGCGGAGGCTGGAGCTGTGTGGCCTGCCTGCCTGCTCTGTCCCCCGTCCAGGTGCGGCTGCAGACCCAGAGCACTTACCGAGGCATCGTCGACTGTATAGTCAAGACTTATCGCCATGAGTCGGTGGGTGGCCCACTTCTGTGGGTTTTGGGGTGGGAGGCATCTGAACAGTGGGCACCAGCTCCCTCCTCTCCAGGCAGGACTCCACCCTTGGAAGGGAGAAGACCCATGTCTGGGGCCACAAGGGCTGGGTGGTAGCTTAGTGCCTCAAGAGTGGTACTGAGGCCGCCCTAGCCTCCCCCGCCTCTGCCTCCGGCCGGAGCTCAGAGTGGTTTCCAGCTAGAGGAGGCCTAGTCAGGGCTGCAGGGGTAATGGAGAGGCCCCCGCGTGTACCACCCACTCTAGTGCCGCTCTCTCCCTGCAGATCCTTGGCTTCTTCAAGGGGATGAGCTTCCCCCTCGCCAGCATAGCTGTGGTCAACTCAGTCCTGTTCGGGGTCTACAGCAATGTCCTGCTGCTGCTCACAGCCACCTCCCACCGTGAGCGGCGGGTCCAGCCTCCCAGCTACACGGCCGTCTTCGTAGCTGGCTGCACCGGAGGGTTCCTGCAGGTCAGGGCAGCGTTGGGGTGTGCGTGTGCGCACGCATGCGCACACGGACCAAGCGACGGTCTGTTCGTTCCTTCCCCTCCCAAACCCCTGTGGTGACCCACAGCTGCTGACCGTGGCCTTCCCTGTTGGCACATGAGAGGCTGTGGGGAAATGGGCAGCTCCTGTGCTCCCGACGACCTGGCCTGGCTGAGGGTGGCCTTCCACACTGTGGACCTACGGGCGAAAGGTCCCGGAGAACAGAGAGCTCGGGGGGTGGGGGGTGGGGGGTGGGGGGTGGGGGGGTGGGGGGGGGGTGGGCTGGGGACACCACGGAGCAGCAGCCGGCGGACTACGCTGGGGCAGACAGGGCTTGCCCGCCTCTGGAGGGGTCTGCCTACCTCAGGGCTGTGGGAAGCGCTCTCTGAGGTGACCTTTCACCCTGGACAACTGACAGCCCCATGGAGCTCTGAGCCCAGTCCTGGTGTGGTCCTGGGATGCCCGTCTACAGATCTCGCTGGGGGAGTCCAGGGCATTAATCATTAAGTAACTCTGCTCATTCGGTTTTGGTCTCTGTTCTCAGTACTTAAGTACCTGGACTTTTGGGGGGTTGGGTGGAGGAAGGAGGGGTCTCCAGGAACCCAGAGGAGCCGCATCTGAACGGGGGTCTGAGCGTAGAGACTGAGCCCCAAACCCCAGCCAGGCGCCTCAGGTCACCCTCTGACATCTGCTCTGATGCTCTTGACGGACTTCACGGGTCAGAGGGTGAGGACAGAGGACAGAGTCAGCTGGCTCGCTAAAGTACATTAATAATTTGTGAGACCTCAGAAGGTCCTGGTTTGTCTTTTGCTCCTTCTTGCAGGGTGCCAGCCCCGAGACCCGGCACCCGCCCCCCCAAACAAGGAGGAGTGCTGGGGCCCCAGGCCTCACGGCCTCGTGCAGCCGGGCCAGGCCCAGCCCTCCAGCCTCCTCTCCAGCTCTTTGGGAAGTAGAACAGACAGTAGTACTGCCAGTTGGGACAGGGTGGGGACCGGGTCCAGGGACCAGCGGGAGCCCAGGTTTGCTGTCAGGCCTGTGACTTCAATCTTGGAGCAAAAACTGCATTTTAGTGGGAGGTGGGCGGGAGAGGCGGGAAGGACTCTGGTTAACGCAGGGCAGGGACTGGCAGCCACTCTGTGCACAGAACTTGCTCTTGGCTGGCTAAGGCTGACCCCGTCAAACAGCAGCAGTGTCTGCTGTCCCCACTGCGCCCATGGGTGTGGGATGAGGAAGGGAGGGCCCCTAGCCAGCCCCCACGGGCCACCCTAACTTTGGCCTTACCATTTCCTCAGCCCCCAAGAGCCCAGGGCTCAGGAGCGCAGCCCCAGGAGAGGCTCTCAGGTGGCACTGCCAGTGGGCTCCGGGGTGGCACGAGGGCCCCGTCTCACAGGGAGGGTCCCCAGTCCACTGCCCTCCTTGAGGGGGAAAAGGCCAGCAAACTTGACCTGCCACCCTCTAAGGGTGGCTGCCAGAGCTGGCCACCAGCTCCTCTGCCATCAGCCATCTCCAGGGCTGGGGGACTGGGCCCTGCACCTTACACACACACACACACACACACACACACACACACACACACACACATGAGCCCCAGACACTCCGCTAACCTCAGCTGTGACCTCGGTTCTCACCCAAACAGCGGCCCCTGGCCCAGCTGGTCCCCTAACCCATACCTCGGCCCCTCCCCACGGCCTCCCTCCACATCCTCCCAGCTCCCACCTTCAGTCCCAATTCTACCCCAAATCTGTGTCCCACCTGCCTCAGCCAGGTGATGAGTTCTGGGACCTGCAGATCTCACCCTGTCACCAAATTCTGTTGGGACACTGGTGGTTGGGGGTTTGCGAGGGGCAGGAAGGGCTGGCCCCAGGGGCGTCTCAGAGGTATGCTGCAGAAGTTGGGGGAGGGAGACTCCATGAAGCTGAAACGGGCCATGCCACTCGCCCATGAGGGACCTGATGCCCAGGAGGTGGCCCTGGCCCGTCCCCAGCTTCAGGTGTGAGGAGCTGAGAGCTGGCAGCGGGAGCATGACGTCCTGTGGGAAGATGCTGCCCTCTCCGCACACTGCGCCCCCTTGTTAAGAGAAGCTGTCCTGGCCTGAGCCCCACCCAGGGCCTGCACACTTCGTTCCCCACAGGCCTTCTGCTTGGCCCCTTTTGACCTCATCAAAGTTCGGCTACAAAACCAGACAGAGCTGAGGGCACAGCCTGGGAGCCACCCACCCCGATACCGGGGGCCCGTGCACTGTGCGGCCTCCATCTTCCAGGAGGAGGGGCCCCGGGGGCTGTTCCGGGGAGCCTGGGCTCTGACGCTGAGGGACACCCCCACGGTGGGAATCTACTTCGTCATCTATGAATGGCTCTGTCGCCAGTTCACGCCACATGGCCAGAACCCCAGTAAGTGAAGTAGTGTGAGGGGCTGGGAGCAGAGAGGAGTGGTGTGGGGCGCTGGGGGGGGAGAGAAGGGCAGGGGGAGGGCGTTCCTCCGTCTGACCCTGGCCCGGGCTCGCTCTCCCCCAGGCTCAGCCACAGTGCTGGTGGCCGGGGGCTTTGCAGGCATCACCTCTTGGGCGGCAGCCACCCCCTTGGACGTGATCAAGTCCCGGATGCAGATGGATGGGCTGAAGCAGAGGGAATACCGGGGGATGCTGGACTGCATGGTGGCCAGCGCCCGGCAGGAAGGGCTGGGGGTCTTCTTCCGGGGCCTGACCCTCAACAGTGCCCGCGCCTTCCCTGTCAACGCCGTCACCTTCCTCAGCTACGAGTACCTCCTCCACTCGTGGGGATGACCCTGGCTGGGCACTGACAGCAGCTAGCTCCCCAGTGGGACTGACCACCACCCAGCTACCCAGATTGAAGGCCAAGTTGAAAGCACCAGGTTGAAATTTCAATGTAAGAGGCTCAACCTTTCTTGTCAAGGCGCCTCCCAGTCCAGAAGATGCAGATGTGGACGGGGAGACAGCACTGGGGACCCCGCCCAGAATCCAGGGCAGGCCTCAGCCCCTGGAGCTCTTGCCTTGATTCCTTCATACACCAAGTAACCAGGGGTGCTGGTGACATTCCTTCCCGCATCCAGCGACTTTACCCGTTCAGGAGCTCCTCCACTCCCCTGCCTGGCTGCTAACGGTCCCCTGGGTTCCCAGGGCAGTGTCCACCTGCACCTCGCCTTACTACCCATCAGACCTCTCCCTGCCTGACTCCAGAGTGGCCGTTACATCTCCTGGCCTTTGGAGTCCTACAGTGACTCCCATCATGCTCAGGGAAACCCAAACTCCACCCCCTCCCGATGGGGTGCTGGGGGAATCTCCCCGCCCGCTCACCTTGACCACAGCCCTCACCTGTCGTGGTGCTTGGCTGACTTCCCTGCTGCCTCATTAAACTGCCAGCTCCCTGAGGCCAGTGGTCACACATCTGCTCATTTCCCAGCTCAGAGCCCGGTGCTCGCAGCAGCCCAGCAAATACCTGTCGAAGGAAGTGGAGTTGCATTCCTGGCCTCTCTCCTGACTGCAGCCACCCTGCTTCCTTGGTCATGTCCCTGCCCCTACCAATGCCCCCAACCCTTCACTGAGAGGTTTGCCTACCCTGGGGTCACTCCCAGTGGAGGGGTACCAGAAGTCAGGGGTATCTGCTGGGCCTGCTCCCATGCATGGCACATACATACTTATCTCAATTGCAAAGTGAGCATTAAAAACTGGCTAAGAGAGCCCTGGCTGGTGTAGCTCAGTGGATTGAGCGCGGGCCCGTGAACCACAGGATCGCTGTTTGATTCCCAGTCAGGGCACATGCCTGGGTTGCAGGCCGGTTCCCTGCAGGCCAGTTCCCAGCAGGGGATGCACAAAAGGCAGCCATACATTGATGTTTCTCTCCCTCTCTCCTTCTCCCCCTTCCCCTCTAAAGATAAATAAATAAAATCTTTAAAAAAAAAACAAAACTGGCTAAGAGAGCCCTGGCTGGTGTGGCTCAGTGGATTTGAGTGCCAGCCTGCAAATCAAAGGGTTGCCGGTTCAATTCCCTGTCAGGGCACGTGCCTGGATTGTAGGCCAGGTCCCCAGTGGGGGGCACGTGAGAGGCAACCACACATCGATGTTTCTCTCCCTCTCTTTCTCCCTCCCTTCCCCTCTCTAAAAATGAATAAATAAAAATCTTTTTAAAAACTGGCTCAGAGGGTCCATTTAGTTGGCGATAAAGCCTAGCAGTGTCTGTACCTGCTGAGTGTCCTGACCTGGTCTGAGACCAGCCTGTGCCCGAGCCTGGTGATCTGCATGCCCAGACTCCCCGCGGTCCCTGGCACTCCCTGTGAAACCGGGCATTCTGAGTCGCTGCCGAGGGAGGAGACGGCCTCGCTCAGTCAGTGCTCGGCCAGTCCCAGGTTACACGGCTGCCACAGCACACAACTTGCCCCGATGTGTCTGCGCACCAAACTCTCAGCTTTCCCTGGGGACAGTGACAGTCACCCATAAGTCACCTGAGTTCACAGTCACCCGGGTAGGCCTGCCAGCCTCAGTCCTGACCTGCGCTCCTGAGCTGTCCTTCACCGGATCATGGGCCGCAGGCCGCAGGGGGCACTCCACATCTTTCTGCCTTCTCCCATCGTCGCAATGCGGCCCCAGGGCATGTAGCCACAGAGCCAGGCCGTGTGTGCCAGCCTCGCTGGCACCTGCATGGGGCCCTGCATCGGGCCGCGCGTCTGGGGTCTTGCTGGAGAAACGTGTGATGTGGCACATTGCCCATCGCTTGCTTTCAAGGAACTCCCTCACTGTCGGCTGAAGTGGTGATGGGCGGGACTACTGAGGATGCAGTGGGCGCCCCGCCAGCCCCAAACCTGCGAGACTGCTGCTTTCGGACGTCTCTTTGCTGCGACAGTTTGGCCCTCACCCTCACTCACAGAGTGGTCGCGGCAGTCCCGGTGTGGCCTGTGGGGGGGGGCAGCGCTGTCAGCACCTCCTGGAGCTGGTGAGCCCCGAGTCCCGGGCACCACCGGGACTGAGTGAATCAGACTGCCTGAGGCTGCGGCCCGGCACCCTGTGCTGTGCGATGCAGAACTCTCCCGAGGCCCGTGTGCACACTGCGCCGTGTTCTGGCTGGGGCAGTGTGTGGCTGGGAGGGGCCACGAGCCTGCGTGTGAGAGGGGAGGCAGCTCTACAGCCCGGGGCAAGAGGGGTCAAGAGTCAGGGCAGTGCTCTGAAGTTTTCCGTCTCTCGCCCATCACCAGTTAGCAAGGGAATGAAATACAAAACCCCTTTTTTGGTTTCGTTTAAATTGAATCCCTTTTGGGGTATTTCATTGAATCTCACCCATAAGCCTGCCTTTGCACTGTCTGGGCACACGCTTCTGTTTTCTCTCTCCAGTCCTCTTGGGAGGCAGATGCTGCCTGGAGCTACCCTACTGCCAGCTCGCGTTAGAACCAGAGAGCGTGGTGGGCCTCACCGTCCCCCCACTAGTCCAGTTGCAGGGCGGCGCTGCAGCGAGGGTAGGGTTAAACTTGGCTGAGCAGTGAGAAAGCAGGTCACTCCTTCTGAGGCCTCAGGAGGCCCCAGGGCAGGAGGTTGGAGGGAGGCTGGAAAGACAAACAAAGTCAGTCAGGAAATGACTGACTGGAGCATAAGTTTACTGATGTTTTTGTAGAGGGATAGGAAGGGAGAGAGAGAGAAAAAAAACATCCACGTGACAGAGAAACGTCAACCCCAAACTACGCTTCAATGGAGCCCCCTGGCCAGGGCATGACTGAAGACATATATATATTTATTTCAATATATTTTATTGATGATGCCATTACAGTTGTTCTATTTCCCCCCTTCATTCTCCTCCACCCTGCACACCCCTCCCCCACCATTCCCCCCCTTTAGTTTATGACCACATGTCTCAAGTTCTTTAGATTCTATATTTCCCCTATTATTCTTGCCCTCCCCCCTATTTTCTACCTACCGTCTATGCTACTTATTTTCCATAACTTCTCCCCCCTTCTCCTTCTCCCACTCCCCTGTTGCTAACCCTCCATTTGATCTTCATTTCTATGGTTCTGCTCCTGATCTAGCTGTCCTCTTAATTTGCTTTTGTTTTAGGTGTGGTTGTTGATAACTGTGAGTTTGCTGTCCTTTCACTGTTCATCTTTTTTATCTTCTTTTTCTTAGGTAAGTCTCTTTAACATTTCATATAATAAGGGCTTGGTGATGATGAACTCCTTGAATTTGATCTTATCTAAGAAGCACTTTATCTGCCCTTCCATTCTAAATGAAAGCTTTGCTGGATAGAGTAAACTTGGATGTAGGTCCTTGCCTTTCATAACTTGGAATACCTCTTTCCAGCCCCTTCTTCCCTGTAAGGTCTCTTTTGAGAAATCTGCTGACAGTCTGATGGGAACTCTTTTGTAGGTGACTGTCCCCTTAGCTCTTGCTGCTTCTAGGATTCTCTCCTTCCTTTTAATCTTGGCTAATGTAATGATGATGTGCCTTGGTGTGTTCCTCCTTGGGTCCACCTTCTTTGGGACTCTCTGAGCTTCCTGGATTTCCTGGAAGTCTATTGCCTTTGCCAGATGGGGGAAGTTCTCCTTTATTATTTGTTCAGATATCTTTTTCACTTGTTGCTTTTCCTCTTCCCCTTCTGGTACCCCTATAATTCAGATGTTGGAACATTTAAAGATGTCCTGAAGGTTCCCAAGCCTCTCATTTTTTTGAATTCTTGTTTCTGCATCCTTTTCTGTTTGATCATTTTTTTCCTCCTTCTGGTCCATCCCTTTGATTTGAGTCCCAGTTTCCTTTCCATTACTATTGGTTTCCTGTGCATTTCCCTTCATTTCAATTAGTTTAGCCTTCATATGTTCCTCTAATTTGTGACTAAAATCAACCAGTTCTGTGAGCATCCTGATCACCAGTGTTTTGAACTGTGCATCTGAAAATTTGGCTATTTCTTCATCGCTTAGACTTATCAGCTCTGGGGCTCTGAGTTGTTCTTGAGCCATGTTTTGATCTGTTCATGCCTGTTACGTATGAGGAGTGGAGCCTTAGTTGTTCACCAGGGCGGGGCCACCCAGGTTGCTGGTTTGTGACGCTGTATGTGGGGGCGGGTCAGAGAGGGACAATAGTGGTCCCCTCTGCTGCTTCCCGCCACTGGGGCCTGCGTGGTCTGTCTCACTGCTTGTTCCTTCACCGGTTTATCTGCTCTCGAATGTGTGACCGTGGTCAGCCCTTAATGAGTCCACCGCCTTGCACCCTCAGTGGGTCCGCCCACTACTCCACACCTGGGATCCACCCACGGCTGCTGACGCACCTGGGTTGTGCACCCAGGTCAGTCCAGTGGATCTTTCCTGCCCGACCCCGCTCTGCTGCTGGCCCTGCCCCTCTTACCAGTTTGGCCAAAGGGTTCGTTGTTGTCAGACTTCCGTATAGTTCAATTTTCTGTGGTTTGGCTGCATTTTTGTTGCTAAAACCTCGTTGTTTTTAAACTTGGTTGTGCAAGAAGGTACAGTGCTTCCACCTACGCCTTCATCTTGGCGGAAGTCCTGAAGATATATTTTTAAAGATTTTATTTATTTATAGAGAGGGAGGAAGGGAGGGAGAAAGAGCAGGAGAGAAACATCAATGCATGGTTGCTTCTCATGTGCCCCCTATTGGGGACCTGGCCTGCAACCCAGGAATGTGCTCTGACTGAGAATCGAACTGGTGACCTTTTGGTTTGCAGGCCAGCACTCAGTCCACTGAGCCACACCAGCCAGGGCTGAAGATATTTTTAAAAGCTAGATGTTTTCACATCAGCAGTCTCTCACAATGTGCGTGTTAAATTCCTGCAGGAATGAACACATGTCATCAGAGGTCATTACTGTTCTTGAGACCCATTTAGACAGAAGGAATCTCTGAGGACGAGGGAACAGCCAATGAGCTGCTCTGAGGTTGAAGGCGGGGCCGGTGCCTGAGGGTTGCGTGTAACGTTCAGCTGTTTCTCATCCGACCTGCGTTGTCCAACATCATATGCACCCATTTTCACAGTGGTGGTCACAGGAGGAGAGATTACAGGGGACTAACCTATGTGTGTAGTGACACTAAGGCCGCACATGCAGGTGAAGGGGCAATGACAGACTGGGGTGACTCTGGCATGGATCACTCCTGCCAGACTCACTAAACAGACGAGTTTAGTTTCATTAAGAGAAGTCACTCTTAACTGGCGCCTCCAGACTGACCACTGTCCTGAGCTGCGGTTGCAGACTGCCGACTCCGGTCCCAGGGCCTTGCGCATCCCGAAGACACCTGCCCAGGTGTCTCAAAGAGGCTTCCCCTCTCCCCTCCTCTTGCTTCAAAGGAGTCTCCAATTCCTGTGGTCCAGCTCCCAGAGCTTGCTGGGACCCACTCCCTTCTTTCCAGTACTAACTCGGGCATATCTCAGAGATGTTTCAGCCTTGGTTCGACCACTGAGATGCAGTGACTATCACAACAAAGGGAGTCATGTGAGCGTTTTGGTTTCCAGTGCATACAAAAGTTGTTTATGTGATACAGTAGTCTACTGTGGGCAACAATAGCGTGTGCCTAAAAAAAATGCACATGACTTAATTTAAAATACCTTCTTGCCTTGGCTGGTGTAGCTCAGTGGACTGAGCGCCAGCCTGTCAACCAGAGGGTCACCAGTTCGATTCCCAGTCAGGGCACATGCCTGGGTTATGGGCCAGGTTCCCAGTTGGGGGCACGTGAGAGGCAACCACACACTGATGTTTCTCTCCCTCTCTTTCCCCCTCCCTTTCTCTAAAAATAAATAAATAAAAATAAAATCTCACCAAAAAATATCTTCTTGCTAAAAAATACTGACCATCATGGGAGCCTTCAGCAAGCCATAACCTTTTTGCCGGTGGAGGGCCTCATCTGCAGTTGTAAAAAGTACAACATCTGCGAAGCACATGAAATGCAGTAAAGCGAGGTGTGCCTGCACAACAGCCTTGGTTCTGCCCTGAATTTGGACAAATAACTTTTTCAAATGCATTTCTGATCGTGTTACCATACTCCTCTTGCCCCTTTGATGGCTTCCCATTACTCTGGGGAATCAGGGCAAGCTCCTTCCACAGCCTCCAAGGCCCCAGGACATTCACCTTCTCGCGGTTCCTTAAGCATGCAAGCTTCCCTCCCACCACAGGACATTTGCACCTGTTGCTCTCCCTGCCTGTGCACTTCCCACTCATCCTTCAGCTCTTAGCTCAGTATCACTTCCTCAGTGAAACCTTCTGCAGCCCCTCTGTCTAGCTCAGGTTCCTTTGGCATAGATGCACCTGGAGGGCTCGTTAGACTACAGATCGCTGAGTCCCGCCTGAATCTCAGATTCAGTAGGTTTGCGGCGGGTCTGAGCATGGGCGTTTCACTAAGGTCCCGGATGCTGTGGGGCACAGTTTGAGAACTACTGGCTTGGGCTTTCATGTCATCCCCCTTGTGGTCTGTAATTATAGACTCTCATTTGGGTGGCTCTTTGATTATAATCGTCTCTCCTCTAAACTATGGGCTCCATGAAGCAGAGAACTTGACTCTTTTTGCTCATCATCAATCATACTCTAACTGGCATACAGAGGTGCTCAATAAAGTTTTGAACAAATGAATGAATGAATGAATGAATGCAAGAAAACTGGTCTTCCTGACTTCCCCTCTGTCACGCTGGTGCTCTAGACTTTATGTAGAGCGCTCCTATCAACAAGTAACTAGACTCTAGATCCAATACAACAGACACAATTTAAGAACCATTTGTGGAGAGAGCCATGTGGTTTTGGGAAGAGTGAGGACCCACTCTTGGTGAGGTGAAAAAGAGAGCCACGTGGTTTTGGCAGGGTGCAGACCTGCTCTTTCCCAGGTGAAAGGGAAAACCACAAAGCTTTGCCAGAATGGAGATCCCTGCAGCCAGGTGAAGAAGAAAGACATGCGCTTTTGGTGGAGTGCGGACCCCTGCAGCTTTGATAGAAGGGGCCCACACAGCCTGGGGGTGCTCCCTTTGGCCGCGTGGCCTGGGAAGCAGGAGAGACTTTGCCTGGAAAAATGGGTACAAAGAACTCTTGCCAGTGGACTATGAGAAGGTGCCACATAACTTTGGATTAACTGGAGATCCTGCCTGAACAGCGACACAGCTGACAGTGCCAGCGACCTGAAACACAGACATGTGCTTCTTTTCCTGAGATACGGTACCCCAAATTAGGGCAGGGGGAGAAGGCAGCGCTGCAGGCATCTGCGGTTATCCTAAAGGACTTTGATATTTTTATGGGGACATCGGGTTACTACTTTAAGTCTGTACAGCTTTAAATAAACTTTTCCTTTCTTTTTCACACACACACACACACACACACACACCCATTTGTAACTTTGCAAATAGTAAGGGAACTCCCTGAGGACCCCTTCAAGACAAGACAGTGAGTGCAATCAGGTTGTCTCTACAGCTTCCCTTAAAGCAAATTCTAACACCATGACCTGGAAGATTAAAGAACCACCTCTAGTCCAGAAGACTAGGAAGACCTTGAGTCCTGGCTGAACCCAAGTCTCGTACATTGTCAAGATCTTGGAAGGGGCTGCATCTTTAGTAAAAGTGTAGACCAGAAAATCTCTCCTAACCAGTAAAGGAAACCTACAAAGAAATCTGCCTTTCTCCCTGTGGCGGAAAGAAATTAAGAATAAGATCCACTCCCCTGTGAACCAGGAACCAACCACATATATGCCTGCTCACGAGGCCCCCGTTTGGGCCTGGATTCGTTCCTCCCAGAAATTAATTTATCATGGTGTTAGCGCCCCCTCGTGCCTCACAGGAGTAACTACATTCTTTTCTAACGAAGAGCACCCTAAATCAGAATCTTCAGGTTTTCCGGAGATTCAGAGCAACCAATTAAAAAAAAATCCCACAACAAAAATTACCAGACCTTCCTGGAAAAATGCCACCATAAACTAAAGCATCAGTAAAAAAAAAAGAAGAAGCAACAGATTTAGCCCCCCCCCAAGCATTTCAGATATTAGAATGATCAGATCCAGAATGTGAAATAACCACGCAAAAATATTTAAATACATAAAGGAATTAAAGGAGAAGAAACAAAACAGCATAAAAATAATTACATATATTTGAGAAAAAACAAAAAGTTGTCACAGCTGAAAAGAAGTGGAAGGCAGATGATAAGAAACTACTCCAAGTGCACTGCAGAGATGTAGGAAGAACGGGACCCGTCTTTCTGCCTGTTGGGCTCCCTGCATCCAGTCCATCATCTTCTCAAGACTGAGGATGACAGTGCCATCTGCCATATGTGCAGTGGTTAAGATAGTGCCTGGCAAGCAGAAAACACTGTGCAAATGCAAATGAATTTGTTTAATCCTCACGATTGACCTGGATCGCCAGCCACTTGCTACTTCTCTCTAGTCCGTGCGCATCTAGAAACAGGGACTGTATCTTGTTCAGTTTTGCTGCCCTGGAGCCTTGCACGCCTTCTGAACGTAGAGGGTGTTATATGCTTGTAAAGAAACTGAAATAATGTAAATAAAATTTTTTGGCCATCTCTTACTTTGCATGTGGAAATACCTGCAAAAATTGGTAGGACTGCCCGGCCTTGATTTTTAAAAAAGAGCCGACCTGTTGGGAATAGTTCTCGTCATTCCTCTCCCCATCACACCTTATGCCCACCCAGGAGGAAGCCCCGCCCACTCCATAGATTCTGAACTTGATTTCCTGGTTCCCACTTTTGCTGCTCCCCAGCTCCCATGTTTTTCACGTAGCAACTAAAATTAGATTTTTAAAAACATAAAACATATCTTGTTCCTCCTTTATCTAAATCTCCCACCACCCCCAAAATAACTTCCCATCTCACTCAGAATGAAATGTAAATTCCGCCGGCCCAAAGGCCCCGCCCACCTCTGCCCCCTCATCCTCTCCTCGGCCCTCTTGCACTTGCAGCCCCAAGCATGTCTTTCTGCTTCTCAAGCTTGTCGTTTCTGACCTTAGACATGGCACCCGCTGTTCCTTGGCAGGGGACACTCTTCCTTTGGTAGTGTTTCCTTCTTAATTTGCACGATTTAGCGCAAACGGCATGTCCCTGAACCCCCTCTCAAAGTCGCTCCTGGTGGCATCGTCTTTTCACCTCACTCATCAGAACCTAAAATCCCGCGGTTATTTCTGCACCTGGGCATCTGTAGCTCCCTCTACTAGGAGGTAAGGGATCCGCTCTGTCTTGTTTGGCATGAGCTTAGGGTCCTAGAACACAGCCTGCCCAGCAAGCAAGACTTGAATGAGCCACCAAAGTCACCTGCACCTAGGCAAAGTGTGGTATGTGGTAACAATGCAAGGAAGGGGCGGCGGGGGAGGGGAAGCTCTGGGAAGAAGTCAGTGATAAAACCTGCTTCTGCCTAACAGGAATATGACACCCGAGACAGAGAGCTCATCTGTCCCCTCTACGTTACTTTGGTCAGGCCTTTAGAGTTATATAATTTTGGTTTTCACATTTAAGAATAGATGTCAGAACTGGAATGATTTCAGAAAAAGGACAATTTAAACGACTGCGGGCTAGGAAAAACAGAATCCGGGAGGGAAGGCTAAATGATTTGGGATCTTAGGCTAGAAAAGGCAGGCCAGCCGGTAGCTTCAGGGCTGTTTAAAATTGAGTCGTCCTCATTGCCCAGCTGCCGGATGTTGAGGTGGTCAGTCAGGGCAAGTCACGCAGCCTTTATTCCCTTACTGTGACAATGCAAGCAAGTGGCAGAGAGTCACCACCTCCCCAGGGTTCCAGTTTCCTCAGTAGACCAGCACCGGGCGAGGGTCAGATGACAGGCAGACCAGGGACTGTCTCACTGTCAGAAACCCCTGCCTCTTGATGGGCTGTGGACTGGGGGAGAGAGAGTGAGAAGGGCTAGGAATAAAAGGGCTTTGACTGGTCAAAGTGGAGAGAGCGTCTCAGCGGGGGCACCTAGGAAGTGCTTGCGTGGTGTCCCCTGGAAGGAGGTGCCTGAGCTCTGAATGCAGGTAGCCACTGGGCTGCCGTGAGTGGCCTGAGTCCTTGACAGCTATGCCCTCCACGGAACTGCACGCTCGGGCTTGTGGCTGCCTGTGGTCGGCCTGAACACACAGGATTTTGGTCTAGAGCCATGATTCTCACCAGTCAGAGTCTGTCTGTGCCCAAAGCCCACATCCTTCCAGGTAAAACCATCCTCATGCTCCCATGTTCTGGCTCAGGCTTCACCATCCCTAAACCAGTCGGAGTCTCTCTGCCATCTTTGATTTACCTTCCACATCTCCGTTTTCTAGAACCCCACAAATGACCTGTCATTCTCTGGCTAAAACCTTTTGGGGTGCTTCACCACCAAACTTGGAGGTCTAATGGCTCCTCCAGCTCCTGGGGCCTCCTCGTGGCTCTGGTGAGAATGCCTGACTCAGCACCTGCCACTCCTGGACCTGGACTATGCTTCCCACCCCTGTCTGTTCTTCAAGCTGCAACTCAAAACTCACCTCCTCCAGGGGTCTCCCAGGCTCTACAGGGCCATAGCGCTTTGCACATAATCACACTCCACTGTCATTGTCTGCAAGATCCTGCCCAGCAGGGACCTCATCTTTGCAACCTTGTCACACAGGCCTTGCTGAAAAGATGTTGTGGAATGATCAAGTGAATGACAGGAAAAACAACCAACCAAAAAACAAAACAAAAACCAAAACCAATGACTATTCCAAGTTCTGGTTCTTTTCTGTTTCCCCAGTAAGTCCCTAGCCCGCCCCCTCCCACTGATACCTCCTCCCCTCCCGCAACCTGAGAGCTACGTTAGCAGAGCAGCAAGGGGTATGGAGCAGTGTCTGAGATCCTGGCAGCTGAGGAGGCGTCCCGGACCCTGGGAGTCCTTCCTGCTGGCATTCTGTAAGAGGAGGGTCCCTGTGGTCACCTGCAGACAGCTCCGGACAGCTGTGTGGTGGCCACCCTCAGCCATCAAGTTAAAAAGCTGAGTTGAAACCATCTACCCTTTCCCTCTGAAAATTACACCCTGGCCTCTTTTCTGATTAAAAACTTTATTTTCAGAAGCAGAACTGTTTTTAACAGAGTTCAAGACACTGACCTGTCTGCGAAGCCCAAATTTCACCTACCCAAGTCCCAGCCTCCCTGGAGGTCCAGAAACTACCGAGCCGAGCCTCACTTCGGTTGCCCTTCCCTGGGCTCCGATAACTTAGACTTGTTCTCCTGACTTGTCCCACTTCTACACCATTCACAAAAGCCCCATTTCCACTGGAAAGAGACAAGCTTCCCACCTGCCTTCTGTGACAGGGCGTTTCCACGGGAAACACACAGGAGGGGGCTCTGGCGAGGAGCAGGCACCCTTCACAGGCAGCAGAGTCGCTCAACCTCCTCCTCACAGGCATAGAATTTTTCAAATAGCTCAGGGGAGGTGCCATTGCACTCAAACCACCTCCGAAGTGTGCCCAGGGCCCGGAGGACGTCGGCTCTGGTGGGCAGGGGCTCGCAGCCATCCTCCCCAGCCCCCTCCTCGTCTTTGGTACCCATCTCCTCTTTGCACACCCCAGATGTGGCCTCCTCACCCTCCAGGTCCACAAAGCGGGAGAATTCATCAAAGCTCAGCCCACCAGGGACAGGCAGCATCTCAGAGGCTTTGTCCGAGGACAGGGGCATTTCGCAGGGAGCTGGCCCTTCCTGAAGGAAGCTGCTTACAATGAACTGGGGAGGCACCTTAGCCCAGGCTGCCGCTGCCATGTGCAGCACGTCCAGCACTGTGATGCCTGCCCCAGCCTCGGCCAGCGACATGCCGGCCCTCTTGCTCTGGACAGCTGCCAGCTTGCCCAACAGACGGTGCCGGTAATGGGCCTTAAAGGCCCGGATCACAGAGCTGGGCAGAGAAGGTGTGGCGCTAGTGGTGGAAAGAGGCAGGAGCCTCACATGGCAGAGCCCAGGCAGGCCTGCCAATTCCTCCATCACTTGGGCAGCCAGCAACAAGGCTACCTGCCGGCCCTGCCTCCCCATGTCCCAGTCAAACTGTGCCAGCCACTCTGACCAGGGGGTGCCCACTTCAGGGTGGTAGGAGGCAGGCAGAGCCTCACTGCTGACCCCAAAGAAGCAGCTGGGTGCAGCCTGGAGCCCACTAACCAGTACCCGCCGCTTCTCTGTGCCCCTGCTATTGGCACACAGCAACACCTGCACTTGATCACCTGCACCTACTCTGCCGGGCACTGCTCGACACAGCAAGGGCACTTCAGCACAGCCAAACACATCCTCCGGGGAGAAGTCTTTCAGGGAGAGAGGCAGCTGAGTCTGGGACGTGAGGCCTGGGGGAGGTGGCTCAGGGGGGAACAGAGGTGCTAGTACATGGCGGGTCCCAAAGCCCACATTGTTTCGGCGTTTCCAGCGGACCAACCAGCCAATGCTGGGCACAAAATCCTGGCCCAAGATGTCGGCCAGCTCCCTGGCTTTGTGGAGCAGCATGGGTCCCGTCACATCCCAGGCCTTGGCCCGGGCGATGTGGTACCAGCAAAGCAGAGCCTCATCGATGCCGCTGTACTTGGACTCCCGCTTGCGCTTACGCTCGTGGTTGGCGGTGCCGCTGCACCAGTCTGCCAGCAGCTTCTCCTTGTTCTTGCAGATGCGTGAGATCTGGGGCTGGGAGACCCGGAAGCGCCGGGCCACCTCTGACTGGGACATCTTGGACTCATCCAGGAGTTCCAGCACCTGGATCTTCTCGGCCAGGGATAGAGCGTGAAGCTTCTTCTTGCTGCTCAGCTCCATGGTTTCTCCAGGGCACCTGTAGGGGAGAAAACAGTGACAAGGGGTCAAAGCACTGAGGCCACCTGGCACAGGAGAGGAGCACTGTGAGGAAGAGACTCTATGAGCAAAGGGACATCAGCTGGTATGTGGGGGAAACCATGGGGCACAGGATCACCTGGGGAGGGTGAAGAGGGCTGCGCTGAAAGAGGAAGGGAAATGGCTAGACCTGCCGGGAGGAATGCCAGAACAGAGCTGGAGGGGAGGTGGCTCACTGGTCAGAAGGAGAAGGGAGTTTGGGCAGGACTTTGGTATAGTTGGGGGAGACTACGAATAGAGCTGAGGGGACAGCTGCATAGACAGCAAAAGAGTTTAGATGGGGCAGGACATGAGGCTGGGGCTGAGTGGCGCTGGCTAGGGATAATCAGGGCTCCAGGAGAAGAAAAGGGATGACGACCTGGGTTGGATTTAGATGAAGCTCTTAGAAGATGGGGTGGTGGGGTGGATGGACGAACAGAGTCGAGGCAACTGGTGTACGGAAGACAAAGAAGGATGGGGCCTGAAGGAGCAAATCTAATTTGGCGCTGGGTTCTCAGGAGGTAAAGGGGGGCAGGGTTCAGGTTTAGAGCGTAAATGGGAGCACAAGGCCTAGAGAGCAGGTGCACAAGCGACAGGGGACAAGAAGGGTGAGGAGACCATGGGTAGCATGAGGGTGTCTCTAGCAGGTAAGGTGGTTGTCTGGGACGGGTATCAGGGTGCAGGCAAGAGCGCCGGGGACCCAGGCAGGCCAGGAGCCAGGCTCCACAACCTGGTGGGCTTCTGTCTCTCTAGACGCGGGGTCGTCCTTGGGGTGGACCCGGGAGTTTCCCGCCGGGCCTCCCCGCCTTGCGGCCTTCTGTTCTGCACCCACCTCAGGCGCTCGTCCCGCAGCTCCCGCCCTGCCTTGGCCTGTCTCCCGAGTCCCGGTCCAGGCGGCAAAGGGAGAGTAGGGGAGAGACCGGCGCCAGGACCCGAAGGGCAGAGCGGGCCGAGGGGCTGCGCTGACGGAGGGCGGCGGGTGCGCGCACAGCAGAACACCAAGCGCGCCTCCCACTCCGGGCTCTCTCCCGGCTGGGAACCTACGGTGCAGCCGCTGGGCTTCCACCTTGCGCCTTAGACCAATCATATTGGCCCTCAGCAGATAGGTCCCGCCCCCACCTAAGCCCCATTGGACATCGCAGAAGGGGCGGTTCGTCAAGCCCCCTGGGAGGCGGGGCTTCCAGCGCGGGAGCCGTGTTAGACCCAGAACTAGGCCGGAGTCTGAGCGGCGCCCCTAGCACTTGAAGACCCAAGCCTCGGGGCAGCGTGAGGACCAGAGAGCAGATTTGGTGTCCCAAGACCTTTCTGGTCTCAGCTTCCTCATTTACCAAATAGGGTTAATGCCCCTCACGAAGTGGTTTTGAGAAAATGGAATCAAGCAGTTATGCTACACAAAATACCTTACCACGGAGAGCTTGGCCTCCACTCGCAACCTGGCTATGGAGAAACTGGGGCCAGTTCTGATTAAGGGTGAGTAAGGACTAATTTTTACCAGTTTGGTAACAGAATGCAAGTTTGGCTTACAAAGCCAACACTGGAGAGGCAGGTGCTGGTGTAAAGGAAAGTGGATTCAGGTGTTGGCAACCTGGAAGATGAGGGACTCTCGTCTGGAAGCCTCTCTCAGCAGCTCATGCGTCCTGCCTTAGTTTACACAGGAAAACCGAGAGAATGGGGAAACTAAGGAACTGCGACGTACAGTTTTGCAGCTCCACTCTTGGGTGGCTTCAATGTTACCTCCTGCGTGCATGCGTCATCATTCGCAGTGGTTCTGATGCTCGCCCAGTTCCTTGTGGTCAAGGCCATTTCTTGGTTAACCAGGAGCTGCAACTGCTGATGTCTATAAAATACTTACAAGGGAAGCTTCAATCATGAATCATGAAACTTCTATGAATTTGTTAGTACAGCCTATTCTGTAATTACCATGTGATTAGTACATTGTTTACTTCAATCACTGTTATAATTTTGATATCCGTTGGCAAGATTCATTTCTAAACCGAAGATGCAATAATCACTCCCTTTCTTAGTGACCTTCAGTTCTATCTGTTGTATGCAATCACATGCAAACGTCTCAGCCTGGGGTCCACGGCTCCCAGCTCCCAATTTCACCTGCTTCCCCACCTCACTTCATTCATCCCCTCACAGCTCTGACTGGAAGACCTGACCAAGGATCTGAGTCCCCACCTCTCCACCTTCCCCACAGGCTTCCCTCCCCACTGAGTCCTGCCCCCATTGGCCTTTTGTTCCATCTGAATCCCACTTCCTGCAAACCCTTTCCAAATTTCTTCCCATTCGTGCCTAATATTCTCATCTTTACGTTTCTTTTCTGGCCCTTGGACTACTCAGCCACAAAGGATCATTGCTTTACTCCCTGCACCTGTCCTACTTCCGTGTGGAAGCATGAGGACGGAGGCTGCCTTCTTTTCCTAATTCCAACCCACAGAAAAGCTTAAAGATACTTTGAGGGTTCATACCTGATTTAAAATATTTTTAAAAATTTTAGTAACTTCAACACACACTTATGCGGGATACATTAAGATCCACTGTGGAAGTTGTCAATGTTGGCTGCAGGGAAAGAAACTCATTTTTGCACACACAGCCATGCCCAAAGGAAGGCTGCAGGCTCGCACTGTGGTCCAAGGTCACACGCACTGCGCTGAAAATGAAGACACCGGGCAAGCACGGTTGAGGTGCCTCTGCTCCCCATGCTCATTACTTACCCAAAAGCCTTTCATGTGTCCCATTCTGGTGCCCTTAGTTTTCCTGTGTCACTCTTTAATACTGAAGTTAATAAGCTTCTGGGCCCATTTTAAGTATCTCAAATTCCAAGGTCAACTATTATTTATGTTTAGCTGAATTTCCTCCAAAGCAACCAAGATACAGAAATAAAAAGGATGCTAAAGTAGACTTTAAATTTTGTATTAATTAAAACAACTTCATTGTTTTTTATATCAAGGAACTATTATAACCTGCTTTACAGATTGGGGATCAGCAAGAATTTTAATTTGGGAAAGAAAGCTGTATTTTACCAATTTAAAAACCACTGTAAGGTAGTTTTAGAATGAAGTGGACTTCATAACCAGGAAAGGGAGTCAGAAGATAAATCATCCAGCAAATGGCTCTGTGTAAAAACGTTTATTTGTACTAATGTTTAGAGTACAGGAAAGAAAGAAAAAAAAAGACACAACTCCGAAGCGACAGTGAATTAGGGCCTGCCCAAGGCCAATGGGAAAGCCACTCCAGGGTGTCCTGGCATGGAGGGTCCCTCCCGCTACTTAAAGTGTCACCAGGCAGAAAACTGAGAAATCGGGGTGTGAAGACCTTACCAGCTGCTAGTGAGCGTGCAAGGGAAGAAAGGGGGTCTATGTGGTTTCCCCACGAACCCGGAGCCAGGATACAGAGAGCAGGAGGCAGAGGCTCCCAATTCAGTTAAGGGCAGGAGCTGAATACCCAGGTCTAGGAAGAACAAAAAGGGGATTTTGGAGGTAGGCTTTTTCATCGAGTTAAAAAACAGGCACATTGTCTGACATCTCCCGGTAACCCCCCAAGCGGCTGGCCTGGCCCCCTGATGCTTTCCCTCTCCCCACAAAACCAAAGGGAATAGGAAGGGAGGCAGAAGATGGGATATCCCGAGGGTGAGGAATGCTGCAATCACCGGAGACCGCCTGTAGGTGAGCCAGGTGAGCACAAGAAGAATCAGGGTGAAGCTGCTACTCCCTCCGGGGTGGGACAGGGCAGAGCCCAGAGGGTGACCAAGAGCGTCCTGGCTCAGGCAAAGGATCCTGGGTAGCAGGGACAGAGGGCCACAGAGAACCACCCTGGGGGAAGGAGGTGGTGAGGCTAAGCAGCAGGAAGGGCACGGAGAGCTCCTTGCAAGCCCATCGCAGTTTGCTTGGTTGCTTGCTCCCAGCTACTTCTGGTAGAGCCTGGCCTGGCTTGCCTCTGGGGGAACGGAAAACCCTGGGGACCAGAGTGGAGGCAAAGCTCAGAGAGAAGTGAGCTGTTCCCCCACTCGTTCTCAGTGGACACTGTTTGATCCCTGTGATGGCCGGGGCTCAAGGCAGGCAGAGTGAATGCACTTCAAGGAGAGCCGTGAGAAGCTGGGCCCCCAGGTGCGCCTCGGGGCAGTACACTGCTCGTTCTCCCTGAGGGCCTGGGGCCAGAGGCAGTCAAGAGCTGCCGCCTCAGTTCACTGTTGCCAGAGGCAGGTTGGCAGGACCACCCCCAGTTCTCTGGACTTGTGAAAGAGAGGAGGAAGGAAAAGGTGGGCATGAAAAATAAGAGAGGAGAAAACAGCCCTAGATGGATGGGCGGGGAACAGGGGGAGCGGCCACATCAAGAGGAATTCTGGTTCTGGTAGATGGAGGCTTTCTCCTTCAGCAGGTCCAGACACAAGTGGCAGCTCCAACTTCCTGCAGAGAGGTGTAATGGGGTTAGGATGAGTCCCACATGATCCTAATCTGCTGTCCTTCCAACCCTCACACATCACCTCCAGTAACAGGATCGCCATTGGCTACAGGAAGGATGGGAGGCATTCTGCAGTAGCGATTTCATAGTAATCCTGAGCTGGGAGAAGCTTCTAGGTCTTCAAATATCATGAAGAATAATTCTCAATGGAGACAAAATAAATATTCACCTGGAGGACTATTTCACCTGGAGAATACAGATTCCCAGACCCTCTTGGCCCTATTAAACCAGAATGTCTAGGAAGAAGGCCTGGGCAGATAGAAAAAAATTTTTTTTAAGATTTCATTTAGCCCTGGCTGGTGTAGCTCAGTGGATTGAGCACGGGCCTGCGAACCAAAAGATCACGGTTCAATTCCCAGTCAGGGCACATGCCTGGGTTGCAGGCCAGTCCCCAGCAGGGGATGCACCAGAAGCAACCATACATTGAAAAAAAAAATTTTCATTTCTTTAAAAAATTTTTTTAAAATTATTTTTATTTATTTATCTTTAGAGGGAAAGGGAAAGAGAGAGAGAGAGAAATATCAATGTATGGCTGCCTCTCGTGCGTCCCCTGCTGGGAACTGGCTTGCAACCCAGGCATGTGCCCTGACTGGGAATTGAACCGCGATCCTCAGTGGTTCGCAGTCCCGTGCTCAATCCACTGAGCTACGCCAGCCAGGGCTCATTTATTTCTTTTTAAAGGGGAAGGGAAGGAGAAAGAGAGAGAAACATCAATGTGTGTTACCCCCCACTGGGGACCTGGCCCACAAGCCAGGCCTGTCCCCTGACTGGGAGTTGAACCAGTGACCCTTTGGGTCGCAGACTGGCACTCAATCCACTGAGCCACACTAGCCAGGGCAGATTCTCCTACTTTTTTGTTTTGAGAAACAGAATTAGCCCCTAATGTCTTGAAATTACAAGCATAATTGTGAATATATGTATTTAAACATTATTCTGGGAAAGAATCCACAGCTTTTATCAGCTGTTCAGAAAGACCAGTGGCTCTCAAAAAATATGAAGGTCCTTTCTAGCCCAAAGGTCAACACGCAGGAAAGGGCTGACAAGCTTTTGTGCAAACAGCCAGACAGAGTGTTAAATATTTTAGGCTATGTGAGCCTTAAATAGTATTGGTTCCCTTTTTTTAAAAAAATATTTTATTTATTCATTTTTAGAAAGAGGGGAAGAGCAGGAGAAAGAAAGGGAGAGAAATATCAATGCATGCTTGCCTTTCATACACCCCATTCTGGGGACCTGGCCTGCAACCCAGGCATGTGCCCTGACTGGGAATTGAACCGGCCACCCTTTGGTTGGCAGCCTGCGCTCAATCCACTAAGCTACACCAGCTAGGCTGGTTACTTTTTTAAATTCCCTTTAAAAATGTGAAAACCGCCCTGACTAGTGTGGCTCAGTTAGGTGGTGGCACATCATCCCACATGCCAGGTCGCAGGTTTGATTTCCAATCAGGGCAGTCTAGATTGCGGTTTCGGTTCCCAGTTGGGACACGTGCTAGAGGCAACTGATCACTGTTTCTCTCTCACATAGATGATTCTCTCTCCCTCCTCTCCCTTCTCTTTGAAATCAATACCATGTTCTCTGGTGAGGATTAAAAAAATTTACAGCCCTGGCTGGTGTGGCTCAGTGGATTGAGTGCAGGCCTGCAAACCAAAGGGTCGCCAGTATGATTCCCAGTCAGGGCACGTGCCTGGGTTGTGGGCCAGGTCCCAGGTAGGGGGCACATAAGAGGCAACCACTCATTGATGTTTCTCTCTTCTCCTCTTCCCTTCTCTATAAATAAATGAATAAAATATTTTTTAGAAATTAGAAAAAAGGAACAAAGCAAAAGACGTTTAAGGTGAAAATCTTTCTTAGCTTGAGAGTCATATAAACTAGACGCAGCTGGATTTGGCGGAGGTAGTTTGCCAACCTCTAACCTATGCCATCTGGCGGCTTCTGAGGGCCCCCTGAGCTGCTTCCACTACTTCAATATCTGACAGTACTTCAAAAGGAAAGCCCTTCTACACTTCATGCAAAATTTTATCTGTAAATTGGTATTTTTATGATTAAAAAAATGAAATACAGAACTCGCTATTTCTCCCCAAAGCGATTTCTAAATCAGCATGCAACAAGAGCCGTGTGCTCTCTGCAGCTGCCAAAAGACTGACTTTGCCAGTGGCCTGCTTCTCGGGGGACACGGGGTAGTGGCAGCAGTCTGGCCTGTTACAGGTTGGCTAACAGCACACAGCGAGCCCCTTTCTCTCTGGCCCACACACTCCGTCCACAGTAACAGCAACTGGTGCATTCACGTCCTCCTAAGCCCCTCAATTTCTGTAAAGGAGGAGTTTAGTACAGAACTTTGGCTGGAAGGGGACTTGTAGAGAGGCAGCCACTTTTTGGTGCCACAAATGGTTTCTTCAAGTTTCCACAACCGTGGAGCATTATTAAGCAAACTATTCAAGATTCAGGTTCAACTCCTTTCCAGACTGGGCAGAAATGAACACTCAAATTTGTCAAGTTCAAACAGCTGACAACAAAACTGTTACTTCAGACAAGCTATCGTTAGTTTCCCCGACTGAATGAAGGCAAACAAATCACTACTTCTGGTAACTGTTCTCTGCTCAGTATCTGCTTTCTCTTGGGCTGCTGATATTCTTTCTGTGTTTACAAAGTTATCTGATGATAATGTGCAAGCATTAGACCCTTGAAGTAGAAGTCCTAGGAAAACATTCTAAAATGAGTGAAGACAAAGTGCTAACTCCCTAATTTGGAAGGATAAATCACTGATAAGAGAACTCATTTACTGTACAGGAGAAAGTCCAAGTTACTACTAACTGTTCCAACCCAGACAACCTACCTTCAGGAGGCTCAGACATGGAAGGAGTAAGACAGTACATATGGTAGCCACGATCGCAGTCATCACAGAACAGCAGCTGGTCCTGGAGAGGGCAGGATGAAAGAGGCAGGGGCAATAAATGACTAACAGGCTGATTAGCAGGAAGGAGGACTTCCGTAGACAGTGCTGCTATTTCAAAGAGGGGCGAGATAGGTGGCAGGAAAAACAGACGTGGGTATCTCCATACAGAAAACCACTGCTGTCCATCTCTACACTACCAGCTGCCTATCTGACCTCATGGTCTCCAGAGTGTCCTCTTCTCCACAGAGTAGCAAAAGTTACCTTTATAAAACAAAGACACACCATATCACTACCCTGATTAAACCTGGACCTGGTGGTCTTGCCTTCCAATCTCATCTTCCACCCTGCTCTCCCAATGGCGGAAGGCTCCGCCCAGCCACACTGGCTGCAATACACCTGGCTTGTCGGCCTTAGGTCTTTGCACTTGCTGATCCTTTCCTGGGAACGCTCCTCCTCCAAGTCTTCCTGGAAAGCTCCTTTGTATCATCCAAACCTCAACACCAACATCATCTCCTCGGAAAAGCCATCTCTGTCCAAATCAGCTGATTACCGTGTCACACTACTGGTTTCATTTTCTTCATGGCACAGCATTAAAATGCCACTTATTTCCTTGCTTATTGCTTATTTCCACAAGATTGTAAATCCCACAAAAGCGAGGACTTTGTTTGGCTTGTCTTGGGGTCCTTAGTGCCTAGCACAGGGTCTGACACCAAGCGGATGTCCCACAAACACCTGCCAAATGAAGTTCCACCTGGGGTGCTGGGGAGGAACATGTATGAGGGGGTCTTGCTTCCTTTTAAAAGAAAGCTCACTTAAGAGGGAACTGTGGGAAAAACAGTAAAAGCTGAGGAGCATGCCGGGAGGGCAGGGACACGCACGTCGTTCTCGGAGGTGCCACAGATGTTGCAGCACTTGCACTCGATGCACTGCCAGCGGTAGGTCTTCACTGCCGCCATCATCACGGGGGTGAACTGCAGGCAGGACGGATGCCCTGTGGGGGGCGGGGGCAGGTGAAACAGGCAGCCAGAAATGGGGGAGAAGTGAGGTGACCTGGTTGACTGTGATAGCCACTGGATGACGGCAAGCCAAGAACCCGCTGAGGACCGGATGCTGACCGTGACGGCCCTTCCCTGGGGTTGGAGGTACCTGAGCGACCGCAGTCAGAACACGACACTAGCTCCTCGGGTTGTCCTGTCTTCTTGTTGATCTTCGAGTCCCCCAGACAGAAGTCACAGTAATTGTTGGGCAGTGCAAGTCCATCGGGACCCTTCTTGGCTACAGGGAGAAAGAAAGAACTTTGATGATACCCACGGGGCCTTTGGGCCACTCCACATCCCGGACAAGAGGGTTTTTCATAACCGAGCCGACTCCTGCCAGCCCCAACTCTGACACCTCAGCTCACATTTCTGCTCCTCGGACCTCTGGGAGACCGGGGTGGGCGGCTGCGAGTCCTCCTTGTCTTCACCCTCCTCTTCAGCCAAGTGCGAGTGGGCATAGTGGTAACTGAGGCCTGGTCGGTTCTTGTAACGTTTTCCACAAACTGAGTGGGGAGAAGGTTGCAGAGAAAGGTCTTAGGATCTCAGAGTGCCACCTCCCCATCCCTCTAGGCTGTGGGGCCCCAGCTGAAGCGGAGGCAACCACCCCCACCCCAACCAGCTCTATTCTGGGACAGGCTTTTGGTGACAGCCACCTCCCCTTGGCCAGGAGCCTCAGGCCCAGGGGCTTTCCAGCTTCCTTGGCTCTCCTCCCTCCCTGCTAAACCCCAGCCCACAGCCACCTCTACTCTTCCAAACTGGCTGTCTGTGGGGCTGAGCCCTGGCCCCACCAACACTTGCCCAGGGAATGGTCTGGGGAGGTCCAGGTCAGGAAGAAAAAAGAATTTCTACGGTTTTACGATTTGGAAGGAAGGAGGAGAACTAAGAAAGATAAGCCAAACTTTTTCCTTCTCCCTCCCCAATAAATGTGGAAGGCTCGCACTATACCATATATACCAAAGAGCACATCTCTGCCCAAAGTGGATAAAGCATAGGGCCTGGGTCTCTTATGGATAACATCTCAATTGAGTCTGAAGGGTAGTTGGCCCCCAAAGAAATTCAAGAACACCTGCAACCAACCAGTGCCCTGCCCAACCCCACCAACCAACAAGGAAAGCAGATTCCCCACAAGGCATCTTTTACTTTTGAGCAGTGATACCAATAAGAGTAAAGGAGCCAGCAGGAAAGGAATGGGAAGAGCATGGGTGGAGGAGGTGGCAGGATAGTGGGGAATATTAGCTGACCACCAAGTGGCTGTTTTGGGGAGGGGGGAGCAGAGGGATCTGTTGGTAAAGGGTTTCTCATAATGCTTTTGAAGCCACCTCATGCAGTGGGCCGGAGCAGCCCAAGGAGCAAATCTGTGGGTGACAAGCAGTGGTGAAGGCAGCTTCCCGGACTGTGAGGAGTAGAGCACATCAGAAGGGCCACTGCTCCTATCCCCGAGCCATTCCAGAGATTTTTTAACTAGCATCACAGGAAATGAGAAAGGCAGGAGGAACAAGGGAGGTGGGAAAAAGGGATAGGAAAACCAAAAAAGTCTGAAAAGTTGAGAGAGCTACCTCTCTGGGGCGCTTTCGAGGTATGCTTTTGTTTGAAACTATCTGAAAGACAGAAAGAAAAGTCATGAGAAGAAGGCCTTGATATACTTGAGACAGGAGCAGCAGCAGCAGCAGGAAAGCGGAGCAAACGAGAGAGAGACCCCAGCGGTGATGGTGCTCCCAGGGTGGAGGGACAGAAGTGGGGAGTCAGAGAAAGGGGGAGAAAGAGACATTGAAAAACTTGTCGTTGGATTCCTGGGGCCCTGACATGACTGGGGCCAGCAGACCTGGGTGCCATCTCTCAAGAGGCTGATTCTGCCGGCTGCAGGTGCCTCCTCACCAGCACCCCCACCCCAGGGGACAGCAGAATTCTCTCCCAGAGCATGCAGGTCCCACCCATCAGGTAGCAGAGGCCAGGGCCTCCCAGCAGTCTCAGAGGGAACCAGTCAGCAGGAAGGACAAGAGTCCAAGCGTCTTTTACCACTCCGAGCAAGAACACAGCCCTCCCTCCTTTCATCTCCTGAGCAGGAGCTGGGTCCAAGGCCAGGACTCCCCACCCACTTGGGAGGCACTCACTGTCACAGGCATAGGGTTTATCCCGGTCCTCCAGGATGGAAGCATCCAGCTTCTTACGGGCACTGCCCACACCTTTACTCTGCCAAAAAAAAGAGCAAAAAGATGCTCTCACTAAGATGACTAGGCCTAAGGAGTTGAACCCTCCTGGAAGTGGCTACTAATCTCACTCGAATCCACCCTGCCCCAGGCTGTAGGCAGCACCTCGGCCCCTCACCTTGGATTTCCCCTTGCCCCGACGCTTGGGAGTGTCTTCTTCGTAGTCCTCATCATCGAGATCATCCAGAAAGTCATCCGGTTCCAGGATCCGCTGATTGGACAGGAGGGTTAGGATAGGCAGAAATAATGTACATCCAAAAGTTCCCCGACAGTGGTGGTGGCAAGGCCACCCAGAACCTCCTTTGTGACCTGGCCCTCCACTCCAGCCTCGTCACTGATGCCCTTCAATGTTTTGGGCTCTCTGTCCTTTGTGTCACTCTTCACCTTGTTCCCCTAGCCCAGCGGGCCTTTCCCACAATCTCCAAGCAGCTGAATCAAATGCCATGTTTCCATACAGCTTTTCCCGATGCCCCAAGTAGCCAGGCCCACTCCTGCCTCTGATCTGCTGCCCCAGAAGCACGTTTAGTGGTGGTTCCCTTCCAGCACCTCACTTCCTAGATTTAGAGCTTTGCTGTTTAATTATGTGGCCTTATGAGACATTTTTGTTAACTGCTGTTTCAGCCCCTGTGTATGTGAAATGGGGATCACGTACCTACTTCACAAGGTTGTAAGACTGAAGAAAAGGATGGAAGAGCCTTTAGTACTGTGTCTGGAGTATTTTTAGCTCTTATTATTTTTATGTATAGTTTTATGTGCCTGTTGAGGGGAACCACATCTATTTCATCTAAGTAACCCCAGGCACCAAAACACTTTTGTGACAAAAGATGAACTAGGGAGAGTCTGTATTTAGAAGGACAGGAGCGGGAAGCCTGCATGGAACAGTGAAGCCAGTCCGCACCTGGCACTAATTAGGGAATGAGACAGCAGCACCTGGGGGCCTGTCTCCTGGCCCCCAGCTTGCTTCCTTTCTGATTAACAGGTGGCCTCTGAGGAGGAGGAGGCTGCTATCCATCAAGGTTCCCTCAGCCAGAGTACTCATCTCATACCTTCCGCGCTCGACTGTTGGTCACAGGAAACTCGCCCAGGCTGTCATCATCAACTCGGGGATCAGGGGCACCTCGCTTTTCCAGGGGGTCGGTGCGCAACAGAGCCTCTAAACTACTGCCATCCTGAGAGATCAGCCCCTCCTTCTTCAGGGTCTGGTCTGTGTCTGCAGGCAAGGTCGGTACGAGGCGAGGCTCAGAAGGGCTACACATGGACCACTCTGGGTCTACAGAGTGCTGGGCCAGACACTGGCCAGCCAGTCTTCTGGTCCCTGGCTACTCAGGAACCGAGACAACCTAATTCACTTGGAATCATAAACTGTCTGTTTATCTGTCTCTTCTATTAGACTGAGTTCTTTAAAGAAAGAAATCACACCTTAATCATTTTAGTAACTTCATAATCTAGCCTTAGGCCTGGTATATAACAGGAGATTTCCTACCCCCCGCTTGGTGTAGGGTAGGAAAATTGAGAGGTGTCTAGTTGTAGTTTTGCTAATCTGCTAGGAGATTAGCAGGCCTTTTATCATGCAACAGGCCATGCCCCTGCTCAGAAAGGGTGTGCTTTACCTGGTTTAATAGAAGGGAAAGAAAGTCTTGGGTCCTCAGGAGGGTGGGCTCGCCGCTTTTTCCGCCAGCGTCGGGCAGGGTAAGAGTACAGCTGCCCAGAGGCCAACCCTGTGGAAGGAAGGGAGAGAAAAGTCAAGCCCAGTCTAGAAAATAGCCTCAAATACTTTCTGGATGGGTAGGCCCACTTGAGTTCTATAGCAAGCGAGGCATATGGGCAGTGCAGGGGGAATGGGTGATGGTGGGTGGGACAGTTTATGGAAAAGAAAGATAGATGTAAACTCTGGGGCCTTGGCTAACACATAGCTCTGCAGAATCCCAATAATAGCCTTAGTCCTGTAGAAAACCAAGATTCTAGTATAAATCTGTCTGATTGTTCCTCTTTGGGCTTCTAATCATGGGAAGGCCATATTCATCCATGGGTGGAAAGCAGTAGGGAAACTCTCTCAGCTGGCTCACCCCTAAAATGCAGAAGCTTCTTCCTCCCATGTTCCTGAGCCTGGACCCTCACCTGGACCCCGGTGTCGCTTTTCCATCCAGATATAACAGTTGCTCTGGGCTACTCCAGTCTGTGAGTCCAAGAAAGGCAGGCGCACGCTGCGCTCAGCACAGAGGCGGGCATTGTAATTGTGGCACTGCTCCATGGCGTCTTTGTAGTACTGCTCCCCAAGGCTGCAGTGAAGACAACAATCAGGTGTGTGTGCATGTGTTTGGGTGGGGCATCCCTCTCCCTTGCCATCTGCTTCTCTAAAAGGCTCAAGGGACTGGGAGACTGCTGCTTTGGTTGTATCTGCCTCCATTCCTGTCTCACAGGACACCAAACCCCTTCACCAAGCCATTATGAGAAAGGAACTTTACAAATAAATTACCACTGGGAACACATGATTTCTTCGTGTGTCTAATCAGATTTAAGTCTAACCCACAAAGAGAAAAGGAAACTAATATTCACTGTGTGCCTGTCATGAGTCCAAACTCTATGCTACCCAAGATGCTATTTCTCCAAAGAGGATCAAGGGGGGAAAAAGATGCTATTTCTCTTAACTCTCATAACTATGAGAAGCAGAGGTTGCCCTGGCTGGCGTGGCTCAGTGGACTGAACACGGGCTGCAAACCAAAGGGTTGCCAGTTCAATTCCCAGTCAGGGCACATGGGTTGCCGGCCAGGTCACTAGTGGGCGCCACATGAGAGGCAACCACACACTGATGTTTAAAAAAAAAAAAGAGAGAAGCAGAGGTCAAGTGCTTTCTACAAAAGAGGAAAAGAATTCAACAAGGTCTGGGAGACTTCCTAAGATATAGTTAGCAAACTATAGTATATCTTTACAATGAAATTCTATGTGGCCATAAAGAAAGAAGCTCTTCATGTATTAATATTAAACAATATCCAAGAAAATTTAAAAAAAAAAAAAAACAAGGTACAGTGTTGAGAAGTGTTATAGGATGCTACCATTTATGGAACAAAGAGGTAGAAAAGAAACCATAGGTCTCCAGGAAGAAAAACCAAGGGACTATGGGACTTTCTCTACATGCTCTTCAATATCTTTTGAACTTTTAACTAGGTACTTACTTAGCCAACTAATTAATTCTACATACTAATTTTACAGTCAATGAAAGTCACCTGAAAAATACCTGCATTTCCTTGAAGCCTACCCTTTACTATCACTATACTGATACAAAACCTATTTGTTGAAAGGCTCATTCTAAGCCCTTCTCCATTTCCTATTTTCCATTTTCACACCATCAAATTATATAGGAAGGAAACTTCTTGGGATCAAAAGACTCCACTCAAAATCTTCATCAAGAGTGAACTGTGAAGTGCTCTGAGAAGCTGGGAAACTGCACGGTGTCAGGAGTCACCGGGCTGTGAGACACATGTATGTGGGAACAATCTTGTGCTCATCCTTTAGGGCTTCACAAGCACATTAGCACTGGAGCTTACGCTGTAATAATTGATCTTTATATATTTGATCAATCTTAAAATAAATAGAGGGTAGAGGTGATTTCTTCCCATAGTATCCCACTACCCATGAAGGTGTCTGGGGTACCTTAATTTGACTTGGGAGTAAAAAGACCTGGCTTGGCTAAAATTCACCAAATAAATGTGGACATTTAGTCAATCCATGCGGATTCACTGTTCCTCTGCTGCAGACTGGGATGGTTGGACTAGGTAAGTTCCAACCTATTCTACAAGACAGAGACCCCTAGCACGAGAAGCTGGACAGAGAAAGACTCTGCTGCTTATGTCTGTATCTTGAGCTATATCAATAAACCCTGGAATCCGAGGAAGGCTTTCACTGAGCAGCCGCAGCAACAGATCTGTTGCCAGCAACAGAGCAGCGGGCAACAATGTAGCACCGTCCCAGCCACTGAAAAAGACACACCACACACAAGGCAGGAACACCACCAGCCAGCCTGGCTTGACTCCACGAGTCCTAATGACTGTGACTGGAGGCAGGCATAAATCTTGTGTTGAAGAGTGGAGAGAATACAACAGGCTCACACTTGCTCGCCTTTAGGAGGCAGCCATGTCCTCATAACACAGAGGAAAATTGGATAAACAAGGCAGAGTGCAGCAGCTCCTTTGTTTCTGCTGATGGGAATTGATACTGACACTGAAGTCAAATGGAAGGAAGGGCCAGATGGGCTGAGAGCTGCAAAGATAGAGTAAGAAGGCTGCAAACGGTTTGGGCGAGATGGCTGAGAGATGTTTTATCAAAGTTCTTGTGAGTTAAGTGGGGCGAACTGTCTCAGGAGTAAGACAGCTGAGAATGAAACAGAAGTTGGGTGGAGAGAGGATGTGATGAGGAGAGAGAAAGAATGAGACAGGTCTTAAAAACTTAAGGTTCCTATCACAAGAAATTTCAACTAACATTATTCTCTAGATCTTGTTACCTAACTCAGAAGGCTTCAAAACTAGTGAGCAGCCACAGCTATTCACTACTCTTATTCTACCCTAGTAAGACACCTCCAACACTGTTTCAAATATGACACCACATTTGGAGGGACAGAGAATTTACAAATAGGAATATTCCTCTCCCAGAACAAGATGCAAGTCAGAAAAGATGAGCTAGTAGTCCTGACCCGGATATATAACCTCAGCTGTCAAAGGACTAAGCACACCATGATCAAGAAAAGCCACAGAACAGCATCTTTTCCCAAGGTGAGAATGGTCCTGGAGGAATAAATGCCTCTTCTTATAGGGAGAATTCTGAAGGAAAATGTACCAATTGTGAACACAGCCCTCTGCAGCTGGAATGGAGGAGGAGAACGTTGGTTTCTGATTACTGGTACTCAGGAGCCAGTGGCTGGTTCACTGGTGAGGAGCCAGTGACCCTCACAACCTCTCTAGTTCTTTAAAGAAAAATAAGAACTCATACTCTATTTAGGTGGGCAACCCCTCACTTCCAACAATGCACAAAATGGTTGGCAACCCTATTTCCCTGAAGAAAGTCTTTCAACATAAAAAAATCTCATTATGTACAACTCTCAAAATTAGGCAAGTCTGACATTCCCCTAGTATAATGAAGATTTCCAAGGTATTAGCTTTCTTTTTCAGGAAGCATGAAACCTGTGTAAAAACTCCCCTTACCACGGGATGGGGGGCATCAACAAAGAGAAAGGCAGGGAAACAAAGAAAGAACATCTGAGTCATGAAGAATAACTATGTAAGTGGCAGATCAACAGCGTCGTTTCTAAATTGAGGAAAATAGCCTGAAGAAGACAGCCAGGGAAACTGGAGTGGGCTGATGAGAGAAAGATGATAATGTTGGGAGGAGGGATGGCTGAAAGAGGTAGCAGGATCCAGCTAAAAGTTAAACACACACACACACACACACACACACACACACACACACACGAGGAGAAGGCACTTAGCTTAATGGAAGTGGGAAAGCACTCTCAAAGAAAAGGCTCCAGGCAGGGGAGAGAAGCAACGTGCCCTTATAAAAGGCCCCTGGGAAGAATGAAGCTTCAGAGCACCACAAAGACACAGGAGAAGCTGTGAATCCCTTGGAACCGCTGGGAAACCTTAACCTCCTCGTCCAATCAAAATCCCAAAGCCCTACCCGGACAACTACACACCTCTCAATTTTCCTACCCCGCACCAAGCCCAGTGAAAAGGAGCCTGCTCTATCCGCCAAGGGGCACGAATCTATTTACAAACTCATTCAGATTCCTCTCCAGGGAGGAGGCGGGGTTCAGTCAAGTCCCAAAGCACCTTTCACTCGTAGCTCTCTGGCCGTTCTGCATTCCCCCAACCACCACTAACTTTAACTTTGCTCGAGATCGGCCAGCACAAGGACAGTGCCTAGCGCAAAGACAGCCGACCTCGCCACGCCTAGAGAAAGGCAAAGGCTGGACGGACAGCTGCCGTGTTTTGACGGCTGGGATTGGCCGGCGCGGAGGCCCTTTCCCCGAAGTTCTTTCCCGTCTGTGTCTGCTCTTCGATTCCTCCCGACAATATGTTTGGTCGTGGGTCCTGACACCCAAGAGCCCTCACCCCCACGTCACAGAGGAGCTGTTTAGAACAAAACAGTCCTACGGTGCTGAACCCCGCCGGGCCACCGAGCCTGTTGCTTCGGGGCCGGCCGCAGGAGCCCGCGGGGAGAGCTCGATGACCCGGCTCCGCGAGGACACGGGCTGGTCCCGGGTCCGCCCTCGGCCCCGCTCCTCCGGACTGCGGCGCCTCCGGAGCGACCCCGGGAATGTGTGCGTCGTACACCACAAGGGCGCCACACTCCGGAAATCGCAAGCCCGGAGGAGTGCCCTGACCGCACAGCCCCGCAACGGCCCAGGGAGGCTGCCCGTAAGGGGCTCCCGTGTGCCCCCCTCAGGGCCTCCACAAGTTTCCAAAGAAGCGAGACGTCTTCTCTGGAGTCTCCTGTTGCCCTCCCCAGTAGCAGTCGCAACATGGCCTTCCCGGGCCGTCCCTCTTTCGCCTCGGCCTTTCCCGCACTGCCCCCTCCTCCCAGGCCCCTTACAAGACCTCCCGGCCTAGGAGAGAAAGAAACGACCACTCACAGCTTCACTACATTTTCCACCACAGCCGCCATCTTCCCTGCTCCTCTCCCTCAGGCCGGGAGGCCCGGAGCCCACAGCGCGCAAGCGCCGGGACCTAAGGGTGGGGGGGGGGGGGGGGGAACGGACCCAGTTTCCTAGTCCCTCTGCGCATGCGCCGCCCGAGCGCGCGCGCCCTCGAGAACGAGCAACGGGGAACGAGCTTCGAGCCCGCTCGCGGCGCCTAGGGAGCCGAGCGGCCCGAGGCGCAGGCGCAACGGATGCGGGCGCAGCTCCTAGCCTTCCGCTGGGGTCCCACCCCCTCCATTTGGAGGAACTGGAGGAGGGTGTGAGGATGTGGTCCGGTAGGAAGAAGGCGAGGTTGGTGAAAACTGGCAGACCCGGAGATGGGCTAGATGGAGCTCGTTCGTCCTGCTACATCGCCGACCTTTAACCTTGTGGTTAACCCTTTGCTCTCATCACAGGCGGTGGGGAGGGGGGCGTTGGTGGGTAGAGGAAGATAAGAGTCATGCGGAGTGCACTTGGGCTGTCAGACGTGAGCATTTTACAGAGACGACATTAATGCCCAGAACTGGGCGGTTGTTTGACCTATATACTGGGGTCTGACAAGTTACCTCACCTTGCTACCAGACTCAGTCGCCAACTTCACTGGTCCCCATCTCTTCCTTGCTTCCTACTCCTATTGGAGCTGTTTCCTCCACTTAGGTTTTGAAGAGCTTCTTTCCTGCAACTTTCCCTCTTTCCGTGTCATTCATTTTTGCACTGTTGAATCACGTCAGTTCGTGCACATTCATGGCTTAATATCCTCGTTTTAAAAAAGCAAAGCCCTTCCTTAAGCCCACATCTGCCTTGGAATATTACCCCGTTTCTTTCACCTTTTCATAGCAAATGTTTTGTTTATACTCCCAATCTCTGTTGATTTATTTTGAAGTCTAATTTAACGGGGATTTTGTTCCTACCAGTTCACTTGAAACAGCTCCTAAAGGAGCTGACCTGGCCTCCATTTCAACAGATTTAGGGATCTCTCCTCCGCCCTCAACAGCCTGTCAGCTCCCAGGACACCAGTGACATTCCTTCCTTTATCAAACTCCGCTCCAGGTTTCTGAGATGTGCATGCACCCGGCTGTCCTATCACATTGTCAGTTCTGTCAGCCTGTTTTGCTGCCCTGTTCCACCTATAACTATCAGAGTCCCCAGGACTTGGTCTTTGGTCCTTGTTATATACCTATTTCATCATTTTTAAGATGCACATATTCCCTGTCCTCTCCCCCCATTTTTTTTTTAAAATATTTTATTTATTTACTTTTAGAAAGAGGGGAAGGGAGGTAAAAAGAGAGGGAGAGAAATATCAATGTGTGAGAGATACATCGATTGCTTGCCTCTCACACACCCTCAACTGGGGATCTGGCTACAACTGGGGCATGTGCCCTGACTGGAAATTGAACTGGTAACCTTTTGGTTTGCAGGCCTGCGCTCAATCCACTGAGCCACACCAGCCAGGGCCTCTCCCTCTGTTTTACTATTTCAGAATCAAGACACATCTTACCATCACTGTGCCTTAAGATCATGTCTGGCAGACGAGGGTTGTGAGATATTTGTCATTGTCTACCTTGCACCAAACTTGTAGAATAGATATCAGCACCTTGGAAGAAAAACCAGAGAGAATGCTGGTGCCCTCTTTTACCTCTGGGAAACAAGTGATTGTGGGGCAAAGGGTATTGGAGTTGACCCCAATGCAGGAGTCAAAAGTATGTAATTTGGCCTAAATGTTCGTGTGCCCCCTGAATTCGTACTGACGTGCTGACCCTCAGTGTGATGGTGTGTGACGGCGGGGCCCTTGGGAGGCAATGATGTTAGAGTAAGACCCTCGTGATGGGGATTAGTGTCCTTCTAAGAAGTCAGAGATATCTCTCCCCACAAGGGGAGGCCATGTGAGGACACAGCCAGAGGCAGGTATCTGTAAGGTGGGAAGTGGGCTCCCACAGGGAACTGAATCTGCTGGCACCTTGATCATGGGCTTCCCCAGATCTGTGAGAAATAAATGTCTGTTGTTGAAGCCACCCCATCGGTGGTATTTTGTTACAGCAGGTCAAGCTAGCTAACACAGTATGCTAGCGCTAAAGCCGCACATTCCTGTGCTCTGTGAGGCAACACTTCCGGTCGTGGATCTATGCAGCCAAAGCACGTCAAGAATGCTCACAACAGCGTTCACTGTAACAGCCCCAGACTGGATCCCCAAACCGGATCCATTCTGCTGTTGTGGGCATCCCAAATGACTGAAACAACAATGAAAAGAACAAACTATCGCTACGCGACAACGTGAATCAACCTCAAAAACTTAAAATTGAATAGAAGCCAGTTTTAAAAGAGGACATCTTGTAGGATTCCACTTTATATAAAGTTACATAAACAGACACGCTCTGGGGCCAGGACTCAGGAGAGTGGCTACCTTTTTGGGAGGGTGACAAGGAGGGGGCATGAGGTGGCGACTGCCGTCCTAGGGATGTTTCTTTTCTTCACCTGGGCGGTGGTTACATGGGTTTGTTCACTTTATAAAAATTAATTGAACTACACAAAATTTGTGCACTTCTCTGTATGTATAATTCAATACAAGTTTTAAAATAAAAAATATCAGTATTAACCAGTAGCCCAATTCCATATAAGTGGAAAGACAGTTTATGAGCCCACCGTCAATGGCTCTCGGTTCTTTTGGGATTCTCTGAAGATACGCTGCATCACTGAGCAGTAGAGTCCACGTGCCCAGAACCAGTGACTAGTATGTACAGTGTTTCTCTTACAGCCGGGAACCAAAGAGCAGAAGTGGGGGTACAGCCGCTTGCCATTTCAGTTAATGACTCTTTTAAAATGTTTCCTGTGTCTGCAACTCTGGCTTCTGGCTTGGGCCGATCTGGAGCCTTAAGGATGGCCAAAGGGAGGAATGCTTCCACCAGGGGGCTCAATATGATTTCTCTAAATGGAGAGCACAGACTGCCAACGGGTCGTTTTGCATTCTACATCCACTGGGCAAGAAAGTAAAAAGAGGTACCACTGTTGGGCGGGGTGATGGATGCAAACTATTAAGGGGTAATAGGATCGCTATTACCCAGTGGAGACAGATAGAAATATAAATGAAACCCAGGGGATCTTGTTCATATTACATGCAGGTAATCGATCGAAGACAGGCTCCTGGTTAGGTATTTAATTCCAACGCTCCCACTGAAGACAAACTGAAATTCAGAAAAAGTGGAAAAAATGTTTTTAAGCATTAAAAAGCTAATAATATAGTGAGTTACTGGGCCAACATTTAGGAGGCTCAAACCCAGAGAGGTAAGCCCAGAATTCTAAGCAATTTTTGTTCTGGAGACATGTACTGATCTGGAAGATGCAACTGTGACACTGAGCTCTTGTTCTGCAGTCTTTGGCTGGGACCATCACAAATCAAAACCCAGAGCTGCCCAAGGTGGGCAGGCAGGTACCCACCATCACCATACACATGCTTTAAGTTGGGACTATTAAGATGGGACACTTCTGTAGACAGACGGCCCAGAGTTGTATTATCTGGGTGGTCCAGAAAGCTCAAGCCTTTAACTTGGATCAAATTTGGGTTGAACTTGGACCCATTCCATAATGTCCCTAGTCACCTGGCAGAAGCCAGCATATTTGGTACCAAGCAATATCCCTTCTTAAGGAATGTACTGTCATCCAAAGCTTCAAATTATTTCTTAAAACATTTTTTTTCAGATATAATATCCATCCCGTCCACAGTCAAAGATAATCAGGCACACAGAAACAAGAAACCCTGAACAAGAACTGATACAAACAACAGAAAACATAAATCGACCCACAAAGATTTAAGATATTGGGGTTATTTGATAATGACCAGAAAATAACACTGCTCACTGTGCTTAAAGAAGGGAAAGACAAGCCCTGGCCAGGTAGCTCGGCTGCTCAGAGCGCTGTCCCGATGTGCCAACGCTGTGGGTTCCACCCCCCCCACCCCCCGTCGGGGCACGGACAGGGATCAGCCAGTGAGTACGTACATAAGCAGAACAGCAAACTGATGTTTTCTCTTTCTCTCTAAAACCAATCAATAAAAAGGGTTTTTTTTAAAGGCAAAGACAAGCATAAAAATGTCTACAAGGAACAAGTACCAATTAATAAGTGCCCTAGGTTTGGTTCGAAATCACATGATCATCCTAATGTACCCTGACACCACCTGTACCCTTGCCCCTGGCATTCCCCACCACGTTGTTTTTTATTTTTAGTTTTAATTCTCACTGAGGATATATTCATTGATTTTAGAGAGAGAGGCAAGGCGAGAGAGAGAAACATCAATTGGTTGCCTCCTGCATGCATACCAACTGGGGATTGAATCCGAAACCTTTTTGGTGTACGTATGGGATGATGCTTCAATCGCCTGAGCCACGCGGCCAGGGCACGTTTTTTCATAGTATTCAGCACAACTGGAAATCATCTTACTTGCTCACAAATTTAGTATCTTCCTTCTAGAATGCAAGCTTCAGGAGAGCAGGGATCCCGTCTGCCTTACCCCCCAGTACGGGGAGCGCTCCAAGTGTACTACAGATGCTCATCAAACAGTGGTCAGATCTGTCCCAGCCCCGGGCCAGAGCCAGGAGCTGTGGTCTCCTTGGGGTCAGCCGGGGTCACAGAGACTGGCCTGTCTTCAGGGACAAGGGTATGGGGAGCACAACTATGAGCAGCAGCAAGTTTTATTGCAACCAGAACCTCTGGTCATGTGGCAGAGAATAGGGCAGAGGGACATTGGGTCATTGATGCCATGCTCCCAAAAGTCTGGCTGGCGATGCTCTGCCTCTTTCCCACGCCCCCGCCAGGGCATCCGTGGTGGCCAAGGCAGGAGAGGTGAAAAGGAAGTCCACTGAAGCAGAGCCTTCGTCCCAGGGGTGTGAGGGAAGGAGGAGCAGTTGGCGGTGGGGGCCCGGGGGCCCAACATGCTCAGGGCCCTTTGGGCTGAGCTCTGCATGTGTCTTCATGGGTTGTAAGGGAAAGCAATGAGGTGCACCCTGCCCGTGGGGAGAGGGTGGGAGGGAGGAACACAAAGGGTCAAAGTCAGAAATCGCTGGCCGGTGACCACACAGGCAGGTCTTAGGATCAGGACTGCGAGGCCAGGCCCACGTCCACCTGCTGCTTCCCGGCATTCACCTCGGCCTGGGCTTCCAGCCCGGCTTGCCTCAGGTCCTATGTGGGGATCCGCGTGTGGCCCAGGTCCTGGTCCATGATCTGGAGCACATCGTCCAGGATGGAAGGCCCCAGGTCCACGTGCAGGGAGAGCAGGGAGCTGGCGTGGGACAGGAAGGGCTCCTCAGTCCCAGACTCAGGGGTCAGCCCATTCCTGGCTGAGCCGGCCTCTGGAATTCTCCAGATGTCCACACTCCCTGCCTCCTGAGGGGAAGGCTGTGGGGAGGGCTGAGGGGTCTCCAGGTGCAGGCGAGGGGGTTTGGGCGGAGCCTGGGTTGTGGGCAGGGTGAGGGCCTGGGGCCCACCGATGACTGGGAGGGAGATGGCATTCTTAAGCAGAGGGGAAGGCCCTTCGGGGAGCTCCCGCCCACACAGCGTGGCGGTGCGGGTGAACTGGAAGGGGAGGTTAAAGGTGCCGTCCTCCTCGGGTCCCTCGACTGCTGTCCCTGGAAGGAGGTGGAACTTGCCCTGCAGGAAGGAGATGTCACCAAACATGTCACTGCCGCCACCACTGCCGATATGGATGGTGTGGCGGAAGTCCCCCAGTGGCGGGCTGATCATGTCTGAGGACAGCAGGTCCCGCAGCTTCTCCTTCTTGCCCTTGCGGCTGCTGCGCTTCAGGTAGATGGGCGCCTTGGTGGACATAGTGGCCGCACCACGCGGGCCTGGCTGCCGAGGCTGGAGACAGTCCACTCACCGAGATCACCGCCTTCCTGCTGCCTCCTCTCACCGCTCAGCCAGAAGCCCCAGTGGGTGGTTTCCAGACACCAAAACTTTGTCAAAGGGCTAAGGGTAGGGTATGGAGCGTGGTCAAAGTTGGCCCAAGGAATTAGAAAAAGAAAGATTAATGACCGATGAAGGCAGAGGGTTGAGATAACAAAACCACTTTCTCCCCAAAGGGTGAGAATGTCCGAAAACCTGCAGCAGAAAGGTGGAGACCTTGTAGGCAGCAGCACTCCCCGGTCTTTTCCTTGTGAGTGTCTCCCTGGTCCGGAGCTGAAACACCAAGGGCAGGAGTCAGGGACAGAAAGACAGAAGTCAGAGGCCTCCCGTGCCAGCCCCAGGGGCCGAGGGGGGGCTGCCCTGCTGCCGGGGCCGGGCGGGCAGAAGCAGGAGCTACCTCAGTCGTACACGTGCCGCACCCACGGCCTGGATCACCAGCGCCAAGCCTCTCCCTTACACGAGCGGAGAGTGAGGCCCAGGAACCTGAGTGACAGGCCCAAAGTCACGTCTCTGGTGTCTTGTCCTGCGTCCCAGGCTCTGCTCATCGCCATCCCTGGGCATTCACCCCCTAATGCACGACAAAGGTGCCCCAAGAACTCACAAGTCTCACAGGTTGGGCTTAGTTGCCTACTTGACAGAGGACAGAGATCTTGAAACCTCTACCTCACACACCCAGGCCCGGCCGAGACCCCCTCCCATCTGGCCCAATCACACCCCACCTGGACGTGAGATCACCTGGGGTTTCCCTCCTCCTGGCTAGGAGTTCCTTGTGGGCAGGGACCAGGTCTGATGTCGTTTCTGTCCCACCCCCACCCCACCCCCAGCCCTAGCCCCTAAGAGGAAATGGGCTGGGGGGCACAAATATTTTGGGGGGGTTTCTATAGGGCAGGCAGTTTGCTAAGTTCTTTGCAAAGACCTCTCATTTCATTATCTCAACCACTTTCCTATCATCCCCATTTAAAAACTGGAGCTATAAGACAACGGGGGAATTCCCACAAGGCATTGTAGAGGGAGAGAAGCAAAACACAAAAATGTGGTGGAGAGGATCCCATTTCTCAGAAGCCTGGACCGGCTCCCCTCCCCTTCCCTGCAGACGCGTGTACACGCGCCCACATTTACAGGTCTGCACGGGGTTCTACGAAACGCAAGAACAGAGACTAATGAAGGCCAGCACTAGGTCTGGGGTGGGGGGCAGGGCCGGGATGTGGGGTCAGTGACATGGGAGGAAAAGTGTCCTCATTTATAAAAATTATCTAATATTTGACCCTGTTACTGTAAAATAAAATATGCAAATTAACAAGTGCTGGTGGCCAAAATGTTGACAGCTCGAGGTGGTAGAATTTTTGGTGACCTGCTTTTCTTGTTCATACTTTTTTTTTTTAAGATTTTATTTATTTATATTTAGAGGGGAAGGGAAGGAGAGAGGGAGAGAAACATCAGTGTATGGTTGCTTCTTGAGCGACCCCTGTTGGGAACTGGCCTGCAACCCAGGCATGCGCCCTGACTGGTAATCGAACCGCGATCCTTTGGTTTGTAGGCCCGCACTCAATCCACTGAGCTACACCAGCCAAGGCTGTTCATGCTTTTTATAAGCTCAATTTTTAATAAGCATATATTATTTATGTGCACATATTATTTATGTAGTCAGGAAAACGAAAGCTATTTTTAGTGGAAAAGCAAACACTCTGACGGGGTTTCATACTAGTTTACAGAAAAAAAACTGCAAGCGCTGCCTCTAGTCCCCTCGGTGGGGGGTCGGCCCCGACCCGTGGATACACATGTAGAATCAGAGCATAAAAAGCAAAGGAACATGTCCAAGGTCACCCAGCAGGTACCCAGGTGGGCCCCTCGTCTCCCACAGCACTGTCTCTAGCCCAGCAGGGGCTGTGCAGGTGGGAGATCAGCCAGGGAGGAGCTGATCAGCCGCAGAGCCGCCCCTGCCGGCTTCTCCGCCCTATTCTTCATCCTGGGCAGGGTGAGGGAAGAGCAGCTGGCAGGAGGGGGCAGGAAGGAGGAAGGCAGAATTCCAACTCTCTTCACCTCCTCAGACCAGGCTCTCATGCAGGAAACCCCACCCCAGGACCGGACACCCTGGGTCAGTCATGCTGAGCCACAGAGACCGGACATCTTGCCCCTCCCAGAGCACCTGCAGCTGAACAGGAAACAAAGGAGCGACTCTCCAGTGGCGGATTCCAGCTAAGCGTGGAAGGAGCTGGGGGCAGGGTAGGGGTGGGAGCAGTGGGCCCCTCTAGGTCTTGGAGTCCCCTGCTCATTCATCTAACGTGCCAGGCCTGGGGGTCAGGCACATGCGGACACGCATCCTATCTATCTGTCCCCTCGGCAGGCGAGAAGTCCTGGGATGGCTTTTCCTTCCTTTTCACTCACGGAGAGTGAATGAATCGGGCCGACTGGTGGGATTGCTCAGAGCCTGAGCCAGGTCCCCCCTCCCATCACACAGGGGTGCCAAGACAGCCGGAGTGTTTCCACAACACAGTGGGCGTCCCTGACAGCCGCCCCACTCAGAGCCAGATATACCGCCCGATTCCAGATGTGAGGAGAGCTGAGGCTATCGAGGAAGGGTTGGGCCAGCGTCAGCCACCCAGGGGAGAGCTGGGAATTGCAGCCATCAAGCCCCAGGAATTCAAATTTGGCAACTGCAAGACGCTGGGCCCCAGCTGCCCTTGCACAGCTTTCATTTTAATGCTCCCAGACACAGCGCGGTGGGTGTCGTTACCACCTTTTACAGAGGCAGAAGCTGAACCTCAGAGACATGAAGCAACTTCGCTGAGGTCACCCAGCTAGTTGAGGAAGGGTGGGCACTGGTACCTAGCCACTCTGGCCTCCTTCAGAGTAATGATTTTCAGGAGCCAGAGCCCCTCCCCTCACAAGGAACACTAGGCCACTCCCTATCTGGGGTGTTCTAAGAGCAGCCTGACCTTAAAAGCAGGAGACCGACCTTGAATCCATCCCCATCTGGGACTCACTCTGATCTTGGGAAAGACATTGTTCCTCTCTGGGCCTCATCTTCCTCATCCATTAAATGGGCTGGCAATAAAGCCATCACCAGAGGGCCACTGCTGCACTGCAATCGAGAACACCAATGTCACTGTCAGCCTGGCCTTTTATTCAATAAGTAGCTATAGGGCCTTCCTCAAGCACTTTGGTGGTCTAGAGACAGCATTTCCAACAAGACCAAAACCCAACGGCCTCCGGCCCCGGGCGCCCACCTCTTTTTGCCAGCCCATTACGCCTAGCCTGCGCAGAATTCCCCTGGGCGACCTCGGGGGTCTCCAGGGGTCCTGGGGCGGAGCGGCGCTCAAGCTCGAGGCCGCTAGGTGGCGCGCTCGCTACCTCTATCGCCCCGAGTCCCGGTGAAATCCGGGTGCGCACTGGGGTCTCCAGCGCGCCTCTGGCTCTAGGCAGGCGTCCCCAAGGAACCGCACGTTCGCGTACCAGATGCGGATTATCTGCGGAATCTTTTTTCTCTTGGGGAGTTCTGTCTCACAACCAGACAATCACGGGGGGGAAAGGGCGATCGGGGATCCTACCAGGGAGTCCAAGCTCTGGGAGGAGCCTTCCCCGTGCTTTCCGGCCTGGGCAAGGTCCGAGTGTCCGTTCGGCGCAGGGCCAGCGCTCCGGCGCGCCGGCCCCCGCCCTGGCTCCCGTGGGTCCGGCTCCTCAGTCTCAGCTCGGGTTCCAGCGCTGACCCCTCCCCGCCCTCTGCCTGAGTGCAGCACAGCCCAGACCAGACCAGCCCGGATCCATTTCAGGACGCTCCCAGCCGTGGCTAAAGATAGGAGGACACCTCACCATCCACTAAAAATACGACCTCCAGCCCAGGCACAGGAAGGGGGTCCCGGATCCCAGAGGTGGGGTGGGGCTCAGGCGCAGGGTGGAGGGCGGGATCGGGAATTCGGGTTCGGGATGCTCGGCGCCCCGCAGGTAGAGAGGGTGCGGCTGTGGCCGCCAGCACCGAGGCGCTAGCCGGAAACACTGTGGAGCCCAAGGCTCCCGGGAAAGAACCTGCGCGGAGGTGAGCTAGGGGCCGGGGTGCGAGCTGTGGCGGGGCGCCAAAGGGATGGGTCTCTCAGGGGACTCCTCGGAACCTCCGACAGATTGCAGAGTCCCAGCGTGAACTCACCTTTAGAGCGCAGGCAGCTGACCAACCGGGTGGCAAAAGCTCCGGCGCAGGACCCGGGGGCGAAGGGAGCGGATCCCCGCTGTGAACCTACAGGGCAGACCTTGGCTGCTGAAAGCCCGCCCCCTGCCCGCGGAGCCAATGCCGGGGCCTCCCACACAGGCCCCGCCCACATCCCCGCCCCACATCTGTCCCCGCCCGGGCTCTTTCCTTGGCAGCTCTGCGACGGGGACCATAAGCCCCGCGGCTCTGGGGTTCCAGTCCAGGCTCTGGGGGCTGTGAGCCAGGCAGTATCGGGCGCCCGGGTTGCACTCCGCGGACTTGGGCTGTGCTTGTCTGTACCCAAATTCTCGGTTCTAGAAGGGCTGAGAATTCACAGGGGGTCCTTGGACCGGTTCCCTCCCTGGAGGGCTGGGTCAGGGAGGCGCTTGCACAGTGTATTCTGTGATTACTAAGGAAATGAATGAGGCCTGGAAGGCGCCTACATTAAAAAGTTACAGATTTACGAGGTCTTTCAAGAATTTACCGCCCCCCCCCCGCCCTAGAAAAGAGCGCATTGAGGGTGTGCAGGTGGTGTGGCCTAGGCACATACGCCGTCAGGCTAGGTGGCTTCCAGGGAGGGGGGCAAGAGTGGGGGTAGAACTGGGTGGGGCCCATACTTAGACTCATTCCAACGGTTGGCTTGCTCATTCATTCACCACTCATTCATTCACTGATACAGTAGTAGAAACACTTACCGAAGGGCAGGCCCTACACAGGTGCTGGAAATAGATGGAAAGAAATTGTGGCCCCGCCACATTTAGCTATTCAACAGACACCTGTTGAGCCTCTACTGTGTGCCATGCGCTGTTCTTGTCGCTGGGGTTCAACCCCCTCTGGATGGGGACCTCCAGTCCAATGAAGGGAGATGGATGGAACGGAGTCCCCGAGTTCACCATGATACCCTTCCCGCTGGGCAAGTGCTGAGAAGAGTGGGACAAAGAAAGTGCATAGCAGTGGGGCGGGGGGACCTTGCTTCCTGGAGGGTGACAGTACAGTGTGGCCAGGATGGTAAAGACTCCCATGCTGTACGTGTAGGAGGGGCTCCTAGGGAGGCAGGATCAGGGGGGCAAAACGTCCTGAAGCAGAGAAGGGTGCTGGAGGCGGGGGTGGGGTCAACCCAGTCGGGAGCTGGGAAAGGATGGGGAGCCACGTAAGCAGAATAATGCCCCCAAAGATGTACATGGCAAATTTAATGAAGGTTGCTGATGAAATTACAGTTGCTGACCAACTGGCTAAAATGTGCAGTTTACCCTAAATTGTCTAGGTGGGTGTGTAATGTCAAGGGTCCTTAAAAAAGAAGAGGGAGACAGAAAAGGAGAGTTCAAGAAAGAGCTGTGACAATGGGAGATGGGTCACACAAATGCTAAGTTGCTCCCTTTGAAGATGGGGAAGAGGCTACAAACAAAGGAATGTTGGCAACCTCCAGAAGCTGGAAAAGACCAGGAAAAATTCTCCCCTGGGGCCTCCAGAGGAACATAGCCCTGCTGACACCTGCTCTTAGCACAGTGGGATCCGTGTGGAACTTCTACCCTACAGAACTGCACCTTAACAAATCTGCGTTGTTTTAAGCCTCCACATTTGTGGTACTGTGTTACAGCAGCAATGGGAAACTAATACAGCCCTGGCTGGTGTGGCTCAGTGGATTGAGTGCTTTCAAAGGGTCACAGGTTCAATTCTCAGTCAGAGCACATGCCTGGGTTGGGTGCCACGTCCCCAGTGGGGGGGGCGCTTAAGAGGCAACCACACACTGGTGTTTCTCTCCCTCCCTTCCCCTCTCTAAAAATAAATAAATAAAATATTTTTTAAGCTAATACAGGGAAACTTCAGGTTCTAACCTTGAGCCTTCCCAGCCCTCCCTCAGCTCCCCAGAAAGTGTTAATTAGGTAGGTTCTGCCGGGATTGGCCTGGTGGTTCGGACAAAAACTGGCCGAGACAGTTGAGGGAAGGGACATGGTGGTCCTGGGCCAAATTGTGATGTAGTTGCATAAGAGTTATGCTTCTTTCCCCCATTGCCACCCAGGCTCTGCCAGACAGCCACCCACACCTGCCTGTGCCCCTTCCTAAGTGCTTCCTGTCCCTGACAGCCCAGCCAGGCCGGCAGAGCCAGTACGGCTGTCCCCCTTTGCAGGGATGGAAACCAACGCCTGGGGCTCTGACAGTAATTTGCTCGGCCTGAATTGTCAGGACGTACAGGCTCTGGGCCCTGGTCCCTTCTCAGGATGCTCACCTAGCCATCGTCACCCCTGCCTTCCTCTCCCTCCCACGACACCCTCTGTGGGCAGGGCTGCAGCTCCTGAACACTGCATTTGAGCCGCAGGCCCAAGTTCTGAGCTGCCTCTGCTGCTGACTTGTTCTGTGACCACAGATAAAAGACAGTCCCTTTTGGAACCTCTTCGCCTATGAAACGGTAGTTTAGTGGGCCCCAGACAAGAAAAGGGACTTGGGAGTGCTTTGTTGATGGGAATGCATAGCCTTAGCAGGGGGCAGTGTCGTGGACGCAATGTAACAGGAGCTTTGGGGGACTCTGGGCTAGCCTTGCCGCCTGGCCTGGAGTGGCTCTACTGTGAAGCCCCCTCAACCTGTTGGAAGGTGGCTGAGGTGCAGCCTCCAACTGCACTGCCCATCTGCCAAGAAAGGGGGAAGGGGCCGGGAAGGGTCGGAAGCTCCATTTGATGCTGATGACAAAACAGAAAGTCTCAGGAATGGAGGCTCAGAGCAGCGAAGACACCCACCCAAGCCCACAGAAAGCCAAGCAGACTGCAGAGCTCTTTGGAGAGGTTCTGGGCCTGGGATGGCGAAGCACTTGGAAGTGAGTGATAGGGGAGCAGTGAGGGATGGGCAGAGAGCAGCTTATTTGGCCCCACCGGCTTGGCTCAAGCCACCACTCCTTTCCCTTGGGGACTAGTGATCTGTGTGGTCTGCCAGGCCAGGGCTCCCAGCGTCCACAGCCAGTGGAACTGCCATCTGCTCTCTGGGAGCTGTTTTAAGCCCACCTGGATGCGACAAGACTCCCTCCAGTGCCAAGTCCCCTTGTTGCTTGGTGAATACCGCCATCAGCCGGAGCAAGGGGCCTCCTCAGAGCCCACATCCAAGGCCTGATTTGTGCCTGGCCGTGAGTTCTGTGCTTTGCAAGCACTCAGATAGGTGGTTCGCTGCCCCATTCACAGATGACATTATATCACTTGGCTGGGGCCCAAGGAAGCCCGGGGAGCCTGCAGCCAGCTCCTCCCGGACCTGCTGAATGGACAGGACCTTTGTGTACACGCCCAGCCACCATGGGAGCCCTGCAATTAAGGAGCATTTATAAACCAGAATTTCATTTACTAAAATTGGGTTTTTGACGTCATCTCTCAGGCTGTGTGTAAGGGCCTGAGCGTGGGCAGGGAGCCTGGGACCCTGAGCCAGGGGAAGGCTGCAGTGTCCTGCATTTCTGGCCCAAAGGACACTCAGGCCGCTAGCCCCGCCCAGTGCCTCCCCTGCCCTAGCCTGCCCCCTGGGCCCAGGGTCTGATGCTTCAGCCAGGTCCTGGACTGTTCTTGCTAGAAGGCTCCCTGGGCGCCCTGGTGGCTGTGGGGCAGGACCCGGCAGGGAGGGTTACAGGCAGGAAGGCTGCCATGGAGAACCACCCTGAATGGGATATTCAACTTCCTTCTCCTCAGCCTGGAGCCGCTCCCTGGCCCTGGGACGGGCCCAGTCTATTCCCCTCAATCCCACGGCTGCTCCCCCCACACAGGGCCCAGTGATCACCACCCGGGACTGACTCAGCCCTTCCTTCCCCTCCCAATATCTTCTTCCTGGAAATCATCCACCTCAGCAGGCCCAGCCCCCAGGGGCCCAGGGGGAGAGAGTTGAAAGCCCCTCCTCCAGGGTTGTCTGGGAATGAGGCAGGGATTGGCAGGGAAGGGCTTCCAGGCTGGAGCCAGCTCTCTATGGCCGCAGCTACCCAGGAACCTAGGGCCCTGGGAGGCAGGTGGGACCAAAGGAACCAGGAGGCTGGGGACAGGTCTGGGAGCGGAGGGTCACAAGGGAAGGGTGGTGATAGTCTTGGGGGCACCCAGGAGGGCCGGGCCGTGAGAAGAGATGAGGTCTCTAGAGGGGGCTCAGCCCCCCCCCCACTCCCCCACCCATCCCCAGGAAGCCTCCTCCATTCCAGCCTGGAGTTCGGCCTGCAAGGCTCCGTGACCTGAGCCGACCCTGGGATTGGGTTAGATTTTTCCTTGATTGTTTCTTGTTTCCTTCCTCCCCTGGGCTCCTGCCAACTGCAGCCCTGCCTCCCTTGCTCTTCACCCCCTTCAGAGAACGCCGACCCATCAGAGGCTGGGATTCCAGATGAGCGTCCCGTTGGAGCTACCTTTGCCTCTTCCTTGGTCCCCTCCTTGGGAGTTGGGTGGCCTTGCTGGGGGACTTTCCTTTGTGTCTGGATTTTGGCCCTAGGCCCAGGGCCATGGGAGTTTCCAGAGTGGTGACAGCCCTGTTCTAGCAGGGACTGGCCCAGGCACTTCCTCCCAGAGGCCCCTGGGAGCACCCAAGCCTCCCTGCTGTCCCTTGGCTTGGGGAGCAGAGTCAGCACTTCCTGCCCCTTCAAGGCACGTTGTCATCATTTCTTTTGAAAACTCATATTCGCCTGAGACGGCCACACACTCCTTCTTTCATGCTTCAGGGCCACAAAGCCTGGACAGGACCCCTGCCGGCCTCTGCGGCCTCAAGCTGCCTCTCCACGCCCATGTTCCGGACAGCAGCCTCCCAGCCCGGCCCCCGGGGCAGGGGCCTTGCACACGCCTTCCCCTTCGCCTCAGCTGGCCACCTCCTGCACATCCTGCCGTTCTCAGCTGCGCCGTCTCAGGGAAGACTTCCAGACCCCTAGTCGAGGTCAGTCCCCTTGTCATATCCTTGCAGGAACTCCAGACCACGGTCTTCCCTCTGCCGTCACCATTCGACACATGTCCACCTCCCCCATTGGTGTATAACTGCCATCGTTTCCTCAGAGTGTGTGCCATGTAGCAAGTACCCGATGAATGGATGGGTGGATGAATGAATAAATGGCAGGTTGCTGGGGATGGCAAGGAGGGATTATAGGTCACAAGGTTTGAGAAGGAGCAGAGCCTGGGGTTGGCTCCCTTGCTGGGAGGCACAGACAGCAGTTCTTGTGAGATGGACGCTCAGGGAGGGCCTTGCAAACCAGACCCAATGTGGAGAGCAGAGGAGTGGAGGGTGGTGATAGTGTGTATATATATATGTATCCATTCTTTCTTTCAAAGTCATCTCTCATGGCAAAAGATTTCAAACAGGATATGAGAGTGGACATGACGAAGAATTCTCCAAGCTCCTGACCCCCCGCCCTTCAACGCCCATTCCCAGAGATAACCACCATCACCACGAGTATTCTTGGGGGCAGAACACCTGCAGGGGACTTGAGTCTTCTGGGGAAAGAGGGCCTTAGGAGGATCAGGAATGGCCCTGCCTTCCAGTCCCTGGCCCAGGGCTGTTCCCGCTGTGGCCCACTTTGTGCCTCTGTGGGGCTGCGGGCCCAGGGCTCTCCTTGGCCACCCTGCCTCTCCCCTTTCCCTTTCCTCTGGGGTGGGGCAGTGACAGGAGCAGGCAGCGGACACAGGCTTGGCTGGGTCCTGCAGGCCAGTGGGCAGACGCCTGGGCTCCCAGGGAGCAGTGTGCAGGGATCAGAGGTCAGCAGGGGCACGGGGGCGCAGCTGTCACAACTGAGGTCACAACTGAGACCTCGGAGGGGCCCCCAGGCCAGGGCAGCTGCAGAGCTCTCAGCTGTCAGGCAGGCTCTGGGCAGGCAGGAGCCTGGAGGCTGAGGGAAAGCGGGGTCTGGGCGGACAAATCGGGAGCTGGCCGTGGGCCCAGATGGGTCCAAGTACAGGCCAGGCCCCTAGGCCCCTGGGGGCCCTGGCATTTCCAGGACAGTCCCAGAGGGAGCAGAGATAGGCCTGGCCACTCAGGGATAGAAAACCCAAATGCCAGAAGTCGGGGTACAGAGGGGCCCAAATACCTGAACGCAGTGACTGCGATTCCCCTCTGTGACTGCACCTTGGTGACCCCAGGACTGTGAAGGCAGTAGTGTCAGCTTCACCTCTCGCCCTCTGTCCTTCCCTCCTTCTCACTCCCCTTTCCCCTCCCCACTCCTGTCCCTTGCATTTTCTTCCTTCACGGATCTAAAGCCCCTCCCCTCACCACGCCTGTACCCAAGAAGGGAAAAGGTGCTCACACGAAAACTCGTACAGCAGTGATCACAGCAGCGTCACTGCCCATAGTCAAAGGTGGAGACAAGCCCCATGTCCATCCTCCGACGAACAGACAAATAAAACACAGGAAATCTGTACACGGGACTAAGACCGGCCAGACGAGGGAATGACACTCTGACACACACTACAGTGTGGATGAGACTTGGAAACCTAAGGCTGAGTGAGAGCAGCCAGACGCGAAAGACCACGCGTTGGATGATTCCATGCCCAGAACAGGCAAAGCCATGGAGACATAGAGACAAACCCATAGAGAAAATGCATTCGTGGTTCCCGGGGGCTGGGAGTGGGGAGAAGATGGCAAAGGGACTGATAATGGGCAGGAAACCCATGGGGTTTCTTTTTTGCAATGATTAAAATATTCCAGAATTAGCGGTGCTGCTTGCATAAAACCTCTGAATGATACACATTAAAATGGTGACATTTGTGTTCTTTTTATATCTTAATAACAATTTCTTATTTATTTACTTTTTAGAGAGGAAAAGGGAGAGAAAAAGAGAGGGAGAGAAATATCACTGTCTGGTTGCCTCTTATGTGCCCCCACCAGGGACCTGGCCCACAACCCAGGCCTGTGCCCTGACTGGGAATTGAACCAGCGACCCTTTGGTTCACAGGCCAGCGCTCAGTCCACTGATCCACACCAGCCAGGGCTCAATACCAACTTTCCAAATCTTAAAAAATAGACTAGCCCTGGCTCAGGTGGTAGGAGCATTGTCCCATGAACCACAGGTCTCAGGTTGGTTCCAGGTTTGATTCCAAGTCTGGGCGTGTGTAAGAGATAACCGATTGATGTGTCTCTCTCACGTTGACGTTCCTCTCCTCTCTCTCTAAAATCACTGAGCACGTCCTCAGGTAAGGATAAAAAAAAGTCTAACCACCCTGGTCAGCCAAGGGCTTTCACATCTATTAGAGGACTCACAGTCCGGAGGGAAAGCCCACGTGCGCCCCCCTGGGCCTGGCTCTCAGGTGGCTCAGCCAGGAGCCCCAGGGTCAGGGGAAAGGAAATGTGTACCCAACAGAAAGGAAAATTCAGTCTGAAGGGCTACTCCCAGCACCGGGGGAGCGGCAGGGCTGGGCAGAGCTGGGTTGGGCGTCCCGAGGCCAGGGAAAGGAAACCTCGAGGCCAAAGAGGCTGCAGGAGACGGAGGAGAGTGCGGGGCTGAGGTACAGAGTCACCGCCCCGCCCCGCCCTTCCCCCCGGTGCCCCCCAGCCTGATTCCCCAGCTTTGTTCTTGGCACCCACTTGTTTCCACGCAGCTCCGCTTCCCTCAGAAGCAGTCCCCTGACATTTGCAGACAGCCTGAGTCTTCACAGGCAGCCATGCGGGGTTAAGGGGAGGCAGCCCTGGTCTCCTCCAGCTCCTCCACCGGACCAAGGAAGAGGCCAAGGGCAGCGCTGGGCATGGCTGGAGCTCAGAGGCATGGGAAGCGAAACTTCACCTTTGGGCTCATGTCTCAAGGGCACAAGGCACAACCGGGACCAGGGAGATTCTACCCAGAATCAGAGGCAGGTGAGGCCCAGGAGTCCAAGCCCAGCCCAGGCTCCTTGCTTCCTCCACCCTCCCAACTTCAGGCAGAGGTTCTATGCCCCAGTGCAGGTGGGAGCAAGAGTCCCAGATGAGCAAGAGGGATGACACATCAGGAAACTGGAGACGCAGCTGACGAGGGGCCTGGGAACAGTCAGCTGGCGGCTGCTGGGCACCGAGGTCCTGACAAGGGAAGCATCTGGGGGCAGAGGCGTGACTCTGCCAGCCTGTCTGCTCTCTGGCTTTGCACCTGTTTTCTCTTTGAGTTTTAAGTACCTCCCTTGACCTTTCCGGGTCATTTCCAAGGCACGTGATTTGTATCCAGGCAATGACTCTCGATCCCATTCATTCCAGAGGGGCACCAGCTTTTTTCCCTGGGATGGGGGCCGGGGGCGCTGCACATGCCTCCCCCCAGGATGCAGCTTTCTTTCCCCTCTGCCAATCCACCTCCAACTCACCAGCCCTCTGGGTCCTCCTGACCCTGTCAAGGGGACGGGGTGGGGGGCAAGGAGGGAGGGGGGCGGTGGCTCTCTGGACCTTGCTAAGTGGGGACCACGATGTTACCATTCCCAAGGCTCCTTGAGAAGCAACATGGAAGTGACTGCCAAGAACCATGGCTCCCCAGAAGCCGCACACGGGCTCATGCGATAGGGCTCGGAGACTTGTTTATCGTGGCTGCGGGCCGGTTGGCTAATCTTCCCAGGCAAGAGCTTCCCTAGGAGGGAGGGGTGGGCTTGGGGCTGACATTAAGCTCGGTGGAAATACAAGTGACACTCGGACTGGGGCAGCTGTATCAAGTTGTGGAAGAGGGGCCCGGCCTCCAGAAATGCCACATCTGGGGGCCGACAAGTCCTGTCGGCCTTTGGACCACAGCTGGGTGCTGCACGTGCGGGAAGCTTCTGTGAGGAGGGAAAATCAGCTCCCCAAGCTGGGGCCTGTCTCCGATTCGTCTTGAGGAGGCGCCTGGAAAACCAATGACACACAACAGCAGCTGCTTTTTCTCACGGGGGTGGGGACCAGCCTAACCCAAGTCTGGTCGGACATGTCATTGACTCCACCGTCGGAGGTGGAAGACGAAGGATGGGCACTGCCAGGTTCTCAGTCATTCTGACATCTGCCCACTGCTCCCGAGGCCCAGCAGCTGGGGGTTCCCTGTCTTGGCTTTGGCACGTGAGGGAGACAGCCAGCCACTTCAGGGCAGAACCCCCGTACGTTTAGCCAGAGACAGCGCTTCCTCAGACACCAGAACACACAGGCAGGAGGACGTGCTGGGGACCCTGGGAGGCCTGGCCTCGTCCAGCGTTCTGGGCTGTCCGTGCACAGCAGCGCCTGGGACCCAGCACTGGCACAGCTCCGCGAGGCCGCCCCCACCAGATGGAGGGGTCAGGCTGGGACCACGGCACACATGTGAGGGCTGGCCGGGAGGGCCGGGCACGCAGCCAGCTGTTCGCTCTGCAGCCCAGCTCTGTGGCCTGGGCCCAGCGCACCTCCTTGTCAGCAGAGAGGCCACGGGGACCTGAGGAGCAGCTAGAAAGACTGGGGCTGGGGCTGGGGCCGGCCAGAAACCCAGTGTGACAGGGACTCTGCCTTCTCTGGACATAGGTCAAGGAGTCAACATTCTCTGTTCACTTCCAGGAAAAAGAAAGGGCGGGAGGAAGATTAGACTCAGAAGTTACACTCAGAATTTACTTTTATTTCTCCAAAAGTTGTTTCTGTATCTGATTCATGAAGAAAGCCACAAAGCCTTCTTGCTTTTTCTGAGCATGCTGCATCCACAGCCAGTTCACTCTGGACTCTGCGTGTCGGAAACAAATGTTCTCCCAGAGACGCTCACCCAGAGCCGGGGGCCAGCTGCACACTCCTCCCCCGCTGCACCTCTCCTTCCCAGCTGGCCACCTCCTCTCCTTCACCTTCCAAGGTTGGGATCTTGTCTGCAGGCTGCGCCTGAGCTCTTGGTGGCTACGAGGGCGCGCACAGTGGGAGCGACAAAGTACCGGAGACCTCAGATCCTGACCACCTGGGCGGCGACACAAGGACTCCGCCTCCGCTCCCCGTCGATGGTCTGCCTCCTGAGGTGGAGACGACCATAGGTGCCCCCCACCTGCCCTTTGGTGAGGCGCCCAGGGTTCACACAGATACAGCCGAGGATGTCCTGGGAAAGGAAGGGAGGACACTGGGTTTCCAAAGGCCAAAAGTAGCAAAACCAATGTGACTAAGTGGGAACCATCTAACAGCTGGATGCCAAAGAGGGTTTTATAGAATGGAAACAAGGCAACCAAACACATCTTAAGTCAAATATGTTAACTTATTATTGGGAAACTCTGGGTTCCTTTGGCATCTCTGAGACAGAATGAAGAAGGTGCTGAGCAGGGTGACAATTAGCTCCCAAACTTAGAGACACTCCTGACATGGTTATTGTTTTCCAACCAGAAGAAGTTCACCTCCTGAGGTTGAACTGGCTCTGGTTTGGCAAGAGGAAGATTGGCTGGGCGGAGTCTCAGGGCGGGACCCAACCCCAGGCGGGCAGTGCCTCAGTGGCAGAAAGGAGAACCCTAAGGCATCCTCCAAGTTCTCTGGGCTGGCTGCATGGAGGTCAGACCAGAGTTCAAGGACAGGGGCAGGCAAGTGCCCCCAGGGCACCCTGGCGCCTGAGAACCACTGTGTGAGGGCCATCCTTCTGGTTTCTGGGACTCCCAGGCTGGGCTGACCCAGCACCAAGCTCTGGGGGGACAAAGGAGCGAAGGGACATCACTTACTTAAATGTTTTACTAACAGACTGTCTTCTAGTCCCACTGCCCCCCCCCACACGAGGCCACCATGCCCGTCAGCAGACCCCGAGGAGTGGGTGCCGGGGGGTCTAGAAGGGAAAACCAAAGACCGGTTCTGGCCTGTCTGGGAAAAAGCAGAGTTCAAACTTGCCTTCACAAAGTATCTCAGCTCTGATGGGATCACGAAGACGTCTGGGGTGACAGGCAGCTGTGCATAGGCATAGAAATTCTCATAGTCAATGGCCATGTCTTCCTGGGGAGGGTACAGCGGGTAGTAGCTACAGAGACGGGAAGAAGCGGTCAGCAGCAGCTGATTCAGGACCCTCCCTCCAAGGTGGGTCCCGTCACTGGTTCCCACACTGTCACAGACTATCGTTTCCTTTCCTCTCTGTGTTTGGGGGACAGAACACAGGCTCAACAAAGGGTGGAGTGCCTGGCTATGGCCTGCGGACAGAGCACGCAATCCAGTCTATCAGCTCCAGGTCCCTGAGCACCGTCTCTACGGTCAGTCATTCCAGCAAGCGGGCTCACCTCCTCTGCGTCAGGATGTGTCTGAGGATGCGGCTGAATCTGTCTGACGTTCCAGAAGAACTGGGGAGGGCAGAAAAGGAGTGTAGAACCATGTTTTTTGGTTTCTATTTCTCTTCAGCGAGGCCTCAAGGATTTAATAAACTGGAGAGAGGCTACATGGCCAAGGCAAAGTGACAAGAGGATCCTTCTGGGGAAGTTTAAAGACCCACCCACAAATATTAACTCGGTCTGTTTCCACACGAGGAGGGGAGTAGCACAATGAGTTAAGAAGGGAAAAAGCAGGAATCCCGTGACTGAAATGAAGGCAGCCAGCACCAGATTGCGCCAGAGCGCACAGGCTGCACCAGAGTGAAGCGAGTCTGTAGCCTAGGTGACCTTTGCACCTTGAACCTCAGCCAATCAGCACACACCCCTGTTCAAGGGGCTCTGAAGCTACGCTGCAGATTTGGTTGCATGTGATTCTCTGCAGTTATATGCTGCTCTGGTGCAGAGAACAGCCTTCAGGGTTCACAGGTCATCCTCCACTGAAGACACCCATCAGTCACGGATGTGGGAGGGGAAGGAAAACAGATGAACTTCCGAGACTACAGACCAAGTTAAATGCAGACAGATGGACGTGGTTCTTTGTGCTCTCAAATGTAGGAGAGACCGGTGGTAACAGAAACAAAGGCTCCAGCCACTCCCCTCCTGTGGCCAAAGGGTGTGGCAGAGGGTCAGCTGTCCTGCCCGCGGGGCTGGAAGATGCGCCTCACCTGCTGATCTCCTCAGCTCCCATGTGGAACAGCAGATCCGTGGACGTCAAGCCAAAGACCACGCCGTTTATGGAGAGGCTGCAGGGATCGGACACGAACCGCACTCGCTGAAACAAGAAGGGGTGGAGAATCTCCAAGGGCTGGCTAGCCCAACGAAAGGGAGACCAAGCCAATGCACAGTAAATTACAAGCACATTTGCCTGTTAAAAATAGTAGCTTAAGACACGGCCCCTCAGGTTGGGGAGCTTGCAACCCCTGGCCCCAGCATGTGCAGAAGGCAACAAGTCGATGCTTCACTCTCGCATCAGTGTTTCTCTCTCTCCCTTCCTCTCCCTTTAAAAGCAATGAAAACATGTCCTTGAATGAGGATTAAAAAAAAAAGCTTCAGGCCCTGCATGTGTCCAAAAGGCATCTGCACCCTCCACGCTTCAGGGACAGAGCTGGGTCACCTGCGGCACATTCGATTCTGCAGGCCGAGGAGGAACCGCCGGTACCTTTTTGTCCTCGTGAGGCAGGTCGGAGTAGCTGAAGGGCGGCTGTGGGTACACGGGCTCATGGTGCACGTCCCTCAGCGATGGGACAAAGACGAGGTGCGAGCCGGAGCTATTTCATTAAAAAAAAAAATTAAAAAATCACCGAAAGGGAGAAAAATGCAGGTGAGTGAGAGCAGCCGGATGACAGTGACACACAGCAGCTCGTGCATGAGCCGCTGCTCCCAGGGAAGGAGCTCAGAAAGCAGCTCTCCTAGGAAGAGCTCACTGTGGGAAGGCAATTCGTGCTCATTTCTACGCGTCCACCTGGACCCGGAGCAGGTCACCAGGACGTGCTTCCTCTTGGCTCTGCATGATGAAAAGATGGGACGACTGTTTGGCAGAAAAGGAAAGGTGCCCTGGCTGTGGGTTCGGTTCCCCAGTCAGGGCCCATACAAGAAACAGCCAATGAATGCATCGGTAAGTGGAACAAAACAATAAATAATAATAATAATTTTTTAAAAGATTTTATTTATTTATCTTTAGAGGGGAAGGGAAGGAGAGAGAGAGAGAAACATCAATGTGTGGTTGCCTTTCCTGTGTCCCCTGCTGGGAACTGGACTGCAGGGAACCGGCCTGCAACCCCGGTATGTGCCCTGACTGGGAATTGAACCGTGATTGTCTGGTTTGCAGGCCTGAGCTCAATCCACTAAGCTACACCAGCCAGGGCTAATAATAATTTTTTTAAGGAAAGAAAAGAAATTGGGATCTAGAAAATCTAGAAAGAATTAGAGCCTGAGAGCCAAAACTGAAACCAAAGTCCTGCCTCCTCGCACTATGTAAAGAGATGCAGCTGAAAAGCGTTGGGAGTCTCCAACCAGGGCCAGAGGGCCCCCAGGGGGGACCCCGCATGCTCATCAGACCTGGAGACTGCTTCACAGTTAGAAGATCGAACTGCAACCTCCTACTGACCAGACACTGGGTCAGAAATTTGACATGGAGGACAGAGACGTCTTCAGCGTGGTGAGGAGCCGAGCCAGCCCCGCCCCTCACGGAGAGGCGATGCCCTCAGTTCTTATTTCTGACTGCAGAGTCTGGTGAGAATGAAAGGCGTATTTAACAGCAACAATAAAAGCATAGCTGACAGATGTCTCCTTTGATGGAGGCAGAAGGGGAATCTCCAGGGTTACAACATATATGTGATGTAAAAACCTTTAACTCTGGGGGCCGACTGTTTATCTTCCCCAGCCACACAAAAGAAGAAGGAAAAAAGTCCGTTTCCTTGGTTCCCTCAGCTGTGCTCGGCAGAGGGGCCCATTATAAACCAAACAGGCATGAAGTGTGACTCTGGGGGCTTATTTAAAACCCACCATTAACTCTCACTGCCGGCTCTCTCTCTTGCTTACAACGTGTGGCCTTGCAGAATATAGCTAATGGCCATAGCTGCTTCTTGTATGGGACAGAGGTATTGGTGACTGCTGTTACACTGGTCACTTACTGGTCAAGCCAGTTCATGTGAACTGAGATTTCTACAGCAGAAAATCAGAATCTTGAGGCCAAAGGAACGCTGCGTATTCATTGCAGCCCCCCCCCCCCCGACACTAACAAGCTGACTGGACAGGCCCACGCCCACCAGTGTGGGCGCCAGAGGCGGGCACAGGCCGGGCAGCCCAGACGGGACCGGCTCTGCTCCAGGTGCCAAGGGCTCAGTCTGTGATGGACATGAAGGTACAGCTGGCTGCTTTATTTTACTTTTTTACATTTTATGTACGATTTTAGACAGAGAGAGAGAGAGAAACATTAATTTGTTTTTACATTTATCTGTGCACTCACTGGTTGATTCTTGTATATGCTCTGACTGGGAATGCACTGCAACTTTGGTGCATCAGGGTGGTGACACTCTAACTAACTAACTAACTAACTAACTAACTAACTAACTAACTAACTGACTAAGTTGCCCATTCAAGGCCAGTTGGCCACTTTAAAAGATGGAATTGCTCTGTTTCAGTGTAGGCGCTGGAAGAGCAACAGTTAAGGAGGAAACTGCTCTCTTGCTCAGGGTTATAGACCGGCTGTAGGGGGAGGGTCCGAGAGAAAATTCCAACTATGCTGAGTATTGCACAACTTCATGCATCTCAGTGGGAGGGCCCCACACAGGCCCGGTGCCTGTGAGGGAGGCGCTTCCTCAAGGGTTCTGGTTTTTACTGAGAAACCAGCTTCACGCTCTGTACTTCTAACCTCTCAGGAATAAGAAGAAATTCCCCAAAATGAGCACCTTTTATATACCGTTCGGGGAGAAGTGGCGCAGCTCCCCAGCGCCAGGCACACACTGGCCGCAGATGAAAGTGCCTGGCGGTGCTGGGTGCCCCCAGGCTAACAAAGCCTGGTCTGTTCTTTGTTTGTGCCACTGCCGTCCATACCACACGGGGTGAGGGACCCAAAGAGAACCCGGCCTCACACTGCAGCACCCAGCCAGCGCTGCGGCCCAGCTCCGCCACCCCGGGCCTTCCCCACAGAGCCCTAATGGCTGACAACACAGGGACACCCGTTTTGGGGATTTACGTCCTGAGCTCCCCAGGTCTGAGGAACTCTCGATATCACAACAGACCTGGAATCAGAGGGAAGGCACTGCGTCATCCTCACTGGGGGAGGGCGGGAGGGACGGCCCCAGCCACAGCCTGTCACCGCACGGTTCAAGGCTCCTGGGTGATCGAGGGGCTGTTTCCCCGGTCCGAGAGGCCTACCGCACTGGCCGTGCTGCCGGCGCAGGAAGGTAGTATTCCCACTAATCGACTCTGGGATCAGTTCTCACGGCCAAGGGGTGGAAGATTATACATCTTGTTGTAAAAAACCACCTTTGTTACAGACTTGTTTGTAAAAGCTCAGCCCCAGGAATGTTTGTTTTTTATGAGTTCAGCTACAGGCAAGCAAGTCCCCAGAGGAGACCCATCACCTACACCAATGCCTTTCAAAGCCTGGCACTGGCGCTAAAGGGACAGGAAGTGATTCTTCCTGGAATAGGTCCCTTTTTTCTCCATCAGAACTGCACATCTGGTCGCCCCATAACCTTCCACAGATCCTTCCCCTTGGTCTATGGCAGAGATTCAAGATCCCCACCCTCCCTGAGTTTCTACTAATGGCTTTCTTAGGCCACTAACGATGCCCGACAAAACGTGGGGAAGCAGTGACTCAGGGGAAGGCCCTGGGCTCACCGGAAACAATCTTGCACACAACAAGATCTGGGGTCCCCTGGGATTGGCTGTGTAAGTCACCCGACGCTTCTCGGCAGCACCCTGGGAAGAGTCCCGTGGAATACGAGTGTGTACGAACAGAAGTAAGAAGGGGAAGGAAGTACAGAGAAAGCACAGCAAGAGCAAAAGTCAAGTATGTTTATCTCAGGGTTTTATGAAGATGCCTCTTGACTCAGCGTCTGCGCACTTGAAGTTCAAGAGTTCTATCTGATCGCTAGTTCAAAAGGATGAAAGACGGGAACTACCCTTCCCTTTGAACAGTTTCGTTTTTTTTAGTGGCAAGCTTAGGAGAAATCTGAGCAGCTTAAAAGGCAGCAGTTTTGAATTCTGACCTTCGTGTCCCTTCAATAATCGTTCGTAGACACTGCTTGAAAACATCTTCAAATGGACTGGTCAGCAGACAGTTCTGCAAGAAAAGGAGGTGAGGGTAGACCTTGGCGTTCACTCGTTTCACATTGGATGGCCCTATGTACCAGCTGTGGAGCTGAGAGCTGAAGGGAATGTGAAAGACAGATGTCTGTCCTCAAGGACCTCAGTCCAGCTGGGGACAAGAAAGGAGATCGGGGAAGAATCAACCCTTTTGAATATGAGCTAAAACACTGAAAAGGAGGAGCATTTTGAAATCTCTTCTGTGACGGGAAAACATCCTGTGAACAAGGGTAAGAGATGTCCAGAGAAGGGCCACTTGTGTCAACGCATCAAAGGACAGCAAGGCGTGGGTCAGGGGGCTGAGGGAAGCTGCTGATAAAACCGCTTTGCAGCTCCGTGGCCCCCAGACCCTTGCATCTGTGTGGCACTCTTGGGCCTTAGCATCGAGCGTCACAAAGAAACATCAGGATTCGTGTATTTGTATTTCCCTCCCTCAGCTTCCAAACGGCCTTGCAGTCTGGGGAAATAAAGCCCTTGCATTCTGTACCTTTGCTAGAAGTGCCATGCTATGATGTCTTTCTGCGGGGATGAGATGCAGGGTGACGCCGAGATAAAAGCAACAGTGAGGGCCCACTGCACGGAAGTAACCACCACCCTCCCCTCACCGCAGGCACTCACCTCAACCTGTTCATGCTTAGCATCCAGGAAAGGGCCAAACTGCAAACAAGGCGGAGGAGAGGAAGAAAGGTATCCAATCAGAACCTTGAGTGTCCATGAGTGCCTCCACAGTCCCCTCTGTCCCACCAAGGCTGCAAGAAGAGCCTGGGACAGTTAGCAGATGGGGCGGGGCACCAAGCCAAGATCAGACAGGAGGCCGTGGGCCCTGGATGCAGGGAGGCCGCCATGGCCCCGTAACCATTCGCACAGCCTCCTACAAACACGGGGCTTCTCCCCAACTTTCTGTACGTGGTAGGGAAACCTACCTCCCTTTGAGCCTAAAGAGAGAACAGTTCAGGGCTTGGAGTCATGAGACAGAGGCAGGAATCTTATAAAGACAGTAGAGGCAAAACTGTCAGCTTTTAGATTAGGTGGGAGCCTACAGATCACGTGCACCTCTCCAGAGACACAGATGAAGAACAAAAAATATATTAAAAAAAGGACAACCTGACACACTTCCTAAGAGTTCAGATCCGCACCGGACCTTTTTCTAAAGGTCAATCCCTGCGTTCCCGAGGGGCCCTGCCAGGCAAAGCTGCCCTAGGAGGGCCTCCTACCAGGACACAGACGTCAGGCCGGTCACGGTTGATGACGGCGACCAGGTCGAGTAGCGGGTCATACGTGATGCTGTCAGACGTGGTATACGGCCCACAGGCCACCAGAACCATGGTTTGCTCGAATTCTATGAGAAAAAGTCGTAAGGTGTTGATTAGAAGATGCTGGGGTGGTGGGAGAAGGACGACGCAGGCCCTGGACATCCGGGCCTGGTCGATTTCTTTTCGCTCTTTGAAGCTGATCTAGCACCGCCCGCTCCTCACGCCGCTGTAAACACATTTTCTGAGAGAGCACACAGTACCGTCAGTGCCTACAGTTCCCCCCCTCGGGTCATCTCCGAAGACGACTCGTAAACCGTTCCCGTGCACGGGGTGCTGGCCACCTCACTGCAGTTCCTCAGCAGGCTGCTTTCCTGACAAACATGCCTTAAGAGTATTTTGAAGCAAAGTTTGTTAAAATTTCTTTTTGTCTTTTTCTATCTAGTTTGGTTACCAAACAACTCTAGGCTTTCTTAGAAATTCATCTAATTTTTTTTAAAAAAGATTTTATTTACTTTAGAGGGGGAAGGGAAGGAGAGAGGGAGAGATACATGAATGTGTGGTTGCCTCTCACTCACCCCCAACTGGGGACCTGGCCTGTAACCCAGGCACGTGCCCTGACGGGGAACTGAATTGGCGACCTTTTGGTTCACAGTCCAGCGCTCAATTCACTGAGCCACACCAGCCAGGGTTCATTTTAATGAACCTTTTATTTTGGAATAACGTTAGAACTGTAGAAAAGTTGCAAAGACGGTACAGAGTGGCTGTGTGCATGGCTTCCACCCAGTGTCCCCTAGGGCTGGCGTCGTTCCCACACCTGCCAGAATGAAGGAGTTCACGCTGATACATCGCTGGTGACCATTTCTGACTTTATGTGCATGTTGCCTGTTTTTTCACTAATAACCCCTTTCTCCCCCAGAACCCAATCCAGGAAACCATACTGCGTGTAGAGAAATTCTTTGTTAAATAGCTCCTAGGTCTCCCTTTTTGAAGTGACCTTCGAATACCGACTACCATCAGAGGTGAATGACGAGCCGCCTGCACGCGGATCGCAGGTGGTCAGATCCCGGCTCCTCTGCGTCCTCAGGCCCGAGGTGCACTCACAGCTTCTGTGCTTCCCTGGTGCCCGAGGAGCCACGCTCCGGGCCCTGGCCCCCCCCCCCACTGCGGTGGCAACTGTGTTTGAGGCAGAACTTACCTCCGTCCTCTTCGGCGGGCTGATGAAACGGAAGTGGCACACCCTTAAAGACCAGAGAGAAGCGGGTCTGAGGTCTTGCCCCAGGCGTTGCCGTGGTAAGGAGCGGTGTGGGCACTGACTAGGGCATGTTGTTTGCAGGTGTCTTGCTCCTTGGAACTAAAAGCTCGCAGAGCTGACGGTACCTGCTATTTTTCTGTATCTGCTCAGAGCCACAAACAACCCCAGAAAATGGGAGGCCACAGCAAAACTCATATAAAACACCCAGCAAAAAGTCGGAACAAAGTGCCAGTAAGGAGGGGCTAAGTAAGGAGGGGCGAGCAGGGACAGGTCACTTACGGCCTGTGGGCCAAACCTGGCTACCGCTACTTTTCTAAGAAAGATTTACTGGCACAGCCACACTCGTGGTTTACAGGTTATCTACGGCTTCGATTGCGAGACACTGGTAAAGCTGACGTGGTGACAGAGACTAAGAGGCCTGCAAAGCCGCCGTCTGGCCCTTTACAGAACTGGTTTGCTAAGCTCTGGCCTAGAGGCAGGTTCTCACTCTAGAGAGGATCGAGAGGCAAATAAACAGGCCCCTAAAGTGGACAAACTGCACACCGTGGCAGGAGGAGACCGGGGGGAGGGCGGGCACCGCTGTGGTTACCTCGTAGAGTTTAGTGGCGACAAATTTTCTACCAGTGGTGTTGATTCCTTCCATAATTACAACCTGAAAGACAAGAGGCAAAACAGGATTGCAAGATGGGAGATAAAAGAGAGGTCGGGAATCAATTATTTTGATGCAATTAAAAGAATCGTCCAGCTAGTTTCATTTAGTAATGGACAACTCGGGAGTGTTTTTCTAGAAAACAGATTGAGGGGGTTATACTAGTAATCATAACTGTGTTTTCCACGGATGACCTAATTTTGACAACAGTCCCATGAGGGAAGAATTCTTCTTCCCGTTTTACAGATGAGGACACTCTGGCTTTGAGGTTAACTACCATGGCTATAATCACACGCCATGTGGGGTGGAATCGGGATTCGAACCTGCACAGTCAAATTCCAGAGCCAAGGTCAGAGTGTACCAGGGAAAGCTGGAACCCCTACACCGGTGTCTGCTCTTGGGACTGTGCTCCCACCACATCCCATGGCAGCAGAGGTCAAAACCAAGGGGCAGCAGGCCAGCGGTGAAGGCTGTTCCTGAGCCACAGCCCACCACGCGTACTGCGGAATAAGGGGCACGCCGCGCCCCGCTCACCTGTCCGGGAAACAGAGAGTACTCCGTAAGCTCAGACAGATCCACCGGGATGCGCGCACCAGAGGAGTGTTCCCGGTCTCCCTCCAGAATCACCGACTTGCTGTTCAGCTTTCCGTTGCTGTCACAGCCGATCTGGCCCAGCAGGGTGATGGGCTCCTGCCATGGGCAGGTTAAAAAACAGAACGATATAGCCTTTGGGGCAGAGGCTCCAAATCTGAAGTCAACACACTGAGTAGCAGGCAAATCCCAAGTAACAGTAAACATCGTTTTGGCGGGGTATCACTTTGACCCTGAGGTGATCAGATCATTACGAACAACAAGGGCATTAGAACTCTTAAAGCAGGGGTGTCAAACTCATTTTCATCAGGGGCTGCATCAGCCTCACGGTTGCCTTTAAAGGGCTGAATGTAATGTGAGGACTGTATAAATGTTAACTACTCCTTAACTGGGGGCAAGGAGCTCGGCGCTGCCACTGGGTAGAAACAAGGCCGGATAAAACCAGGTGGAGGCCCGGATTCGGCCCCGGGCCTTGTGTTCGGCACTTGTATCTTAAAGGGCATCTAGTCCGCCCACCCAATGCTGGAGCCCCCAGGAGGCTACCTTAGGCTTGAGCATCTCTAGTGAAGGGGAACCTGTCCTGGCACCCCCAAAGCAGCCCACTGCACCTCCGGATACCTATAACTGTTAACGGTAGCTCACGTTCATTGAGCTTACTAAATACCAGCTCTAAAGGTTTACATGGATCAATTCATTTAGTCGCCACACCAAGTGTGAGGTGGGAACTATTAATGCACCCATTTCACAGATGAGAAAATAGAGCAACGGAGACATTAGATAATTTGGTCAAGGTCAAACAAGTGGCTGAAGCCTGAGTTTAAAGCCCAGAAGTTTGGCTCTAGAGCCATATCCTTAACCACACACCTCACTGCCTCTTAACCGGAAGTTCTTCATTAACTTGGGCTGAAATTTCTCTTCCTGTGGCTTCCTCTGCCCTGTTCCCACTCCTTGGGGCCAAGTGAGGAAGTCTAACCTTTTCCCACAAGATCACACATGCTTGCCACCCTCCACTACTTCCCCTCAGTTCCCCCCAAACTTCCTCATACCACACGGTTTTGCATTATCTTCCCCAATTGGTCACTCCTCTCTTGAATGAAAACATATGCCAGAGGTAACTTAAAGACTCTTCTAGAACACATCTCCCCTTAGGTTAAAGGTTCTAGAGAAAACCCTGGTACGTATGCCAGATTAAATCATGATGTAGAGACCACGAGCAGCAGCTTATTCATAACAGAGACCAAGCAAGGAAGAGTTGCCATTTCTAGAACTCCCATCCTTGCTGTCCTTACGCTCTGGTACTAGAAGGCTTGAAGCCTGCCACCTCTGTGTGCCGTGACCTAAACCCAAGTGCAAAGACGGTGACTGTGTCTGCACAAATCAGAGAGTATTTGTAAGTCTTTCGTGAAAAGGACCTCTTTCACCAAATCCAACTGGGACAGTTGTTCTAACCAGAACGCAGGCAGGTGAAAAAGGAAGCCAGAGGATGGTTTTCACCTCGGATTCGAAAGGACAATATTAGGAAGGACTATCAGAACAACTCTTACTTGTGCTGGAATTAGAACAGGAGTAAAAGCCTCAATCTTGTAATGTTCCTTGAGTTCACTGCCAAGTTCTTCTATCTTACAGGTCAAAACTGAAATCCCAGAGGGGAAAAAGTGTTGCGTTTAAGACGTTTCACTTGCCAAGAACAGAAAGAAAATACAGCACATTGTTAAACATTAAAGCCAGTCATTTTACAGAGGCGGGAAGGGTACTTAGATCTGGCCAATTCACGCTTTCTGAAACCTTCCCCGGGCAGCTTCCTGATACCGAGTCTGGCCTTCCCTCTGGCCAGGGGCTCATGTGGCACCAACCCAGAGTCAGCACAGATCCACAACCCCCAGCCTCCTTTTTCCTCAGGTCATCAGTGAGGGTTAGGACAAGCCAAGGTCAACCTGGGCAGTCTCTCATTCTTCCTAAGAAGCCATAAATGTTTCCGCTTTCTTTGGTATGTTCATTGGCTTCCTTTACATAATTCGAGTGATTGTTACTGGGAAATGGTTCTGTGCTTTTCCTTTAGCACGTTTCTTTTGCGAGGGGCAGTTGCTTGGGAGAATGAGAGGACCATGTCCCTCTACTCACAAGGGCACCCAGAGGACACCTACCAACTTATGTATTCAAAGGCAATGTTAGAATCTGTTCTGCAGTCCAACTGGAACTTTGCTCCTTACTCTAAACCCTTCCAAGTGGTTTTATATCCTCCAGAATTTAAAAGGGAAAACAATCACCTTCTCGGACGTCTGGCAGCTTCTGAAACATGAATTTGTAGCTCCCAGTCAGTGACTCTGGACTCCCCAGGACCTTCAGGCTGACCATACCGGCTCCTCCTCTCCCGGACCAAGACACTCCCTGCGCTGAGCCAAAGGCAGTAACCACTTCTCCTCGGTTATTTCTTGAGTTGTATTTCTGAGAGGGAGTAGCACTAATTGGGAGCAAAAGAGATTAACATTTTACTGCGTTCATATATAAAGGGAGAGAGGAATAAAATGAGGTTACCTTCTGGAAATGAAAACTGGAGAAAGGTCAAGCTGGCCTCACATTTTATAAATCTAATCAGCTTAATGGGGTCGGACACCCAGGCCTTTAAGGAATTTCAGGAATGAAGGGTTGAAGAATACCACTGAGCAATACCAAACATGTTCGGAGAAGTTTAGAGACAAAGACGTATTTTAAAAGGTCGTTCTCCTGGCTTAAAACTAAACAAAGCAGAAAAACCTCAAACTCTGAACTGATTAAAAAGCAAGTACCATTTTCTTTTAGCCCGTAGCATTTATTAGAACACCTCCAGAGCCTAGAACTTTAGAAAAGCCAGAAGTTGCTATGCCTGTATATGACACCTCACAATATAGTTTGAGGTAGAAACAAACAGCAAAATGCAGTTAAGTGAAACGAATCAACTGTCCTCAGTCTCCGTGGAGGTGGAGATGTAATGAATCCAGTCAGCTGGTGAACAAAGATTCCCATTCTCCAAGGCTCCGCTGACAGTTCTCCTATTTCCCCTCCGGGCTGGTAAATTACACCTCTAAGAACACTCGGACATCGCTATCTGCTCAGATGACAATGAGGTCTTCCAATCCCCTGGTGGTGAACCTAGCTTACCGGGAGGGCTATTTAATAAAAACAGGCTTCATCCAATGCACCAAAACTCTGCACGGACCAGCGAGATATGGGCCCCACTGAGAGGGCTGCCGTCACTCCTCCTTTCCCAGGAGAAACTGAAAATGACTCAGTTAATTAGCTCTATCTCCGGGGCTGCCTCTGCCTGAATAATTTAGAAGTTACTTTCATAAATTACCAAACCAGTTTCTGATGCTGGCTTTATTAGCACACACTTAAAAATGACTAGGCAGCACATCCCAGACTTCTCCGAGCCTCTCCTGCGAGCTCCGTGGGACGTCCGTGACAGCTGGCCCTTCAAAGCATCCAGACTCGCACACAGGGTCGGCTGCACTGAGGTCCAGCTCTCCCAGGACCGCTCGTTCCAGAACACGACGGCCAGGGCAGTGCTGGCCCACCCACAAGAGCCATCTGTACACATCAAGGTTCAGAGACACTCTTGTAAGTCTAGGAAGTTGGCTTCTAAAAAGTCTGAGTACTCCCAAGGCAGCAGTGGACCACATGAAAAGTGACCTGTCCTGCAGAATCCAATGACTGCTCATCTGGAATGCCCGCTACCACCTCCTTCCTAAAGTGACGGGGCAGAGGAACCTTAAGCGTTGCCTCATCTGGAAGAAGTGATCCACAGCTGAGATGGCAGGCAGGACTGTCCCTCGGCTGCACCCCCACCTGGCAGCACCTGAAAACCTGTCTTCCGCGCCGCACAGCCCTCACCTACGGAGTTCCCTAATACGAGAGGTATCACCCGTGGATTCTGAAAAAAATCACACATGATTGCGGAATCAGGTGCGGAAGTGGCAGCAGAGACAAAGTACTGATTAGGTCAGTGCAGGTTCACAGCAACAAGAAACCTCCCAGAAACCAGCTGGACCCTCAGGCGGAACAATGAACAGGTTATGTAACGTTATGAACAAAGATACGTGCTTTTCTCTTTTAAAAAAATCACTGCTGCCCTGGCTGGTGTAGCTCAGTGGATTGAGCACGGGCCTGCGAACCAGACAATTGCGGTTCGATTCCCAGTCAGGGCACATGCCTGGGTTGCAGGCCAGTTCCCAGCAGGGGACGCACAAAAGGCAACCATACATTGATGTTTCTCTCCCTCTCTCCTTCCCTTCCCCTCTGAAGATGAATGAATAAAATCTTAAAAAAAAAAGTCACTGCTTTAGATTGAACAAAAAGAAACCCAACAACACACAAACTAACAAGCAGGTGAAAGGCCGTCCGCCCGCACTGGCACGACCGGGAGGACCTCGGGCGCCTGAATGGCCAGGTTGTTTCCAGCAGAAGATATCAGTTCCCGATCTAGGAAATGAGCCCCAGAAAAGTGGGTGGAAAGTGAGTTTCCTTAATTGCTGTAAGAAACAGTAATTTTCCACACAGGAAGACAAAGGAGGGAGGGCAGAGAGAAAGAGGCTTTCCAGCCAGCTCACTGCGGAGGTATCCGACCGCCCCACTTAATAAGTCACTGTGGAGTCGGCCTCCACCAGATAACCGGAGAAAGGGGGGCGGGGCGGCTTTTTGGCAGCTGACTTGATTCTGATCGTACCTTGGAGAGAAACTGGATGGCGAGAGAAGCTGATGGGGACTGCGAGTGGACACCCTCCTCTTTGTGAGGGGCGTTTCCGGGGTGGAGGCAGCTCGCTTCTGAGGAGCCTAGAAACAAATCGAAACACAAAGGCCCACTCCCTCTTGACCCGGGTTACTAATTAAGTGCACGGTTCCATAGGAAGAAGGGAGCGGGGCCTCAGTGGAGGCCACGAGGCGGGGCTGGGCCTGGGGGTCCCACTGGCGGAGAGTAATCCCACCAGAAATCTTCAGGACTGTAACCCAGCATTCATCAGAATACCACCCCATGTTGAAGGCAATTATGAAGAAGTGCCGACATTTCCTAAAACGGACCGCCAAGAGGTCAATCTGTCCTGTCAAATCGTTCGTGTGTTCCCTTTCTCTCCCGCCTCTCTCTGCTTCAGAACGCATATGGGTTTAACAGCGCATGGGTTTTGACCTGCGTGGATGCATTTTCCTGAGAAGGGATGGGACTGAGTTACTCCTCATTTTGGCAAAGTCAACCACACATTTTCAAAATTAGAGAAGGGAATGACTCAGGCAGATAACTCGGCTGAGCTCATACTTGGAGAATATTTAGCAAACACCTCACTGATGGTCAATTTTTGGTTTTTGCTTATCAACAAGAATCCAGAGAGGCGCCCAAAGTGGAGGATGAAACCCACAGTCGAGACCCACTCAACATGTTGCAACTGACCTGACTGAGAGCTAAGGCAGATCCTTGCCCAGACTGCAGCCCAGGCCAGCGAGTCTGGGGAGGCGTTCTCTGCCCTCGGGCTCCTCCTAGCGGCGGATCTGAGTCCTGCCACCAAAGCTGCCTACAGTGCTGTGAGACAGCCACCAGAGAACAGGTTCAAAACCATCACTAAGGAGCTGGAATGGAAACTGGACTTAAAAAGGTTCTTATGCTACCACCCTATACAATAAACATTTTTACCTTTCCTTTCTAGTATTTTAATATTTTTGTAACAGTTACGATCTTAGTTTAAATACAAATCTTTAAGTACTATGTATACTAATTTTTTAAAATATTTTATTTATTTTTGGACAGAGGGGAAGGAAGAGGAGAGAAACATCAGTGTGTGGCTGCCTCTCACATGCCCTCCACCAGGGTCCTGGCCCACAACCCAGGCATGTGCCTGGGTAGGAACTGAACTGGGAGACCCTTCAGTTTGCAGGCCAGCACTCAACCCACCAGACCACACCAGCCAGGGCTCATTTTTTTAATATTAATTATAAGCATTTTCCCACAATATCACAATCTTTATCCTTTTTAGTAGCTGTGTTGATTGAATTGAAATATAATAATTTACATAATGACTTCTCTCTTGCTGGATGTATGAGCTGCTTGTAATTTGGGTTAATTACAAATTATGCTGAGACACATATCTCCATGTTATACAGATTTTCTCAATTTGAATTATTTCCTCAGGAGAGATTTTTACTAGGGAGAATTATTGTGTCAAAGATAGAAAAGACTTTATGGCTTTGATATATCTTCCCAAACTACTTTCCCAAAATCCACTTCTAATGTGCCGTGTGCTCTGGGACGCTCGGCCGATGCTGGGCAGGGATCATTTCAGGAGAAAGAGCCCGCCCCCCAGGACGTGGCTGCGTGGTGGCGCCCTGGGAAGCAGTCTCAGCTCTCTCAACCTAGACTTCGGCCCCTGCCGTGGAACCGCATGCACTGTGTCAACAAGCCACCTGCTGTTTTGCTCCTCAGGGATGGGCTCGCTCTGACCGAGCTCACAAAACCCACTGCGAACACCACACACCGGCCTGTCCCCTGCAATGAGAAGCCTGGGTGGCGCGGGGTTCTCACAGCACACCGGAACCCAAGTTACAGCCCAGGAGGCCAGCGTGCTAATTTACCAGAAATATAATGCCGTTGGTATGGGAACTTCCAAGCCTCAGGCTGACACATTCTCTCCCATCAGGCTGGACACGGGGAAAGCCCGCTTATAACCAGATGTATGGTGAGCACAAAGGCAAACGAATTCTTGTCAGCTGCACAAGTCAGATGTTTGATGATGACGAGCAAGACCAATGACCCTCACTGCTGTAGCAGGAGTGAGCCTGCCCCACGGCCTGGCAAGGTCAGATGACCTCAACCTGGCGCTGTTTGTGTGGCAAGGCCACCAGTGGCACCACGACTCTTCTGTCACGCCTCTGGTGCGTGGTCTAACAATGACCGAGCGGCTTCCGTGGGGTGGGGACTGCTCTAAGCACGTCACCGTCTCCAGCCCAGACCCACACTGCGTCTCCGCTGAGCTTCTGACCCGTTTCTCATTGTTTGCTCGTTTCAACCCAACTTAGCTCTGACTAATGCGGGCCAGGTCCGCATTCCTGGGGATGTGTGAGAAGCAACTAAATCTCTTGCATATTGATGTTTCTCTCCCTCTTTCTCCCTCCCTTCCTGTCTCTATATAAAATCTTAAGTGTAGCTCAGTGGACTGAGTGTGGGCCTGTGAACCAAAGGATCGATCACTGGTTCGATTCCCAGTCAGGGCACATGGCTGGGTTGCAGGCCAGGTCCCAGCAGGGGACCCATGAGAGACAACTATACATTGATATTTCTCTTCCTCTTTCCTTCCCTTCCCCTCCAAAGATAAATAAATAAAATCTTTAAAAAAAATCAGAAGAGGCCCTGGCTCCATAGTTCAGTAAAGCATCATCCCAATGCTCCAAGGTTGCAGGTTTGATTCCTAGGCGGGAAACATGAGCAACCAACGAATGTATAAATAAGTGAAAGAACAAGTCACATCTCTCTATCTCTCTCAATCTCTATCTCTCCCTCCTCCCTCTCTAAATATAATGAAAAAAATGTCCACGGGTGAGGATAAAAAAATGTAAAAAAATAAAAAATAAATAAATAGCCCTGACCAGTGTAGTTCAGTGGATTGAGCGCAGGCCTGAGAACCAAGGTGTCGCTGGTTCGATTCCCAGTCAGGGCACGTGCCTGGGTTGTGGGCCAGGTCCAGCAGGGGGTGTGTGAGAGGCAACCACGCACTGATGCTTCACTCCCCCTCTTTCTCCCTCCCTTCCCCTCTCTAAAAAAAATAAATAAAAAACTTTAAAAAATAAATAGTTACAGAAAGTCATATTTATAAAAATTCTATGATATGTGAACTGAAAAATGAAGGCTACCCACACGTTCACGAGGACTGTAATTACATGAACCACGTGTGCATGTGATGGGGCAGGAAGACGCGTAAGTGGAAATACGGTAGGAAATATACAGAAACTGTGTGAAAGGTCATTTTCTCTCGCAGAACTTCAGATGTCATGATGTTTTTAGAAAAAAGAAAAAACACACTTTGCAGAACGCCGTTCCCGAACACTGCGAACTCACCTTAGAGGGTGTGGTGTATGAGTTCAGGAGGGTCTCCTCTTCGTCCTCTGCTTCAATTCTAGCCGCAGTGGTTAAGAAAGATAGCAACAAACTTCCCCTTGAAATCTAAGGCAAGGGTTGCTTGAGCAGGAACCTGAACAGTAAGTACTTTTCGTTTGTTTCTAAATTACACACAATAAACAAATTAGAAATAGAACACGGTGGCTTGAGGTCGAGCCCTCCAACAGAAAAGGATACAGCTCCTGAATGGAAACAATGTCCCTGGCCCCTGCGTGCCCGCTGTCCTTGCGAGCGCTGTGGCGGACTTTGGACAATCTTTTGCTCAGAAACTGAGGGCAAAAAAGATAATAGATATAGTATTCCAAAGTCGAGTATTAGAGGAGCGTTTTCCACAGCTGCAAGATAATAAGAGGCTTTAGAAATATAATGAAAAATATAAAATTCCTCCAAGTAAGAATTAATATGATGTTCGTGATCAACTAAATATAAAGACTTATTCTGAGACTGTTGCTCTATAACACATAATGATTCTAATAGTAACAACAATTACTTGTTGAAGATCTACCACCAGTTAGGTGATTTACATCCATTTTCATTTAATTCTTACAACAACCCTAAAAAGTATGGAGTGTTAGAACCACTGACAGAAGAGGGAGCTAAGACTTGGAGACATCAAGTCATTTGTCCAGGCTCACGTTGGGCCTCGAAGCCAGATCTGAGTCCAAAGCTCCAACTCTCCTCGCTGTGTCCTACCGCCTCCCCTACCGAGCAGAGATGGAGAATCACAGGGGGGGGTTTCCTTACATTGTGCTCTCACCTCACGCTCAAAGGAGTTCAGGATCTCCAGGGTAACGTGACCTTTCTGTGTGCTGGTACAGAAGGCTACAAGCTCGCCGACCATTCCCTCCTCGTTCTGGCCATATAGAATGCACAGCTCCGCCACTGCAGAGGGAAAAGTGGACCAGTAAGCACTCAATTTATTTTTTGAACCTTAAACCTTGAAAAAAGAAAATAATCCTCTATTTATTCAATCCACATTTATTCAGCAACTACTTGTGCTAGGCACTGTTCTAGGCATGAGAATATAGCAAAACAGAGAAGAATCTTTATCTTCACGAAGCTCACTACTGGCAGGCGACAGAAAACAAACAAGTAAAAGAGGTGGCATATATAGGTAAATGGTTAAATGTGCTCTGTAGACAAGTGAAGCCAGGAGAGGGATCAGGGACTTGGAGAATGGCTTAGCTATTTTAAATACACAGATCAGGAAAGGCTTCATTGAGAAGAACTCTTTCAAGTAAAGACTTGAAGGGAGTGAAGAAATGAGTCTCGCAGTGTTTAAGTGAAGAGATTTCAGGCAAAAATCCAAAGGTCAACAAGATCAGCCAGGTCACAGTGGCTGGATGTAGTGACAAGGGAGACATTCTTGGCCACTGCAATTACCCTGGTGAGTACTCTGAGCAAGCTGGGAAATCTAGAGGGTTGGAACAGAACTGTAACGTGATCTGATTTCCATTGACTGAAGGGGACAAGGGCAGAATCAGGGGAGCCAATTAAGAGAATCATAGTAAAATCCAGGTGAAAGATGATGGTGGCTTGAATCAAGGCGGTGGAGGTGGCCGGAAGGGATGGGAGTCTGGACAGGATACACACTAAAGGTAAAGCCAGTGTGACCTGCCTGCTAACTGGGCGTGAGGTCTAGAGAAAGAAAGGAGATGATACTGTTTTTAGCCTGAGCACTTGGAAGGATACAGTCACTATTTTGTTTGTTTCTTTTTTGGGGCTTAAAAAATTTTTAAATTAATTTTCTGGATATTTTCTTGGATGCAGTCACTGTTTACCGAGGCGGGGAAGACAGCAGGAGGAAGTCCCTGGAGGAGAGAGAGGAGATACCAGAAACTCAGTATCCGAAGTGCAGGGCTCGATGTGCCAATCAGACAGCGACCTGGAGATGTCAACTGGGCAGCTGGCCAGGCCAGCCTGCAGTTCAGGCAAAACATCTCGGCTAAGGCATAACGTTGGGACTCATCGGAAACACGGGGATGTAAAGCCACGAGACCAGATGAGGCCACCAAAACAGTGAGTGTCTTGAGGCTCAGGACCGCTGAGGGAGCGGGGCATGAAATATCCAAAGCCTGAGAAGATGGGATGAGCACGGTGGGAGGACAGCCCCAGGGGTGTCCGAGAGGCTAAGAGAAAACCCTGTTTTAGAGAAGACGTGAGGAACTGTCAAATGTTGCTGATAACTCAATGTGAGGACTGGAAAGTCACCCCTGGTAGCCAGATGAAAGTCACTGATGGCCTTGAGAAAAGCAGCTTCACCGAGGCAGTGGAGATGACAAAGTTGACTGTCGAGAAAAAAAACTAAAGACAGCAAGTACAGGCAACCCTTTTGAGGACATTTAGTGTAATTGGGAAGGAAAGAACTGAAGTGGGAAGTGGAGAAGATAGATTTTTTTTTTAAAGGCAGTAGTGAGAAGTGCATCTCTATGCTATTAGGGGAAAAATCTTATACAGAGAAAAATACAAACTACGTAAAAGGAGAAAATTACTGGAGTGATGTCTTTAAGAAGATGAGGAGTGGGATTTAGGGCTCAAGCAGAGGGTGTGGCTTTTGCTAAAAATATGGAGAATTTATTCATTGTAACAGGGAGGAAGGCAAGGTATATGGCACAGACATGGGTAGGCAGGGAGGCATCGTGTTCTATCTTACAGAAGTTTTCTAACAGCTCCTATTTTTTTTTTTTTTTCAGTAAAATAGGCAATACATTCATCACTGAGAGAGGGAAGAAAGATGTTAAAGGAGAAGGTGGAAAAGAGTCACCTGGAAGACTCAGAGTGAACAGGCCAGGAAGACCTGGTATGACTGTCAGGCGGTACTCAAGTCCCCCTGGGGTCAGTGATCATGAATCCACAGTCTACAATTCCAACGCCACTGCCAGCGTCGTCCTATGTGAGTCGGAAGCCACAGGCACCTTGGGCTGAAGCCTATACAGACCTGGTTCACACACTCATTTCTTGTTTTGACTTCATCCTCATCTAGTAAATGTCTACCACTGAGTTTCTCATTTAAGTCTCCTTTTAGGAAGACAATGCACTGGGCATAAGAACTTGGAGTATTCTGGTCTTTCATGAGAAATTAACATGTTAATGTTAAAAAAGTTCAAAGTGTTACCCTGGCTGGTGTGGCTCAGTAAATTGAGTGCTGGCCTACGAACCAAAGGGTCGTTGGTTTGATTCCCAGTCAGGGCACGTGCCTGGGTTGCAGGCCAGGCCGCGGTGGAGAGGCATATGAGAGGCAACCACACATTGATGTTTCTCTCCCTTTCTTTCTCCCTCTCTCTAAAAATAAGTATAAAAAGGTTAAGGCAGGTGCACAGTCATCCCATTTCTAAAACTGAGAACTCTGTTTGCTTCAAACAAGTCCTTACACTGTCCCAGAGCCTGACCGACACCTTGGAAGATGTGAAGGAGCTCGAAAGGAACGGAGGCTGGGTTCACGGACCAGCGCAGGCTGTTAACTCTCCTGGTCCGTTTCTCCACCGTAAGCAGCTGACAAGCTCCCTACAGTCCCTTCCGAAGCTAAACCCACCTCAAGGAGCTCAGAGGAAGGCAATACTCACACACAGGCTACCAACAGCTCTGAGAAGTGCTGGAAAGGAAGGAGCCAGGAATAAAAAGCTGCATTTCAAAAGCCCCAAACCTCTTGCTTTGTCGTAGAGGCTTAAGGAATTTCCAAACTAGGACAAGCCCCCAGAGCCTAGTCTGTGTGAACCTGGCACGTCCCATCCCACCTTTCTGAAACTGCGCTGATTTACAATCGTCTTTCGTATTCTTATTTTCGAGTTGGGGTCCCAGCAGTATCCTGTGAGAGTTTCAAAGTCCCCCTATGCCAAACCTCAAAACTCAGTTTAACTCCTCTCCCACTCGCCGAGACGCCTGGTCTAAGGGAGGGAAACCCGGAAGCGCTCCCTTTGGGCTCCCGGCGACAGGAACGCGGAGCCGAGCGCGGACCTCGGCTGGGGTCCCGGGAGGGGGAGGGACTCACATTTCTCAGTCACCGACTCCTCGCAGTCTAGGCCGAAGATCTCCAACTCCTCCGCCAGCTGCTGGGCGGACACGGCCATGGCGACGCAGGAGGGGGGCGGGTCCACCCAGCTCTGACCCGAGTCCAACAAACCCACCGGCGTGGAGATTCTTGAGCAGGACAAGGTCCCTCTGATCCTTTTAGCGGCCCGGGGGACCGAGACCGAAGGTGGCCAAATAGCCCCAAACCTCAGGTGGCCAGAAGACCCCAGGTGTCAGTCACGGAGAAACACTTTTGTTTTTCTCTAGTGGTGGAAGCCGCCAGACGCCCGAAGGAATGGAGCAGAAATCTGGAGAAGTCGCTCTCCAGGAAACAACAGCCTACTTCCTAAAAGCTCCCGCTTCCTAAAAGCAAGAGGTTTGGTAGGTTCTCAGTGACCCGCACAGAACAGACGTGCCAGGGAAAACCCGCCAAAGGATTTGTGCAGCGTACGCATGCGCGAGACCGGGTTCAATTCCCCACCCCTTCCCCTTGCGGCCTGCTCCTAGTTCCCGGGCTCTGCGCGCGCACGTGCGTCCCAGGGCGCGTGCGCACAAACTCCTACGCGCCCGCTCTTGCTCCCGCGCTTTGTGGCGGGGGTGCCCTAGGACTGCTGCGCAGTTTTTCTCTCGCAGGCAGCGGGCTCCGGGCACTCAGGCCCGCGGGCCCCCGCATGTAATATCTCCGTGGCTGCCTCAAATGAGTATTTTCCAGGACCTGCCCGCTTGGCGAAGGTCCATGACGCACACTAGTCACTTAGTCCTGTGCCCTGCTGCGCAGGTGCTGTCGTATGCAGTCCCTCAGATGACCCATTCTGTGTCCTACCCCGGAGAGGAAGGCCTGTCTTCCCTTCTCTGTCCTCCTGTCATCTCCGCACTCGGTGTGCTCTCCTTCATCTTAAAGGGCGAATTCGTCAGGGAATCTCATTGCCATGATTACCGTCCTAGTTATCACCTTGGTCCCAGCCGCAGTGGTAGGTCTGTTTTCTGGACCTGTAGCATTTTTGGTGGAAAAGGAATGGAAAGGTGACAAATACCTTAGTTTTGGAAGTTAGGTTTTTTCGCCGTTGGGATTTCCAGGTAGAAGTACCCAATGAGCGACTGAAAGCTTGGGAGTGAAGATGGCTCACTAAGGGGGAGACAGTTGAGAGGTAAAATGAGAAGAGGGCCTTCCCCCAGAAATATCTCCAAATTCTTTGAGCAGAAATCTTTGGCTCAACTTAGATCAAACAACCTTAGGCATCACACTAAATAGGATAATAGACTTGTAGAGTCTATCTAAAAAACAGTTTGTCAATATAATCAGGAGCCTTGAAAATGTTAATTCTTGACTCAGTATTTCTTACCCTAAGCAAAGCAGCCAAAGCCCAAAGTTTTATGTACAAAGCTGTTCGTCGTGGCCATATTTACAATATGTTTTTAAAAGGAAACTGTCCGAACATCCAAAAGTAGGAGCTAATTGAGGACAGTATGGGGTTTTTACCAAAGCAGGGATTCTCCAGACTGTGCCAAAGAGGCTAACGTCTCTCAGGGGACAGCTCAGAGTATGAGACACCAGGCGAGGACCAGACAGAGCCAGAGCACGCTGTCCCGGCCTCAGTGGGGCAGTGTGGAGCTGGTTGGAGTCTGCATATCAACCACAGCAGGGATTTGGGGGGAGGTGTTGTGGAGAGGGAAAATCCCCTACGCACCCCTCACTCCTCTGCCTGGTGGGGACCAAGGGTGGAGGGTGGGAGTGGTCCACCTAGGTACAGGCAATAAAGGGTGTATTAGCTTTCCACTGCTGTGTAATAACATCACAAATTTTAAATGGGCGTTGGCTTAAAACAACACTCATTTACTCATTCACAGTTCTGTAGGTCAGAAGTCTGAGCACAGCATGTCTGGGTTCTCTCGGCAAGGCTGCAATCGGTGCTGCCAAACTGCTTTTCTTTCTAGGGGTTTCTGCTCCAGCCAGAGAAACTCTCTTTAAAGCGCTCATGCTGTGGGTCAGGTCCACTCAGATAAGTCCTTTTCTTAAGAATGATTAATTCTGTTATCTGTTTCTATTTTGTTTGTTAAGTTATTTTGTTCCTTAGATTCCACATTATAAGTGAGATCATATGGTATTCGACTAGCTTATTTCACATAATATAATAGAAGGCACTGCCTTACCATGAAAAGGCATTGACCCAATAAAGCCCAATAAAGAAAAACAAAACCCCAAAGGTGAAACAATGGTTGGATCTACTTTGAAATACATAATGCCTTCAATATGATAATAACTGAAGATAACGTATAGAAGAGGGGACGTTAAAAACTCATCTGCTCGAGTGTCAGATAGTGTGGGTATGTCACCAACCCTCTTCCCTCTTTCAATCCTTTTCTGAGTTACTTGCTGCCTGTGATGTCTGCAGATGGTGCTGTGCGCTGAGAGACTGGTTCTGATCTCCCGTACAAGGTCAATTGTTTGTCAAGACCCGCTCTGGGTGGTGGGATTATTTGTCGTGTATCGTACTCAGAACAGGAGAAGTCCCATTCCCCATTCTGTTACAAGTGTTGGGGATTTCCTCTTCTACAACTTGCACGTTTATGTCTTCTGATCTTGGTCTTTTCTTAGAAAACATCAGGAGCTCTTGGTAGATCACAGACCAGATACCAATTCAACTATTCCGCTGGCAAGTTAGGAATAATTTTAAATTTTTCACTGCCTAAAAAAATTAAAAGAATATGAAGCCCAAATTTCTGTATCCATAAAGTTTTATTGGAACATAGCCACGGCCGTTAATTTATAAGTGGTGTGTGGCTGGATCTGTGTTACGCAGGTTGTGTAGTTGCAACAGAGACGGTGAGGCCCTTGAACCTCAAGTACTTACTATCTACTATCTGGTCCTTTATAGAGAGTGTTTGCCGACCCCGCCCCAGGCAGTACCATTATCAGATGTGTTACACACGTATTTTCCCGACCTGCCCTTTAGCTTTGCAGTTTCTTCTACTAAAAGTTTATATTTTTTATGTCTATGTTTCCCTTTATGGCTTTTTGGTTTCCTGCTCTCTTAATAAGGTGTCCCCAACCTAAGCCTATGTAAATATTCTTCTGATTTTTCTTTTATCAATTTAATGGTTTTACATTTTAATTTAGATCTCTCCTCTACCTGGAATTAATTTTATTTGTAACATGAGGCAGGATTTAGTTTTGTTTTCTTCCAGACGAATAGCCAATATGTCAGTTACATTTAGTCAATAAAACATTTTCCAAGGGAACTGAACTGTGATCTTTTCATACATTAGGTCCTCATGAATAGTTGGATATTTTTTCTGGATTTTTTAATTATATTTTACTAACTTATTGGTTGCCTCTTCTGTGTCAGTATAACAATGGTTTGATTATAGCAGTATATGAACTAGGTTTTCTATCTCTGCCACACAGCCAGATCTCAGAATCACAGTGGCTGGGACAGAGCAGAAGTTTATTTCTCTGTCAGATAAATTAACTCCAGAACCGTGCAGCCCAAGGCCGATCGCATTCATCGGAGGCCGGGTCCTTCTGTCCTTCTGCCCCACTGTCCTCGCATTAGCCTTCAGGTCACCTTGGAGTCCAAAGTGGCTTCTGGAATTTCAGCCATCACATTCATATTTTGAGTAAGAACAAAGTGGGGTAAAAAAAGGCTTTTCCAAGCCTTTGTCCGTTCCTTCCCAATGACTTTGAGATTCGGTAAGTTGCCCCTGACAGGAATCAGTCTGGGCAAACTGCTTTCCTCCTGTTTAGGGCAGCTTCATGTTTAGCAATTAAGCAGAATCTCTGAGTGCAGTTGTGCAGGCTGTTCGCTGGGCGAGGAAGCTTGTCCGGACAGGTGGGGGTGGGTGCTGAGCTCGAGCCTTTGTCTGCTGGCCAACCTGTGCGGCCTGCCGTGAAGGTACATCTCCCGGGGTGTGGCGGGGGTGGAAGTCTTTCTAATTTGCACACAGGCCCCTTCCACCCACCAAGCTGGGTGCCCAGGGAGCTGCTGCTGCCTGGAATGGGGTACCTTTATCAAGTTCATTCAGGGGCCTGGATGAGTTAGGTGGCCCTGGATATGGTCAGCCCACTTGCATGTTTTAATAGAATTGAGCGCTCTCTGCTGTAGGTATTTAGGGAGAAAAGGGGACTTTTGGGGGGACTATTGTGTAGGAAAGGAAAAAGATGGAATGGCATTAATCACTCTTTCCCTCCCTTTCACAGCTCTGCTCTCCAGGTGGGTGATTCTTACCACCTGGATGCTCTTCCTTAAGCTGTGGTGTTAACTGTGCTTCCAGAGCCAGGGTAGCACTGAGCTGGCCCCCACCTGCCCCTGTTTTGGCTGTTTGTCTTGTCCTTACAGGGGACATCAAGGGAGCTGTCTGGGTCTTCATGGATCATGTGAACAATCCAGATGAACTCTGCTTCTCTCTCTAGCACTCACGGAAGGGCAAGCCAAGGTGACTCATGTTCACTGTGCTCCCCCTGGCTCCCCCGCCTGCCCCATTTATCAAGGAAGAGCTGTGCTTCTCTGGCCCCTCTCACTCAGGGCTAGTGGGCTGGGGAAGGGGGTAGGGTGGCAGAGGAGGGGTGCCATTCTCTTTTTGACACATTTCGCCCTAAGACTCAGCAGGAGGAGCACCATTAGCTCAAGTGCTTGAGCTTTCTTGGGCCAGGGGACCGGTAAGTTTATCAAATTCAAATGTTCTTCTGGCTAATTCTGGGAATGGTATGGGCTTAGTTAAGGTAAAGACTGACCTTTGTTAGGGAAAAAATACCAGCGTAGGACATGACTACCTGCATGAACTGCTTTTAGTTAGAAAGTCTTAATTTCAGACCATTCCACGGTTCACTTGAGGCCTCACCTTCCCTGAGCAGGTCAGGTTTCACATTCAGCCCCCTTCGGCCAGTTTCTACCTGTTTACATCATGTTGGGCAAAAGTTTGGGAAGAAAATAAACTGTCAATGTTATGGTAAAACAAAGTGACCGAACAGAAACCTTTGTCATGCGCCATCAGTTTCTCCCGACAGGGACGTATCTGCAACAAGCGAGCGCTCACCCCTTCAGTGCCCGAGCTCCAGGGCACCCCCACCCGGGTGGCCCTGCAACTCATGCTTGGCCCTCCCCACTGTCTCTCCCGTCTCTTCTCCTTGCCTGTACCTTCTCTCCGTCACAGATTAACACCTCCCTTGAAAAAGGTCTGACTTTATGCAGACAAGCCCAGTTTCCTAACTGGAGAGGCCCAGAGCAAAATGAAAATAGAGGGCTCCCAGTTCAAAATGATTAAGAATTTCAGGATGGCAGCAGAGCACCTGTGGGACCTTCTGGGCGTGGGGTCTGGTGCAGCTGCACAGGCTGCAGACCCAGGAAGCTGGCTGTGTTCACAGTCATTCTGGGCTAATGGCAGAGGGTCCCTTTGCATGAAGCCAGCACTGGGCCAGGACCACCTGAGCCGGCTGCCCTTCACTCGATGGATCCATATTAAAACTTCACCAAGTCCTGAGACCCACTGCCGGCCCAGGAGAGGGAGGGGTGTGCTAGGAAACTCCCTACCTGGGAAAGCGGGAGACTTGGCTGGGTTCTTTCTCCAGCTAGAGCGGGGTGTGGACTATGACGACTGACCTTGGGTTGCCCTTGAGTTCTTGCTGAACAGAGAAGTGGCCCTGGGACCTGCCAGCCGATGAAAGTCTGTCCTGAAGAGATAACAATGATAGCATTATTTAAACTGTGGTTTTGATGTTTTTTTTTTCTTTTTTGAATTTTGCATAGTCATCCTTACTTGCACAGAACTGCTCTAGAAACTCTATCTAAAAGTAGTAGGAAACCACCCCAAAAGTTGTATTTTTTCTGCATTACCTTATTTGTTAAAAGCAATCAGGACTCATTAGGAGAGGTGTCCCCCTGCAACTGGGCACTTCACACCCAGTGCCTCTTCAGCAGCTGGACTCTAAGCCCCCAGCAATGATGATCGCGTGTTCAGAGAGGAAGCTTCTAGAGCAGGGTGATGGGGGAGATGTTCTCGATCTGTGCTGCCCACACCGTACAGTAGCTGTTAGTTGAAGGTGGCTACTGGCCACTGGACTGTGGCTAGTGAAACTGAGGCCCTGACTTTTACATTTTACTTAATGTTACTCAATTTCAATCTCAGTAGCCACAGGTGGCTAATAGCAATCACATTGAATAGTACAGACTAAATCTAGATTCCAGATTCAGAACACTGTAACCCCAGACAACTTCAAAATACTTGTCAAAACCAAAATAATATTACAAAGTGGATTGAGCCCTGACTGGTGGGGCTCAGTGGGTTGGGTGTTGTCCCGCAAACCAAAGAGTCACAGGTTCGGTTCCCGGTCAGGGCACATGCCTGCATGGTGGGCCACGTGCCTAGTTGGAGGAGCGTGAGAGGCAACCACATATGGATGTTTCTCTTCCTCTCCTTCTCCCTCCCTTCCCCTCTGTCTAAAAATAAATAAATCTTTTTTTAAAAAAGTGAATTGAATAGTTGTTGGCAAGTGTCAGATTAAGACTCTTCATTGGGCCCTGACTGATGCATGCCATTGTGTGGTCACAGTTCCACAAAATGAAAGGTTGCCGGTTTGATTCCCGGTTACAGCACACGCCTAGATTGCGGGTTCATCCGGGTCAGGATGTGTGTGAGAGGCAGCCAATGTCTCCCTCTCACATCTATGTTTCCCTCCCTCTCTCTCTAAAAAAATGAGATAAAAATATCTTGTTTTAAAAGAGTCTTCATCGGTCAGTGGTGAGGCTGAGAGCCACCGTGCATGTCTGGGTGAAACGGGCCAGCTGTCCTAGAAGAAGAGCTGAAAGAGGTCAGTGGCCCCTGGCTCCACCCTGACCTCCCGGGTCTGGGGGTCTGGGGCGTTGCCTTCCTTCCGCCTCCCTCCCACCCCTGGTCCCCGTGAACAGCCCCTGCAGCAACCACGCCCCCTTCCCCATGTCTCACCCACGTCGCTTGCCCGGACTTGTGCTGGGGACTCAGCAGTTTCTTCCGTACACACCTTGCGCCATCCTAAAGCGTCTCCTGTTGCCTGCCTGAGGTGTGTCACCTCTAGTTTGTGATAACGCTCATCAATATCCATAATTACTCAAGTGGAGGGAGCAGAGTGGCTGCCAAAGGAGCAGCAGGTTAGGGTTCCCCACCCCCACTGTCTTTTTGCTACTTGCAGGTTCCCGTAGCCTGGCTGCCCGTGGGTAGGCCCCGGGCGGGGGGGCGGGGGGGGGGGGGGGGGGAGTAGCACCAGGTGGGTTACTGTGCGGTCTGCTCTCTGCCGACCAGTCTGGGACTCCACGCCTCCCCACCCCAATCCTCACAGTGGAAATTCTACTGAAGTGGGGGTACCCTTTGGGGGGAACTGCCGAATTGAGAGCCCCAGCTAGCAGTGCGTACTGCACTGGACACTGAGCTCTGGCCGTCCCATTGTCTCCTTCAGTTTCTCCTTTACAGGCCATCTTTCGGCGGCACCTGCTGTCTGGCAGCCCAGGTCTGATTGGTGTGTTGATTCACTGATGTGGCACGTGGGTCAATGTTGGGGGTTTGTGGGTCTTGTGACATCTTCCAGGCCACACCACCCATGGGACAGTGAGAATGTAGGGGCTGCTTCCACAGCCTGCACCTCCGTCACTAGCGGAGTGCTCCGTTCCGGGCACAGGAGTCGGCAGCAGAGGCCCGGGGCACCACCCGCCTTACCATTCGCCTTAGCTGATCTCTCCTGGCCCAGGCGATCACTGATACGTGGAGCCCCGGGCCCCTTGGCAGCCAACTCCCTGCAGACACAAGGCCCCCTGATAATGAGAGACTTAGAGGAACCTGGAAGACTGTCGTCAAAGGCTGGTCAGTGCCTTAGGATGTAAAGGTAAAGACGCCTGGACACCACCTGCCAGTTACCCGGGAGACGAGGACAAGGGACACCAGCCCGGTGGAGTCCTGTGTAGATGCTGCCGTCTGCGTAGCACCACCGGGCACCGGTCCTCATTAACAGTTCCTGGCCAGTCGTGTTTGCCAGGGACCAGGGTGGTCAAAGGCATGGTTTCACCCCAGGACTGCGACCTGTGACCTCAAAGTTATTTACACTTGTTGTGAGAAACTTCATGTCAGAATATTTGATATAAAAAATCAAGTTTGTCCCCATGCCGCGGTCTGGCCACAGCGGGTCAAGGGGTCCCACAGGTGAGGGTAGGCGTCGGCGCTGGGTAACAGATGACAACACGCCTCAAAGGACAGTGAAGCTCTGTTCCGTTTATTGCAAGTACAAGCAGATTTTTATATTTTCATTTCAGGTAGTGATTAACATTTGCAGTATAACATGATCATTTAAGCAGAAAAAATCAATACAAAGGTAATCAGTAAAAGTATGAAAGTTCTCATAGATTTAGTTATAATAAACAAAGATTATTTTAACCAGGAGAGCTATTAATCAGACAATTAGAAGTATCTTATTGTATGTTAAAGTTTCTCAGAATTTGTCATAGGGCAAAAGGATACGCTAGATTGAGTAGAGAAAATAGGAAATTTATTATAAGGCCCTTGTGATGTCTAACTTAGCTATCTACCTTTTTTTTGCCCAAAATGTTTTTCTGTGTACTATAGATTCTGACTCCCTAGTGACTGTTTAGTTTGTAATAACTAACTAGCTTTTGTTATTTCTTTGCCTGTCTAGTTGATATATATTCTTATTCAAGGTAAAGGAGGGGCTATTCCTATGTTGCAGGGGGGCTTTCAAGGGTACTTCTTTTAAGTTTCTCTAGGAGTTCTTTTATAGACATGTTTTATACTTTGATTCCCTCTAAGAAAGCAGTGAGATCATCTCATGATTTCCTAGAGTATTCTATCTTATCTTGGGTGTTTTTCCAATGATCTGTTATTGATTAAGCTTGAATTCTCAGATTGTTCTGGTTGTTTTTTTTTTTTTGTACCTATATTCCCTGACGTTTCTAGTATGATATCATTATTCTGTTCATTGAGCCGGGAAAGGTCTAGGCACCCTATCTGAATCACTGCCAGGGTATTCATAATGATTAAAGCAGAAAAGGTCATGATCCCCAAAGCAAGCACAATCACAATAGGTATTGCAGGGCCTTCCATGCCACGTCCACCAGGTTGGAAACTGCTTCCTTGAAGTCTTATACCCCCTCTCAGGACCTTGTCACGGAGAGAGGGATCCAACAGTGGACGTGGCAGTGGACGTGGCATCCCCATAAAAGTGTGTCTTTCCTTTGCACTGGGATGTCAGCTTACGCACCTCACGGTAACTCGCCCGACCTAGGACTTCAGTCGTTCTACTGAACCCCGTCTCCCGGGCTAGGCTGTGCCAGTTCTCTGGCTGGAGAGGAAAACTCCTTCTAGACAGCGGCCCTCGGCTCCCACTAAAGACGTCAGAATTCCAGGACTGGACCCCAGCCCTATATTTCTAAAAAGCTCACAGCTGATTCCACAATTGAGAATCAGTATTTTAAGTTTTCTTCAAAAATAAAAACAAAATGGTATTTCAGCCCTGACTGGTGTAGCTCAGTGAGTTAAGTGCGGGCTGTGAATCAGAGGGCTGCTGGTTCGATTCCCAGTCAGGGCACATGCCTGGGTTGCAGGCCAGGTTCCCAGAAGAGGGTGCGTGAGAGGCAACCACACATTGATGTTTCTCCCCCTCTCTTTCTCCCTCCCTTTCCCTCTCTCTAAAAATAAATAAATAAAATATCAAAACAAAATGAAATGGTGTTTCTAACAGATATATTTTTTAAATGCATCTAAAATCTTGTTACTTTATCCAGGTCTCCCATTCAGTTTTTCTGCCTCTTTCGTCAGTGTTCAAGAGTGACAGGCCACTTTTGTTCTTTAGCATCCGATTTCATTCGCTCCGGTAGTATGAACTTAGCACCTACTACGTGCAGGCCACAGGACAGGCAAAAATGACCTGCATGTAGCTGGATCCATTGCAACACAGTGGGGAGGGTGTGCAGAAGGCATCATGGGAGTCCAGAGGTGGACAGGGGAAGTCAGAGAGTGCTGCCTGGAAGAGGTGACTCCAAAAGTGAATCTTAAAATATGACCGGGTACCTCTGCCTTTCAAGTTTAGTGACCAGCGGAGGGCTGTGAGCTGAGAGCAATTCTAATAGGAAAGCTCATGTATCAGATCGTTGAAAGAGAGGCTACAGCGTGGGAAGGACCAAGCACTTGGTGCATCAAGGCGGGGGCCCTGGGACCACTTCGGGGGCAGTTTCACTTGAGCTCCGTGCCAAGGGCTGAGCTACTGAAAGACTAACCTTGACAAAAGGTTGCAGTGTTTCCTGCCCAGACTGTGATGTTCCTGCCTCTTTCCCACTCTGTGCTTTCGCTTGGACTGTAGGGGACAGAGCCTTTATCCCATTTGATTCTCAGGCAACTCTGGGAAGAAGGGATTAGACAAGGAAACTAGCCAAGGCCACCCAGTGGGCCAGGATTTGAATCCCTCATGAATCTAATCTGAATTCCTATGAAGGTCAAGGTCAGGGATGAAGACACAGGTTCAACACCTGGGCTGGAAACCGGCCTGAGGTCAGAGGAACACTGAGCCGTGCCAGGGATGCAATCCTCTGGGTTTCCTCTGCAAAGTGGGATGCCTAGGAATGCAATGATGGGCAGAGGTCTTGCTCCACTGCCAAGACTTCATCATTTACTCATCAACTATTTATTGAGCACATGCCATGTAAGGCCAACTGCCAGGGGCGACAGGGCTCTGGCGTGCGGACATCCTCCCTTGAGGAGGTATGTCACATACACACTGGAGAGCTTGCATCCTACAAGGCAGGAGAGAGTAACGCCTCATACAGGGAGCACAGTGAGCTCTGCAATTCCTCAGGGACAAGTTGGCGGCAGAACTGCCCCCCTCACCCTGCAAAGACACAGCATTCCACAGGTGGAACAAGAATGAGTGAGTGGAGAGGTTTTAAGGGGCAGAGTCAGGGGAGGGAGAGGAAAGCAGTCCCTCCTCTGGTCACGGGTGTGGCTTTCCTGACCTCTGTACATGTGAGACGCCGGTGGCCGCTGGTCTGGTATCTTCCAGCAGCCCCAACCTAGTTTGCGGGTGACTCTTCGACATGGGCTGGCAGAGCTGCCATGGTCCCTGGCCAACCTCGTCCCTGGGGCAGCACCAGCGGAAGCCTGGACACCGGCTGGGGTGCTGCCCGAGTGCCGGCACCTTAGATGGTTTCTTTGAGGGGAGAAGCTCCCAGCTGCTGAAGAGAAATTTCTTCCGCCTTCCTCCCTGTGTCCTTCTTGGAAAGGCCTTCTCTGGCTCTGCAGACATGAACGAGCAAATGAAAACATGGCATGGAAAGGTGCAAGGGAGGCGGCTAGGAGCAGGGGGTGCGTGTGTAATGTTCAAGCGTGTGTTTGCACCATGCACAAGTCCTGTCTCCACGGTGCCTTCTGCCCCATCCTTGCTCCATTCCTGAGGTCTCATGGTGGCAGAGGCTGGCCTGGCTGGTAAGAGCCAGACTTGGAAAAGCTGCAGGTCAGAGAGTTTTCCAAAGAGGACCTGAAGCCAGACACATACTCAAAGTCACCCAGTGGGGCCCAACTCAGTGTCGGCCAGGGCCACCAGCAGAGACCCAGGGGCTGGGCACTGCCAGGCCCCTCTCACCCTGGCCCAGGGTGGAGAAGCAGCCAGCCCACCTGGCAGGGAGGAGCAGAGGTCAAAGGCCAAAGTCAGGGGAAGAGCAAGACAAGGAAGTCCCCTGGAATAACCCTCCAAAGAGCCTGAGGGCTACTCCCCCATGGGGTCCAGTTTGGCCTTTTCCCTTTTAACCCGAAGTCTTTGTAATGACTGGTTCCTGTCTCCTTCAGCTATTTCATCCCGGCATCGCAGACTGCAGACTGAGAGCTCTTTGTTCTCCTGCTTAACAGTCTTCCTTTTCCTTATCTTCTTGTTTTAATCACGTACACATCTTGCCAATTTCTCTTCTCAACTTTTAGCTGGTTCCATTTTTAGAACTTTTTCAAAGTTCAAAACATTTTATCTGTGTTTCTTATCCTTACCTTTTAACTCTTCTATTTCTGGTCTTTTAGTTCAATGATTTAAACCGTGTGTGTGTGTGTGTGTGTGTGTGTGTGTGTGTGTGTGTGTGTGTGTGATGTTCTTCTTAACATCACCACAGAGAAACCATTCTATTGTCCCTGCCCTCTGAGGCCTTCCTGACTCTGCCCTTGGCTTCACTGGGCCTGTGTGTTTTACCTGCTGTGTGCCTGTGGGTGGGAGCTGAGAGGCAGGGCCTTGTTTCATCCCCATTCTGTTTAATAGAGTCCTCACCCCTTTCAAAGATGGCTCCTAAAGGCCCGGAGGTGGGCATTCCTCAGTTCTACTGCTGCAAATGGTTAGGCTTGCTCAACACCATTCCAAACTCATCAAACAAGCAAAGATGACGAGAGCTAGCCTGCCGAGTGACCTGAAATCCATGGACTTCTTTTTCAATGTCTGAAATATAATAACACTAGCACGAAAAATGTATTTGGGTCAGCCCGCCACTGGTGCCCACCGTGGGTGGGAGGGCAGCAGGAGGTCCCAGCTGGCCAGGGGCCTGGGCTTTGACCTTGGTGGAGAGCTGGGCCATTGAAAGGCTGAAAACCTGTCCCCTGACCCCTCAGCCCCTCAGACTGCCCTGCCAGTGGGAGGAGCTCCGTGGAAGGTCACGGGTTGGAGCCTTGAAACTTTCTCCAGGCCAGGCCACCTCTGCGCCAGGTCATTCCGCCATCTGGGCGGGCTTTCGGGAGCATTGCCTCCCCAGGTCCCTTCCCCAGCCTCTAGGCAAGAAGAGGAGCTGCCCTGTGTTCTTTCATTGTGTGCCTCTTCCCTCTAATTACCAAACAAAACAAAACAAACCCCTCCAATATGAATAATTTGGAATTCATTTTAAAAAATCTAAAGAAGCTAGGAAAAAACAAAGCATCACCCAAACTCCAGGGCAAGTACTGTCACCATTTAACGTATTTCTTTCCTTTTTTGAGTCTGTATTTCCTGACGTATAGGAAAATGGTATAGAAACTCTAATACACTGTTTAACAGTATATTGAAAACATTCCCCAGGTCGTTAACGACTTTCATCCACCTGTTTTATATTTTGCACAATAGACTCGGATATTTGGGAAGCTCGCTTTTTTCCTGGTATATTACACATGGTGATGAATTTTCTTGTAAATAAACTCTGACCACATAGAAGCTTATTCCCTTGGGGCAGGGTCCTGGAAATGCTATTGCTGCTTAAAAGAATGTGAAAATATTTATGACTCATGATCAGTGATTCCAAAGAAACTTCTAGAAAGGATATAGGAGTTTCCACTCCCGCTAACACATCTTCTGCATTGTCTATTACTATGTTTTGAAATCTTTCCTCATCTGATGTTTTAAAGTGACATCACTGATTTAATTTGCATTTCTTTGATTATGACTGACATGAATTCTTTTCCTCTGTCTACTTCCTAGTGGCATTTCCTCCTTTGCAAGTGTTTCATTCTTACAGAAAAGGATTTTTGAACTGGGTGAGTCAACTCTTCCTTTGCTGTGTGGCTGGAACATGCACAACCACGGGGTCCCTGGCGCTGACCCCAGGGCCACCCCAGACATTCAGGCCATTTTGAAGAAACAGTATCTGGTTTTGTGATTAATGAAGGATCTGGCAATTTACACAGACATACATTTTCTATAAAAAGATTTTTGTCGGTCTATGAAATTAATCTGGGGAAGCTGGATTACGGCCTCACCTCAGGAACCCGAGCTGCAGGTAGATTAGATAGAGCTCAACCCTTGCTGTCCTCCTGAGGGTGGGTAACTCGAAACTTTGAAAGGGGTCATTTTTCTCTCATCTTAATCCTTGACAGCCCGGGCCTGTGACTGGACTCCCAGTTATCTGATGGGATTAGAATTTAAGAAAAATGGGATTGGCGGAGGAGTTCTGGATTTCTCATTGTCCCAATATCTGAAACTCCATTTGACCGACTCCAGAATGAGGCTCCCTCTTGCCACCCTCCTCCCCTCCTCACCCTTTCCTGCAAAACCAGGCACGTCTTTTCTAGTGTCTGCCGTGAAGAAGTAGCCGCTTGAGCTGAAGCCGACCCTTCCTGTCCCACGCTTGGTTGGACAAGAGTGGTCGAGAAGAACCCCAGACAGGCTACGGAAGAAGCCTGTGGGCCAGGACACCCGGGAGTCACGCAGGGACACACTAAATGTGCACTGATTGTGAACCTCTCAGCAGCTCTAAAATCCTCGACTGCAAGGAGTTTTTACAGGCACAGTGGTGGAGCACGCATTCTCCACGGGGGTGATACTGCCCCCAAGGGGGAAAAAGCCGGTTCTTGGGGGGCAAAAATATCCGAGCTACTGCAGCGGTTAGGGCCTTCCAGAGGGCTACAGCACATTAAAAGATACGCAGCGTATCTGTGGTATTCAAATGTAATTGGGAGGGTGGAGTGTGATTAGTAAAAATACGTAACAGTCCCCTTGGAGGCGGGTGGGAGGGAGGTAACACAAAAAGGTGGAGAAACTCTGTTCCAGAGCAACTTTCCTAAATGTTCAGGCCCCATTTAGGCTGAGATTTAATAATGCCAAGGGACAGAAAGATTTTCTCAAAATACAGATTTAAAAACCTAATCTCCTCCTAGTCCTGCACTGGTTTCTCTGTTAACTGAAAACGAAAGCCTAAAATCTCAGCGTGGTCTCAGCTAAGCCCCAGTCGAGGGGGGAGTGGGTGTGGCGATGGCACAGTCCTCACTCGCCCAGGGACGCTGCCCCCCAGTTGTTTTGTGGGAACCACAGCCTATGTGGCCGCCCCACCCGGCTACGCCCAGAGGACCCTCACCTCCTCTCCATCACCTCAATGGTCTCCACCAGGGGTGTGTTGCGGGTCTCAGCCAGGAAGCAGACGGCCAGCCCAGCCAGGATCGAGGTGGCCCCGAAGGCCACAGGCGGCAGGATGGCGCTGAATTCCCCGACCACGGTGACCAGAGGCGCTGCCAGGCCCCCGAGGCGGGCGTTGACCGAGGTGAAGCCCATGCCCATCTGCCTGTCCGAGGAAGGTGGACAGGTCAGTGACAATGGCCCAGACTTACCAGAGAGCTGGGAGCGTGGGGACGGGGGGCAGAGGAGAGAGGGAACCTGCCTGGGCAAGTGTTCCCAGGAGAGCCAGGGAGGGGCCCCCAGTTCGGGGCAGGTGCTCCGCTGCCTCCCCCACAGACCCACCTGATCTCTGTGGGGTACAGCTCTCCCGTGAACAAGTACACGCAGATGAAGGAGCTGGCCAGGCAGCCTTTGCCCAGCGCTGCCTGTGCCGTGCGCAGCGCCTGCGTATCTGGGGGGAAGGACAGAGCTGTGGGAGGGACCGGCTCAGAGCCCAGAAGGGGGCCAGGGAGGCAGAGGGGGGTGGGGGGGGCTCAGGAAGAAATGGGGGAGAAAAGGGGGGAGGCTTAGGGGCCTGCGGTAGGCACAGTCATGGTGGTCGGGGGACCCGAACACGGAAGGGGAGAATCAGGATTCCCACCACCTCACGTTCCACCTGGGACCCAGAAGTGCCCACACAGCCCTTCACTGACCCCTGCGACCTCCTCCCGTATTTCTGTCTGTCACCAAGTCCAGCTGGGGAACCAGGACAAGCTTTGGAGTCAGGCCTGGGTTCAGATCCCAGCTCTGGCCCAGGTGGGTGACCTGGGTCACTGTTGCTTAACCTCTCTGAGCCTCGCTGTTCTCATCTGTAAAATGAGGACAATACCTGCCCCACTGGCTTGTCATGGGTCCACTCGATGCATGAGTGCAAAGTGTTCGGGGCTCACTAGAGGTTTGCATTCCTGCCATCCTTACTGGGCGGCTATGCTCTTGGTTACAAACAGTAGGAGCCCAGGGCCCACGTCCGCCATCGGGGCAGTGGTCAGGGACGTTACAGCACGTTCTTTGGTGCAGCACGTGTACTGACATGGAAAAGCATGTTTCTATAAACATGCAATGTGAAAAAGGATATATTACACATGTAAATACACACACGTATACACATATAATCCTTTTTATCTTATATTGTATATATACATGTGTATAATAGTATCTCAATTAAGTCAAATACAAAAATCAATAAATAAGGTAAAACACTGAAAGAAGTTTATCGAAACCCTGATAGTAAGAACCCCTCTGTTTCACAGGGAGGAGCTGACGCGCAGAGGAGTCAGAGGTGTTGCCCAGGCCGTGGCTGTCACAGCGAGCCCTCGGCTCGGCACACGCTCCGGGACTGCGGGCCCGGCCCTGGCTTCCCGCCGCACTCACTGGACAGTTTTTTATTTATGTTCTTTATTTAATATTTTATTTATCTTTAGAGGGGACGAGAAGGAGATAGGGACAGAAATATCAATGTATGGTTGCCTCTTATGCATCCCCTGCTGGGGACTGGCCTGCAACCCAGGCATGTGCCCTGACTGGGAATCGAACCGCAGTTGTTTTGTTCACAGGCCTGTGCTCAATCTACTGAGCTACACCAGCCAGGGCTGGACAGTTTTTTAAATCCTAAGGTTTAGGTCCCACTCCTGAGACCAACTGCACTGGCCGGGAGGAGCCCCTGGGCATGGCAATTTGCGAGGGTCTCCAAGTGGTGACAGTTACAGGCAGATTGCAAACCGCTGCTCCAGGGACCGTGGCTGAGGTTCAGACTTGAACGTCTCAGCCCTTGAGATGCTGCCTGGGCAGGTTCCAGGTGCACACACACCAGCCAGCCCTCTGGTTAGTTTTCTGCTTCGGTCTAATGTCCCTGACAAGATGGTAAAGGCTTTGAGGGTATTTACAACCATGACGCTGACCCTAGGAATCCAGTGCTTAATAAAAACCCTACTAATTGACAGCCACTCTCTTTCCAGGTCCAGGACACTGTCTCTCCGCCCCGCTCCCTTATTGGATTGGTTGCCCACCAGATCCTTGACCCCAGAGGCTCCCAGGTGGCAATGGCAGAAGCTGCTGGCTCACCTTCCGGCACAAACATGTTGGCAATCACCATGAGCCCGGCCAGGATGAGGAAGGAGGCCAGTGTGGCCCGACGGCCCACGTAGATCATGGTGGCAGTGGCCACCAGCATGGCTGGTATGTCTATGACCCCGAACAGGACCTGTACCAGGTAGACGCTGAACCCAAACTTCTGCAGGTCCATGGCCAGGCCATAGTATGCCATGGAGTTGGAGAACCTGGGGGAGGCAGTCCTGTGTTGGAAGGTCCTGCGTGTCCCACATTTCCAGTTCGCAGGGGGCATGGCCCCAAACTCAAATAAGAGAACAGACTCTCCACCTGAGCATTTCCCAGGGCCAGTTGTGGGTTTTCAGGTCAGATTTTAGTCCTCCCAAGGACCTTGGGGGCAGGCACGTAAGTAGAAAACGAGGCACAAGAGGCTGGCTGCCTCTCTCTGGGCCCCCGGGTAGTCTGGTCTACCCGAGCCCAGCTGGTTACCACTAAAGAGAGTGCCCAGGTCTGCTCCGAGCACAGAGAGTGGGCAGCCTGCATTCCTTGCTTCATAAATATCGACCTGTATTATAATTTCTATCCAGAACATCCTGTCAAGCAAATTGAAAGTCTTTTTAAAGCAGCCCCTTCCTCTAGCTGGACGCTAGGACTTGCTAGCTTCCAGCCTGCGCTAACAGGCAGGGGTTGCCTTTGCACGTTTATCCATTCCACACCCTCATGTCCATCTCTGTACCTGTTAGGAATTCCTTCCTGCTCGCCCTGCAAACTCTATTAACCGTCTTTTAAACCCTCCCAAATGCCACCCCCTGCGTGAAGCCCTCAGCAGCCCCAGTGAGGAGAACTGTTTTAGGACACTTGTTATACCTCATGGAAATTACTGTTCTCCTGTCTGCCCCCTTCTGGACCCACAAGTATTTCTCCAGAGTGGGACATGTCCCAGAATCCCCTGGGGCGCCCCAAGGGCATATCAGGATGAGACATGGTGCATTCTGAGACAAGCTGCCCAGATGATTCCAATAAGTGTCCCCACCCAGGTGAGACCCACTGCCCAGATGTGGGGTCCCCAGGTCAGCATGCGTGTCTCACCCATGACCACATCCCAGCACCCAGCAGAAGGCCAGAGGACCCTGGAGAAAAGGTGTGGTGCAGGATTGAATTCACAAGATTCATCTGCTCCTTGCATTGAGCTCATTGAAGAGTGAGTCAGTAAGGACAAGAGTTGTGTCTCTACCTCGGGTCAAAGTCCGGGGCACGAGCCCACCACCTACCAGACCACCATGAGACAGCACGTGACCTTGCGGATGGCCGGGGTTCGGAAGAGGTCCAAGACTGAGTTGGAGGTGCGGACGCTTGTCAACTCACTCTGGATGTAGGAGCTCACCACCTGGGCAACGAAGGCTTGGTCAGGGGAGGAGAGGGATCTGAGACGCTAGTTCCCTGCCAGGTGTCCCTTCACCCGTGGAGAGGAGGGCCAAGGTCGAAGTCCCTGGGAAGAAGACTGGTCCTCGTCTCCTCTCTGTCCTGGGGCTGATGGCCCTTAATAGGCTGTTTCCAGGGACTGGGAATGAGGCCAGGGCTTGCTCAAGTGTCCCAAGTCTCCCGAGCTGCCTCCCGATGAGGCTGAAATAGCCGCCTGCGGTTCCAGCGGGACCCTCACTCCCCACCCTTGGTAGAGGCCCTGAGACAGTCTTGGCCCATGGTCAAGAGCAGCGGTTCCAAGTGTTCCTGCCGCTTCCTGCTGTGTTGTGAGGCAGATTACCGGATCCCTCCAAACGTAGGTTTCCTCCTCAGCAAAAGTGACACATTAAATAAGATTGTTCCCAGCACGAGACTCGATAAATGGTACTTACTTCTAATAAATGGTAATGATCTTATCACAAATAGTATGTATTTGGTGCTTTGTTATTAATTCTTCATCAGTTTTATTTTGTGATCTTTATTTTAACATTTTTATTTTATTATCTTATTTAAATGTCGGCTGGCTGTCAGTGTGAATGGGGTTATTTCTCCATTGCAAAATGAATAGTCTGATGAACAAAGCAGCTGGAAGAGGCTGTTCACGCCCAGCCTCTTCGCCTGGATGGGCACCGAGTCCTAGGAAGCCACTAAATCCTGGCCCAACTCCAGGCCTCCAGAAAGACCGAAAACTGCTCCCGTTCTTCCTCCCACCCGTCCCGCCTACCTCCTGGGTCAGCCTGTCCCCTTCCTCCTTCCTGCCATTCATCACCGCCACCTTCCGCAGGTTCTGCATAGCCAGCTGGGACTTGCCGTGGAGGAGGAGCCAGCGGGATGACTCTGGCAGCCACCTGGGACCAAGAGAAGGATGAAGGGCGGAGTGGGACTCACTCCATTCCCCAAACCCAAACACGCCTTCACTCACCTCCTTTCAGACCCTAACAAAGGTGAAATGCCCTGTTCTCTGAAGAATCGGGAAGACTGGGGGACACGCTAGCTCCCCTTTATTTGCAACACATCAGACAAAAAAATTACTGAGGTACTTAGAGACAGCTTGGGACTTGGGACTTGGACAAATCCAGTTTCAAATCTGGATCTCACCCCGGTGCGTGACCTTGAATACATCACAGACCCTCCCTCGGCTGTGCCTCATGTCCCTCCTATGACATGTCGTGGGTGGTTTCGAGACACAGAGGGGCCGATAAAGGCAAAACCGCTCAGACTGCCCCGTAGCCCCACGCTAAGCTAAGAGGTTTTTCCGGAGCTTCCCCACGGCCATGCACACACTCGGAAGCCATGGCCCCACACGCACCGGCCTCCTTCATCTCGCACCCCCACTCCAAGCAAGTCCCAGTCACTGCTCTCCCCCGAGCCTCCCAGAGGGACAGGTCGGCCCCACGGGTGCACCCTCCCTCCGCCCACTCTGCTCAGGACTCACCAAGAATAGAGGGAAAAGATGAGGAACGGAACAGAGACGGCAAACTGCAGCCACCGCCAGGGGCGGATCAGGTAGGCCGCCCCGGCCAGGATGAGCTGGCCCAGGGTGAAGGAGAACCCCAGCAGGGCGCCCGCCGCGGTCCGGCCCCGGGTGGGCATCCACTCCACCACTGCGGGGAAAGCACAGCGGGCTCGGTGGACTCCTCACTCGTGAGGGTGTTCAGTTCACCCAACCCTCTGCAGTGACGGGTCTCTCGAAGTCACCTCAGGGGCCCGCTGAGACACAGGCATCCTGACCCCACTCCTTACACTCAGTGAAATTCCAGGTGGACCAGGGACGCAGATGTGAACAGCAAAAAACCACAAACGTACTAGAAGAAATCATGATAGATCTCTTCTTCTTCTTCTTCTTTTAAAGATTATTGATTTATTTTTAGACAGAGGGGAAGGGAGAGAGAGAGGAATAAAAACATCCACGTGTGGTTACCTATTGCATGCTCCCCACTGAGGACCTGGCCTGCAACCCGGGCATGTTCCCTGACTGGGAACCGAACCAGCAACCCTTTGGAACCAGCAACCAACAGGCCAGCACTCAATCTACTGAGCCACACCAGCCAGGGCAGGTTTGTTTTTTTTTTCAATCTTAGAGTCAGGAAAGGCTTTTCTGAGAATGTCACACAACCCAGAAGCAATAAAGGAAAAAATCAATAAACTTAACTTCATAAAAATAAGAAGTGTCTGGCTTAAAAAAACAAAAAGGGGGGAAAAACCCAACCCACTCTAAGCAAAGTCTTAACGCCAGCAAAAAAACAGAAAGAAAAGACTGTGACTCAGCAGATAAAGGGGGAACTTTGCTAACCTTGGAAAATTTCTCACGAATCAATAGGAAAATAAGCAACAAGCCGAACATACAAAAAACAGGCAAAGGATATGAAGAGTCTGGTAGGAAAGGAAATATACTGGTTCTTTTTTTTTTTTTTTATACTGGTTCTTAATGACACAATTTTTTTTCGGCGAAGAGCAAAACCCAGAGACAACCTAAAGTGCACGGGGGGGGGGGGGGGACTGGTAGGGAAATCATGATGTACTCTCACAAGGCGGCCCTGAAAAATCCACGCGGACGCCTCTTTCCGAGAGCAGCCAGCTCCTGTGTTCAGTCCATGAGCAAATCCCGCACAACCGAGCCAGAATCTGAGTCCTTCCCGTCTTCTGTGCCGCTGTACCCCGACCGACCGAGCCAGCCTGGCCTCTCACTGGGTGACCACAGAAGCCTTCCTGTCTCTGTCCTTCGGCCGCATGCCGAAGCCCCAGGGCTCCGATAAATGCTAACTGGGACCAGTCAGGTCTCGGCTCCCCCCAGGACCCTCCCGAGGCTGCTCCCGTCTCAGAGGAAAAGCCAGAGTCCTCAAATGGCCACAAGACCTAAGGGTCTGCCCCTCCGTGTTCCTGACCTCATTGGTTCCCCACCCCCCTGGCTGTGCCCCAGCCACACGGACACCCCGGGGCACACTCTCCCTCAGGGCATTTGCCTGGAATGTTCTTTCCCTGGAACTGCAGGGTGTGCTTCCTTACCTCCTTCAAGCTCTGCCGGAAGTGACCCCATTTCCCCGATCATTCCAATGAAAACCGCGGACTCCCCTCCACCCTGGGCAACCTCATTCCCTTTCCCACCTTTAGTTTCCTCTGTGGCACCTACCACCTTCTAACACACTGAGCGACTCGAGTTTTTGTGTTGTTCGTTACCTGTCTCCCTGCATGAGAATGCCCGCCCTACGGGGGTGGGGTCTGCCTTGTTCACAGCTGCATCTCAGCGCTTAGACCCGCACCTGGCACCTGGTAGCAGTGTGGGTGCATGAGCGCGTGTGCACGTGTGTGTAGTTGTATGTGTGATACACAGGTGACTCTAGAATGAGAGGGACCTTAGACACGTGTTCCTGCCTTCAGATTCCAAGAGCCATGGCTGGACACCCACCCGAAAGAATAAGGCAGATGGGCCGTGATTTGCTGACATCTTGCCGTGAGCACGGCACCCGTCGATGTCCTAATGTGGGAAGGGGGTGCGTCTGGTGCAGCCTGGTTATCCAGGCCCTGGGATTCCCCCCACCCCCAAAATGAAAGGCCCAGTCCACTTTTGGCAGTAGTTTCCGAATCCCTCAGACCCTCCCGGAGGCCTGGTGGTGTCCCCAGGCGGTGACAGAAGTAGAGGGCAGTGCAGGCAGGTGGCAGGCCTGCGTCCAGGGCAGGCTTCCTACTGCCCCACCATACTCTCCGTCAGGGCCACTGGGGAGCTGCCTGGAATGAGCCTGGAGTGAGGACTGACCCTGTCACTTTGAGGGGTGGGCACATACTCACCTGGCGCCCAGGAGGCCAGGTCTCTGCCATGGCACTAAGGGGTCACCACCTCTGCAGTGCGGTGAACCCTGCCCTTTCTGGATCACATCACCTCAGGGCTGCCTGCAGCCCTGGGCAGTGCTGTGTCTCACCTCACTTCTGTGCGCCCAGACTGGGAGCCTGGCACACAGTAGGTGCTTAGTTAGTCATTGTTGACTAACACACTCGGGAAGTAAATCCAACCTTCTCAGCTAACTGATGGCAGACACAATCCGAGGCCCGAGGCTCACTGCTGGCAGGGCCGCTGCTGAGAGCCCAGGGCGCTCAGAGTCAAGGGCACTGCCTGAGAATCCCACACAGCGAAACAGGTCAAGTGTCTGATGACGGGGCTGCCGTGCGCCTTCTGGGAGCCTTCCCCTGCCCCGGCCCGCCCCACCCCTCCTCCACGGACTCACCCAGAGAGAAGGAGTTGAGGATGATGCCAGAGAAGGTCATGCCCGTCAGGAACCGGAAGACACAGTAGGCAGTGAAGGAACTGAAGTGCGCCGTGGCGGCCCCCGAAACGGCCAGCTGCAGGTACGACCACACCAGGGGGGCCTTGCGGCCCAGCCTGAGCCTGGCCATGGGCACCGCGTTAGGGGGTTGTCGAGGGGGGGTGAGAGGGAGCGCCCCCGCCCCACTGCCACCGGAGCCGCCCCTCCATAAGAAAACCGCTCATCTGCCGGGACCGGGCACTGGTGGAGCAGGTTGGGCCGGCAGGGAGGAGCGTGGTGTGGAAAATATCAAAGATGAAGAGGTGTATTCTCTTTTATTTCTTCACTCGAGTAGTATTTCTGGCCTTCCTATCAAGCCATCACATTCCAGGGTCAGGGATAGAGAGGGATTCTGCAAAGGCTGGGAGGCGGGGGCGGCAGGTGGCAACTTTCTGGCTGGAGAGAGGCCTCAAACCAGAACTCCCAGGCTGGGGCAGGGACTTGTCACACCACAGAGGGCTCCCAGGCCAAGCAGCAGCGTCACCCCACTGCGGCTGTAGCACCGCCCCATTTGTGAGTGAGGGTGCAGGAGGGCAGCTGTATTTCTTCTGCACACACCCCGTGATACACCAATGCATTCGTTAGCTCACTCATTGTGTTATATGAAAGTTCACCCATCACCTCTAAGTGACAGGCCTCCACTGGGGCCTGAGGACATGCAGGACACTATGGAATATGCAGGACCCATGGACATGAACAAAGGTGTGGGGATTGCCTGAGGGAGTGGGGGGTGCTGGGTGGAGGGGGAACAATTGGGACAACTATAATAGCATAATCAATAAAATACAATTAAAAAAAGACGCTGTGGATGAATAAGATACACAAGGTCATACCCGGAAAGACCGGGATATGGCGTGCTGCAGTGCCACAGGGCTGTGACAGAGCTCCCTCTAGGGACCTGCCAGCAGCACCCTCCAGGGTGTGGGGTCCAGCGTCCAGGAAGACCCCCCAGAACCTGAACTGGGAACTGTGAGAGGGGCATCGGAGGGGAGAGAAGAGAGAAAAGGGGGAGAGAGACGGGAAGGAAGGAGCAAGAAGCCCAGAAGAGGAGGCGTGGGAACCAACTGGTAGAATCCCTGACGGCGCTGTGCTTTCTGGGCCTCTCTCTAAAGGGGGTGCTGTCTGTCGCTGGGGGCCTGTAGTTAGCTCGACTCATTCCCTGCAGTGGGGCGCAGCACAGACAGCAGGGAGGCTGGGGAGCGCTTTCTGAAGGCATACACAGAGGCCTTGAGGGGAGGAGAGAGCCGGGTGCAGAGCCGCCTGGGGGTATGCCGGCGTGTGAGGAGAAAGGGGGCCGCAGCATCGACCTACGTTTGCTTGGGTTGCATAAAGTGTCTCCGGTAAGGTCCACAGAAACCAGGCTGCCCTTCCCAAAGTTACTGGGGGCGGGCGAGTGGGCAGCAGCGAGGGAGGAATTTTCCCCTACAAACTCTCGTATCTTCTGGAATTTTGAATAATGCTGAATGTATTATCTGTATTATCAATCTACAAATACACAAATAAACATGCAAGGCTCCGGTAGCTCGCCATGATCGTATAGTGGTTAGCACTGTGTTGTGGCCGCAGCAAGAAAAATTGCCCTGAATGGTGTGGTTCAGTGGACTGAACACTAGCTTGCGGATGGAGAGGTCACCGGTTTAGTTCCAAGTCAGGGCACTCGCCTGGGTTTCAGGCAGGTCCTCGTTGGGGGCATTTGAGAGGCAACCAATCTGTGTTTCTCTCCAGCACTGATGTTCCTTTCTCTCATTCCCTTTCCCTCTCTCTATAAATAAATAAACTATTTTTCAAAAAAAAGGAAAGAAAACAGAAATGAACCAAGAGGCCGGGGGCCTTCCAGCCTCTGGAAGGTGCTGGCTCACCTGTCCGCAAGGCTCCCGAACACGGCGGCACCCAGCAGCACCCCGGCCATGTAGATGGTCTGAGCCAGGTCACGGAGGGCGCGGGCCTCACACACCAGATCCCACTGCAGGGGGAGAAAGAGAGGCAGGCTCCAGCCTCGGCCCCAGGCAGCAGCCCCCCACACCACCCCGACCCCCCCACCACCTCCGTCACGATGGTGGATGGGAAAACGCTGCGGTCGTAGACCCAGCCGTCCTTGCAGCTCTCCGTGGCCTCCCCACTGATCGAGGTATTGGGGTTCAGGAGGGCCCACTGAGGCTGCGTGAAGCGCCTGCACGGCTCGGGGACCCCAAACTGGTCCAAGGGTACGGTGGCCCTAAGCCAGGCCCCAGAGTTGTTGGCGGCGGCTGCAGCAGGTTTGGCGGGGCCCCGGCAGTGGTGGCGGGGCACGGCGGCCGTGAAGTTCTGCAGGAAGTTGTGGCAGGCCAGCAGGCTGCAGGGCAGCAGTAGCAGGGCTGTGTAGACGAGTTGGAAGCGGCCCACGCCGCCCAGCACGTCCAGCAGGTCTGTGAAGGCCATGCCTCAGGCCTGACCCGAGGCCCAGCCCGCGGGGCCCTTATGTAAAGGGGCTGGGGCTGGGCCCTGGGAGGTGGAAGAACAGGCCCAGGGTTAGGGCCACAGATGCCCTGGCTCTGGCAGGGCAGACGGGTCCGGTTACACCTCACAGGAGGCCTCGGGTGTCCCCATGTTCTGAAGGGCTCCCCCTCCCTCCAGACCCTTTCTCCCCAATTTCCTCACTCTCACCTCCTGTGAGCATCTCACAGTCCACTGCCCAAATCTGTAGTTGCCCCCCACCTCCCCGGCCCCCATCCCCCCACCCCCATGCTGCCCTCCCAGCTGTGGGGGGAGGGATCCCTGCTGTAAATGCTCCGTCCCCTTGCCTTTGAATGAATGGGTTTTTTTGGGGGGGTAGGGCCGCCCCCAGATCATCCAGCCCCGTGCTGTTCCAACCCTCTCATCACACAAAACCCAAAACAGAGGACTCAGAGGACGGGACCAGCACTTACCCGCCGGCCCCGGCTCCTCCACCTGGCCTGCTCACAGCCAGCTCAGGCTCCCAGGGCGCTGTGAGCCAAACCCCTTACTGATGGGGACGCCTGCGCCTCGCAGGATCTGTCCCAGGGACCACCACAGGCAAGATGCAGACTCAGGATGACCCGCTCTGGGCCCTGTGCCGCCTTTGGTGGGCAGAGTTGAGGCAGGCTGGCGTTCGGGGCTCCCCCTGGGGCCCCACCCCCCACCCCTGGGCTCCATTGGCCTTTGACCTACACAGCCTGCCCCTTGTGGTTTCCTCTTCACCCCCCTGCACCCCGACTCCTGCTCTACCCCCACCTCAACCCACTCTTATCTGTGGTAAGAAAAGCCCTGATCCCAGAGGGGCGGGAGCCACTTACATAAGCTGCAGGTGTCTGGGTCACAGGGGCCCCACCCCCGGGTCCCCAAAGAGGACCCGAAGGAGGCTCTGCGCTCTGGGGGGCTGCCTGGGGGGTCAGGGTTGTGCTAACTGGGGGTTTTGGTTTCAGCCAGAGCCTCACAGGCGGGAGCGCTCAGGGAAGGGAAGGGTCAGGCCCCCGGGACGGCCGGGAGGGGGTGCAGGCCCAGCCGGGTCACACCGCCAGGGTCCCAGGTGGTCCTGCAGGACAAGGCAGCAGTTTGGGGCAGAAACACACTCCAGAGACAAGAGAAGATGTGGGGCCTTTTTCCTTTATTATTTGGGGTTTCTCTGCATGGAAACATGAGTCCCCCCACCCTACACCCAGGTGCCTGTGGCACCCCATAAGTCGTACACCAGTCCCTGAAGTCCCCTTTAACATCACCAATATAAAAAAGGAGGGAGGGGCGGAGGGGGGGCCTGACCATCCCTGGGCCGGGCGGGCGGCTCCTGGGCAGCAGACAGGGTTGGGGGCCAGGCCGTGGGGCAGAGGGGGCATTGGCTTCTGCACAGGAAGGGACAGGCGTTCACAGCCCCGGGAAGGCAGCCCGGCCCTGGCTGGGAGGCGGCTCTGCACACCTCGGTACAGACTGTGCAGAGCTAGTGGTTACGGTTTGAAGTCTGCAGGCGAGGCCAGGTGAGTGGTCTCATCAGGATGCTGGGAGGCCGGGCTGTCAGCTCTCCCAGGAACCTGTCTTGAGGCAGGAACAAGCGAAAGCTGCCCTTCTGGTTTGGTGACGAGAGGGGCTGGGGAAGTTCATCTGGGCCCATGGTCTTTAGTGCAGGGCGGGCCACACGGCTCTGCCCAGAGCAGATGAGCCGCGGTGCAGGGAGCTCAAGGGACAGGAGGCCACCTCCGCTCCGAGGAAGGCACTTGCAGCCGGCGTGGCCCGATGCGGTGCGGTGAGGGGCGTGGCGTGGCAGACGACCGAGGGACGAGGAACGCAGCGGGGGGCTAACTGTTGTCTCATGCGAACATAGTCAGCTGCAACCACTGCCGGGCGGAGGAGAGCGGAGGGCAGGTCAGCCGGGCTGGACCCCAGGGCCTGTCCCCCAGCCCCATGGCTCAGGGGCCACCATCGCATCAGCCCCTCTGAGGCAGGTCAGAGAGGCACCCTCTCGGCGGGGATGGGGGCGTGCTCTCTTACCTCCTCTACCCCCGGGAGACCAAGCTGCTGGCTCCTGCAGAGGTCCCCCAGGGGCCTGGCTCTCCCTCCCTGCTCTCTTCCCAGGACCCAGACACCCCACCCCACCCTTCCCTGGCCTTTAGGGCTGGCTCTGAGGCCACAGGCTCCAGCCCCAGGAGGGGGCGCACGCCACCACCCGAGCACCTTCCCCGACCCGGCCAAGGGAGCTTCCCACCTTAAACAAGTCAAAGGTCACAACTCCATCCAGGTCTGTGTCCAAAGTTTTGAAAAACCCTGTGTATTGAAGAAAAGATTACGTGAGGCTGAGAATTCTGGGAGGTGTTCCCACAAGCCTCCCCTCCTATTTCGTCCCCCACTTCCCCACAGCACCCCGAGTTCTCTCACCGGCCACAGCCACGAGAGGCTCTTCCTGCTGCCTGAGAGCACCCCCACCCCATAGGTCTCCTGGCACTCGGGGGCCCAACCCCCGAGACCTCCCCCCTCCCTGGTACACGCCACACAGGGTTTACATTGGGAGTGGGAGCTGAATAGGGATACTCACGGAACATGGTCTCCAGCCGCACCAGGCAGCACACAAAGTTGTCAAAGTCCACGGCCAGGTCAGGCTCCGAGTAGCGGGTGATAATGAGTTCGTACAGCTTCTTGTTGAGTTTGAAGCCTGGCCCAGGAGAGCAGGTGAGAATCAGGGAGGCCTAGCCCAGCCCAAGGGGACAGGGAGGGACCTCGGGGCTGCAAGGGTGAGCCCTGGGTCTCTCTCACTGAAGGCTATGGCGCTCTCCACCCACAACCCCCATCTGCGTGGCCTCAGGCCAGTCACTTCCCCGCTCTGTGTCCCACTTTTTGTGCACAACGGGGACAATAAAAGCCCCTGTCTTCAGTAGCTGCAGTGGAGACTAAAGTAAATGCTGCTAAAATACTTAGCTCAGAAACCGTGGGGAAAAAGGGAGAAGATGGATGTCCCCACAGCCCCGCCATCGTCATTGTCACCCCAGGGACAAGGGCCAGTTGTCAGGGAAGCAGCCTAGGGCGTGGGGCTCCACAGGTACCTGCTGCCCTCAAGCCTCACCTGCAGACTCGATGGCCATCCGCATCTCGTAGGCACTCATGCTGCCCGACTTGTCCAAGTCGAACTTCCGGAAGATGGACTGGGGTGGGGAGCACAGGGTGAGGGCCAGGCCGAGACAGCCAGCCCTCCCCTCTGCCCCAGGGTGGAGGGTTGTTCAGAGTGGAGGGAAAGGCCTAACAGGAGTGTCAGTTGCTAGGGTGTGTGGGCTCCAGGGAAGCCACCCCAGGGCGGATGGCCCGGTCCACGCAGCCCACGGCCCGACCTGGCCCTGCTGTGACTAAGGCCACAGAGGCGGCGACGGGGCTGCCAGCAGGTCCACCTACTAGGTAATTCCGGATGCGGTTCCACAGGATATTGAACTCCACTAGGCCCAGCTTCCCGTTGCCATCCCGCTGGGCAGCCATTAAGAAAAAAATTCCACAGCTTAAACCAGGCGTGGGGAGTGAGCAGGCAACTCGGGAGAAGGGGCGCCTGGCCAGGGAGAGTGCCAGATGAGGGGAGACGCGGCAAGACCTGAGATTCTGGGTAGGCTGGGCACATGTGCAGAAAGTCCGCCCCGCTCTGCCGCTCACTGGACACAAGCCCCGGGGCTCAGTTCCCACTCTCAATCAAGGGCACGCTGCCCAGGAAGGCACCGGTCCATCCCCACTCCATAGTCCCTTTCTCCGCGCTGTTCCTGGGACAAGTCACCCCACGCCCTTCCCACGCCTACCCCACCCCAACCCCAAGCCCCACGGCAGGATACGTCCATGAGGTTCACCATGCTGCGGCAGGACTCCAGGCTGAAGCCCTTGGTCCGCAGGTCTTTGTCTGCAAGAAAAAGCAGTTCCAGAGACACCTCAAAAAATTAAAACCAGATGTGCCTTTTGAGCCAGTGATCCTACTTCTGGGAATATAACTGAAGGAACCCAAAACACTAATTCAGAAGAACCCTATGCTCCCTATGCCCATTGCAGCGTTGTTTACAATCGCCAAGACACAGAAGCAGCCCAAGTGTCCATCAATAGATAAGTGGAAAAAACAACTATGGGACATTTACACAGTGGAATTCTACTCGGCCGTAAAAAAAGAAGAAAATTTTACCCTTTTTGACAGTATGGATGGACTTGGAGAACATTATGCTAAGTGAAATAAGCCAGTCAGAGAAAGACAAATACCATATGACTTCAGTCATGTGTGGAATCTAATGAACAAACTGAACTAACAAGCAAAATAGGGACAGACTCATTGACGGAGAGCAGACGACAGCTAGTGGAGGGTTGGGGGGGGATTGAGCAAAAGGGGAAAAGGACTCGTGGACGTGGACGACAGTGTGGTGAGTGCTGGGGGAGAGGGTGGAAGGGGACTAAATGGTAATGAAAAAGTAATAATAAAGAGTATACATTAAAGAAAAAAACCCACACTTCCGGCACCCCAGCCCAGTGAGCTTCCTGGGCCTGCCGCAGGGCGGGGGCACTGCTGGGACAGGGTCAGGGAGGCAACATTCCTGCGGCCCCTGGCGTGTACAATCTAGCAGAGTAAGTGTGCAGCGGTGCTTTTTATATTATCAGAAATATCAGTTTGAAATCTTTCAGCCATCAAGCCAGTGTCCTTATGGCCACACCAACACCACGATCAGACCAGAGTAAAGTGAAACAGGTGCGAAGCAGAAGTGACAGACGTGCAGCCGAAACACACAGTGAACATGGCCTCAGCTGGGGTGGGTCTGCTGCAGCCTCCAGGGTGAGAAGAGAGAGGGGTTGCGGGTAGGGAAGAGCATGAATGGAGGCTGGAGGCCAGAGGGCAGGTTGGGAGCAAGGGGAAGGTTGGGGGCGGCTGCCTTCAGTTGTGCACATCGGAGAGTGGCCCTGGGCCCATCTCTGGGAGTGGGGGTCCTGCAAGCTGGCTCTAAGGTGCTGTCAGCAGCTGAGCTTCTGATCGCACCAGGACACTGCACTCAGGCGCAGACAACGGGTCTGGCACGACGGCGGAGGAGTGTGGGAGGAAAGCAGGGATGAGCAGGGCTCAGGAAGGCAGTGCAGGGCTTCCCCGCCCATGCAGACCACGGGGTCGGGTTCAGTCAGTGTGGGAGCAGAAACCTAGACTGTGCGGTCCGGAGGAAACGGGGCTCAGGGTGGCAGGACACAGCGTGGAGAGCAGACCCTCCAGACACTCACGTTTTTTGATGATCCTGTTGAGGATGGTCTGCAGCTCCTTGACGCTGATCTCCAAGTCCTGCGGGAGAAGGGAGGATGGCACCCACCCTGGGGAGAGGCTGCCCCTCGGTGTCCCCGGAGGCCCCATTCCACCGCGCCCCCACCTACCTCCCCTGCCAGCTGTCTGAAGAGGGTCTTGAAGCTCTCATCAATCTCCTCTTCCGAGAGCACTTGCTGGACAAAGAAGGGGGGCCGGTCAGGGATGCCCCAACCCAGCCACTACGTGAGCAGCAGCTAGAGGCAGGGCTGGGACCACTCATTAGCTGCGTGTCACTCCACCTCTCCCAGCCTCACCCTTCTCATCTGCAGAGTGAGAATCTAGCCCCCACTCCACCCCTGCCCAGGACTCTCGTGGCTTAAAGGAGGAGGCAGCAGTTTACTCAGTGACGGGTGAGTTTTGGCTCCCTGATGTGCTACCCTGGGCAAATTCCTTAACCTCTCTGGACCTGAGTTCCCCACTGAAAGGGGAGACACTGACAGCACCCTGACAAGTGTCATGGAGGAAACAGGGAGACCTGGGGAAAGGTCTCAGCGGAGATGCAGCCGAGAATGAGAGCACGTGGACCCGGGGAGCTCTGCAGACGGCGAGGTGCCGGGCCAGCGAGGGCTCGGCATTATGGTTGTGGCTCCTGCCAGAAGGGGCTCTGCCCCGCCAGTCGGGGCCCCGGGCACAGGGCCCCAGCTCCCCTCACACACTGGGGGCGGGGAGGGGAAAGGCCTGGTGGGGCCAGGGCACGTACCTCATCAGGAAGGTTGGCCTGGACCTGGTCGTCCAGCTCCCTGTAGAGGGTGGGGAGAAAGGGGGGCCAGTCAGCAGGGAGTAGGGGGGCCTTGGGGAGCGGGATGCAGGACGGGGCCCATGACTCACTCGGTCCCGGCGCTCTTCTCCGAGAAGAAGCGCAGCACAAAGTCACCCTCCTTGTTGGGCTCGAAGGTGGAGGGCACCACCACGTACTCCCCAGGAGGCAGACGGAAGCGGGTGCTGACCTCCCGCAGGTTGATGAATTGCTCTGATCGGGCCCGAGACGCGTTGGCCAGGAAGAAGTCACGCTTCAGGTGCACGGCTGGCTGGCCCGCCAGCTGGTGGATGGGAAGGAGGGAGTGGGGGCTGCAGCTGCCTGCTCAGCCCACCCTGAGGAGCTGCCCCCAAACCCAGAGGCCAGGCTCCAAGACCTGGGCAAGGGGCTGGAGAGCTGCATCGTGGCTCAGTCCCCCACGGGCTGCGTGACCCTGACACGTCATTTTGTCTGTTCCCTTATCTGCAAAATGGGGGCAATAACCCTGCCTGCCAAACGGGTGGAGGTGAATGTAGATACTATAACCTCGTGTTAACAATTCTCCTTATTGCTACTCAGGGCTTCCTCCACGTCAGACACCGCGGGGCAGTTCACACGTGGCACCTCACTGAGCACTCACGGCGGCCCTGTGAAGGTGCCCTTAAGCCCATTTCACAGACACTGACATCGAGGCTTAAAGTTTAAGGATGCAGAATGACTGGCCATCCACCGCCCTGCTCCTAACCAGTGCCCCAGAAGGTCTCAGGCAACACTGGTTACACAGTATAAACAAAAGACAGGAAGAGCGTGGGGTGTGGGCGGGGCCCTGCAGGTCCGGGTGCGAATCCAGCTCCCTCGCTTGTTACTGCTCTGCCCCCCAGTAGAGCACTTTGTTCTGCCCCCTGAATAGCAGGCATTTGTGAGCAGTGAAACGTGGTGACTTCCTAGTTCTCTCTGTGTGGGGCCTGCCCCCCTCCTGCCCCGCTCTGAGCACCGTCGGACATGGGTGTGCAGGGGTGAGTAAATCCAGTGAGTCACGGGCCACACCTACCTCCGGGGGGACCTACAAGAGAGACAGGAAAGTTAGAGAAGTCATTGGCCCAGGGCCAGAGGGTTCAGTCCATATTGGGGAGGGGCCCTGAGTTCTTAAAATGGGAATGACAAGACCAGGAGGCAGGGCCCTGGGCCTAGGGCTGGCAGTGACCCAGACCTGTCTTCATACCACAGAGAGACACCTGGAACCCAGGGGTGAGGGGGTAGGCAAGATCCTCTTTGTCCGTGAAATGTCCCTGGACCTCAGTTCTGAGTCAGAGCCCCCAGGACAGCCCCCAGGGTGGCCAACAGCAATGTCCTACAGCCCAGGGACAGCAGAGGTCCATCTGCCGCCAGGGGCTCTGGGCCCAGGCCGAGGCTGTGGCCACCCTTTACCCCCACCAGGGAGGTCCAGGAGTTTCTGTCTGTCTGGAACACAGTGCAGGTATATCATACACCCCCACACCAACCTCTCCTTACACACTTCCAAGACAGGGAGCTCACTACTCCTCCAGGGCAACCCACTTGCCCACTTCTTTCTGAAGCTGAGCAAAGGTCTGGCCCCCAGAAGCTGCCTTCCAGGCGTCAGCCAACTCAGATCCCCCTTCCCACCAGTGGCCTTCTGGCCTGTGGAATGGGAATGAACCCCAGAATCTCCCCCTCCCCTAGCCAAACATCTTCCTCCCCTTTCCATCTGCCTCACAAGATGAGTTTTAGGCCCCTGCCTCAAGTCTGGCAAAGAGGGCCTCAGCACATGCCTCCCTGGGCTCAGTCTCCCGCCTCTGTGGCCTGATTCACCCCAGGGGCTCAGGACGGGCCCAAGACAGCAACAGTGTCCTCGGGCGCCCCCTGTCGGATCTCGCCTGCAGTGGGCGGGAGCCCGGCTTTGCAGCCGGGTTCTTGGGCCCATCAGCGCTCACCTCGTACACTGCAAAGCCAATGGTCTCCATGTCGCGGCCGAAGCGGCGCTCACGGCGGCGATGCTTCTGCATGAGCGCCAGCACGAAGCTGCAGCCTGACTCTCGACCCCCATAATCGTCGTCTGGGTCATCTGTCTCCTCCAGCCGGATCTTGAACTGGGGGTTCACCCAGAAGGTGGCTGCAAGAGAAGAGGTTGCGATCAGAGGCTCAAGCCTTCTCCTCCCGGAGGTGTCCGTCCATTCACTCAGTCATTCATTTAACAGATATTACTTAGTGCCCACAATGTGCCCTGTGCAGGGGGACACATGCACAGTCCTCCCCTCTCAAGAGTTCACATTCCTGATGGGGCGGGGCAAGTAGGAGCAGGTTAAGTAACAGACCAGTTACAGAGAAAAAGCCGGAATAGGTCAGGAAAGGCATCTTTGAAGTGACATTAAGCTGCAAACCGAAGGGGAGCCCTGAGAAAACACTGGGAAGCAGGGGTCAGGCAGAGGGCGGCGTAAGCCCCACACAGGAGAAGACGGCCAGGGTCGGGTCTAACCAGGCTCTGGGTTCCAGGCAGGCGCCAGAGGTTTTGCAGGAGCCAGGGTGCTGGTGAGGGATGTGGACTGAATCAAAGAGCAAAAGGACCTTCCACAGACTTGCACAGGAGGGCAGGACTGGATTAGGGACTAGGATTTAATTTTTCTTTAACCCCCATCCGAAGACATTTTTTCATTGCTTTTAGAGAGGAAGGCAGAGAGAAAAACACTGATGAAAGGGAGAAACATGGATCAGTTGCCTCTCATACGCGCCTGACCCGGGTTGAACCCGCAACCCAGATATGTGCTCTGATGGGGAATCAGACTCGCAACCTTTCAGTTATGGGACAACATTCCAACCAACTGAGCCACACCAGCCAGAGCAGGATTTCTTTTATTTTTATTTACTTTAATCCTGCCAAAGGTTTTGATTAATTTACTGTACCTAAAATGGATTAGGATTTTAAAAGATGGCTGGATCTACTCTGTGGACAATGAGAGCCTTGGCTGATGTGGCTCAGTAGATTGAGCACCAGCCTGAAAACCAAAAGGTCACTGGTTCGATTCCCAGTCAGGGCGCATGCCTGGGTTTAGGGCCAGGTCCCCAGCTGGGGGCACTGAGGCAACTGATCAATGTCTCTTTCACACACTGATGTTCCTCTCCCTTCCTTCCTTTCTCCCTCCCTCCTGTCTCTAAAAATAAATAAAAGAGAAGAAGAAGAGGGTGAGAGAACGCAGGTTTCATAGGAGGCCACAGAGCTGCAAAGGGTGATGGGACTTGCATTTCTGACCATTTGGTGAGTCACCTCCCTGAAACAGCTCCCCTGCGGAAAACCAAGTGCTGGATGGAATATGCAAAATTTCTTTCTAAAGGCACTAAGGAGCCACGGCCTCCCCCCTGGCCCCCACACAGAGTTGACATTAATAAAAGATTTGTAATAACAAGTGTTCGCCAGGACATGGAGACATCACAGCCTCACACACAGCTGACGGGACTGTGAAGAGGTGTAGCCACTTTGGAAAGCAGCCCGGCCACCCCTCAAATGGTCAAACTTAGACGTACCACGTGACCCTGCGGTCCCACTCCTGGGCACGCGCCCCAGAGAAATGAAAACATACGTCCACACAAAACCCGTGTGGGAATTTCATAGCAGCACTATCTACAAAAGCCAAATGGTAGAAACAACCCGATTTCCCACGAGCCGATGAACAGATAAACAAAATGTGGTGTAACTGAACAAGGGAATATTGTTCGGCAATAAAAATGGGGTACTGAGCGACACCGTGGCACGATGAACCGTAAAGGCATGCTGGGTGGAAGAAGCCACAGCCACAAAGAACCACGTGCTGTGTGATTCCATGTCCATTAAACTGCATTGTCCAGAACAGGCAAATGCATAGATTTGCTTGGTACCAAAGCCAAGATATCACAAGAAAATCACAGACCAGTATTACATGTGAATAGCAATATAAAAATCGTTCACACAATACCATCAAACCAAATCCAACAGTATATTAAAAGAATTATAGAGCCCTGGCCAGGTAGCTAAGTGGGTTAGAGCACAGTCCCAACACACCAAGGTTGCAGGTTCAATCCCCGGTCAGGGCACATACAAGAATCAACCAGTAGAACAATAAATTGACATTTATGTTTCTCCCTCTTTCTCTCTCTCCCCCTTTTTTTCTTCTCTCTCCCTCTCTAAAAACCAATAAATTAAAATAAAATAAAATAAAATAAAATAAAATAAAATAAAAAAATAAAATAAAATAAAATAAAATAAAATAAAATAAAAAAATAAAATAAAATAAAATAAAATAAAATAAAATAAAATAAAATAAAATAAAATAAAATAAAATAAAATAAAATAAAAATGTATTCAAAAAAGGATGATAGAACATGAAATAGGCTTTAGTCTTAAGAATGAAAGGACAGGCCCTGGCTGGTGTAGCTCGGTGGATTGAGCGCGGGCCTATGAACCAGAGGATCACGGTTCGATTCCCAGTCAGGGCACATGCCTGGGTTGCAGGCTGGTTCCCTGCAGGCCAGTTCCCAGCAGGGGATGCACTAAAGGCAACCATACATTGATGTTTCTCTCCCTCTCTCTGTGCCTTCCCCTCTAAAGATAAATCTTTTAAAAAATCCTATTAAGCCCTGGCTGGTGTAGCTCAGTGGATTGAGCACGGGCCTGCGAACCAGACAATCGTGGTTCGATTCCCAGTCAGGGCACATACCTGGGTTGCAGACCAGTTCCTTGCAAGCCAATTCCCAGCAGGGGACGCATGAAAGGCAACCATACATTGATGTTTCTCTCCCTCTCTCCTTCCCTTCCCCTCTAAAGATAAATAAATAAAATCTAAAATAAAAAACCAAAACTAAAAAAAAATCCTATTAAAAAAAAAAAAAGAATGAAAGGACAGCCCTGGCTGGTGTAGCTCAGTGGACTGAGCACGGGCCTGCGAAGAGCACGGGCCTGTGAACTAGAGGATCGTGGTTTGATTCCCAGTCAGGGCACATGCCTGGGTTGCAGGCCAGTTCCCTGCAGGGGACCCACGAGATGCAACCATACATTGATATTTCTCTCCCTCTCTCCTTCCCTTCCCCTCTAAAGATAAATAAATAAGCCCTGGCTGGCATAGCTCAGTGGATTGAGCGCGGGCCTGTGAACCAGAGTATCGCGGTTCGATTCCCAGTCAGGGCACATGCCTGAGTTGCAGGCCAGTTCCCAGGGGGGGACGCATAAGGGGCAACCATACATTGATATTTCTCTCCCTCTCTCCTTCCCTTTCCTTCTCTCAAAAAATAAATAAATAAAATATTTAGCCCTGGCTGGTGTAGCTCAGTGGATTGAGCGCGGGCCTGTGAACCAGATAATCATGGTTCGATTCCCAGTCAGGGCACATGCCCAGGTTGCAGGCAGGTTCCCTGCAGTCCAGTTCCCAGCAGGGGACGCACAAAGGCAACCATACATTGATGTTTCTCTCCCTCTCTCCTTCCCTTCTCCTCTAAAGATAAATAAATAAAATCTTTAAAAAATAAATAAATAAATAAATAAATAAATAAATAAAATATTTTTTAAAAAAGATAAATAAATAAAATCTTAAAAAAAAAAAGAAAAGGACAGTTCAACAAATGAAGCTCAGTCAGTGTAATGTGCCACATTAAAAGGGAAAAAACATACATTAAAAGGGAAAAAACATACGATCATCTTAATTGGTAAGAGAAAAGGCATTTGACAAAATCCAACAAACATTTGTGATAAACTACTTCAACAGACACTAAAAAACGATAAACAAATGGCCAATAAAGAAATACATGAAAAGATATTCAAGCCCTGGCTGGTGTAGCTCAGTGGATTGAACGCGGGCCTGCGAACCAGACAATCGCGGTTCGATTCCCAGTCAGGGCACATGCCTGGGTTGCAAACCAGTTCCCTGCAGGCCAGTTCCCAGCAGGGGATGCATGAAAGCCAACCATACATTGATGTTTCTCTCCCTCTCTCCTTCCCTTCCCCTCTAAAGATAAATAAATTAAAAAAAAAAAAAAGATATTCAACATCATTAGTCATTAGGAAAATGCAAACCAAAACTTCAACGAGATACCGCTTTCTACCCACTGGGAGGGCTATAATAAAAAAAGATGGACGATGACAAGTGTTGGCAGGGATCTAGAGAAACTGGAACCCTCCGATATCGCTTAGTGGGAATGCAAACTGGTGTTGCCACTTTAGAAAACAGTAGCAGTTCCTCCAAGTTAACCATAGAAATACTCTACAACCTAGTGATGTCCACCTCCTACTTACAGACCCAGAAGAATACATGCTCACACAAACACACCTACATGAATGTCCGTAGGAGCACTGTTCATAATAGCCAAGCACTGGAAATAACCCAAATGTTCATAGACTGATGGACAAATCAGCAAAATGTATTCTACCTGTATCATGGAATGGTATCCAGCCATAAAAAGGAAATGAACTGTTGATATATGCTACAATGTAGATGAACTTTGAAAATTCCATGTTAAGGAAAATTAACCAGGCACTAAAGGTTACATATTGTATAATTCCGTTTATATGATATCTCCAGAAAAGGCAACTCTGTAGAGACAAAAAAGCAGATTAGTGGTTGCCAGGATTGCCAGGAGCTGGGGGAGAGAGGACGGGATCACGAATGGATACAGGGTTTCCTGGATCACGAATGGATACAGGGTTTCCTCTAGGGGTCGTGAAAATGTTTTGGAATTAGATAACAGCGATAGGTGGATAGGTGCATACCAGAGGCTTTTGGTCGGTGCTTTTCTCTCTCATCGATGTTTCTTTCCCTCTTTCTCCCTCCCTTCCTTGCTCTCTAAAATTAAGTAAATAAAATATTTTTTAAAAAGAAAAAGAGCGAATTTTATGGTATGTGAATTATCACAATTCTTTTAAAAATTATGTATCAAAATTGTGTAACTCAAAGATACAGTTGACCAGGACACATGCGAGAGGCAACCACTCGGATGTTTCTCTCCCTCTTTCTCTTTCCCTCTAAAAATAAATAAAATCTTGTTAAAAAAATAAAAAGATACATTTGGAGGAAAATTTATTGCCTTAGGAGCATATATATATGTATGTATGTATATAAACAAATTAATGAAATGAGCCTCTAATTTAAGAAG